AAATTAGGGCAAGGGCTGCTTATGGCCAATCCATTTTAATCAGTGTGGCTAAAGGTAAAAACTCTGTATGAAGAGTTTTAGGGTACAATCCTATGGGTGTTTACACAAAAAACATCCTACAATTTCCAGGCCAGTGTGGCTGGCTGAGGCATGCTGGGAGTTGTTTAATCAGAACAAGTGCTACATGCTTAGAAAGTGTGCACTTACAGATAGTTTATCTGTGTTAAGTGGTATTGTAGTTTGACTCTGTAGCAAATCGGGACAGGGGGATCTCTGTTATGGTCCGTGATTAATGTGAAAACACTTTCCCCCATTAATGTTAATAAAAAGAAAAACTAGCAGGTTCTATTGTTCTTGAACAAAAAAGTGAAAGGAACAACCTTCCCTTGAATCTGTAAGAGGATGGCCCTGGAGAACAAATGAGGAAAAGTATTGTTCAAATGGGAATGACCTTGCTTATTTTTGAATGACTCAGATTTTCATTCCAAGACTACCTAGTCTAGAAAACCAAGCACTAATGTCAGACTTACAGCAAATTCTTTTTTTTCCATAATTGATCAAATAGTACATCACTGACCTGCAATTAGATCAACATTTGTTTGAAGAGCTCATTAACGCTGTTTGAAGAGATTGTTATTTATGAAATCCTTTTGCTGAAAAGGTTTCCTAGCTTTCTAAAATGAGATTAAACAAACAATTTAAATCCAAGCTTCCAGTCTTCAGATTGTCAGTTGGCAACCACAAGTATGCATTTTTTTAAAAAAGTAGCTAATAAAACTGACTTCTAATATTCTTAGAGACTTTTTCGGATATTATTTAAGCTGAAGTTCTCCACTTGATTTTTTGGAACTAAGCTTGATTTAACTTCACAGAACGTATATTTTAAGAAAATATATGTCATATTGTTTGGTCAGGTATCCAGAAAGCTTCTGCATAGAATGTGGAAGACAGTGTACACCTCAGAAACCGCAAGACTCACAAATTACTTCTATATAAGCCTGTATATGCAATTTTAATGCATATTCATCAGAATCCTTTGATTTTTCCTAAATAGTGAAAGGATCAGGCAAATTTTGTCCACAATATATATGCCTAACGAAGAGTTTTAGGGCACAATCCTAAGTATATTTATAGAGGGGAAAAATCCTCCAATTCCCATTCAGACATGCTGTAAGTTGTAGGCCTTTTTTACTAAATAGAGCTCTTTTTCTTCTTCCTCTTCCTCTTCTTCTTCTCTTCAACCATTTAAATGCAGACTACCCATTAAGACCACTGTCCTATGCATGTGGAACTTTTTCTGTTTAGACAACTGGAGTATGCTGGAAATTGTAGGGTGTTTTTTCTATACAAACCTGCATAGGATTGTGCCCTTTAGGTCCAGTAATTATGAAGTTGGTTGGTGTTTTATCATCTCAGTTTTGATACTGTTGTATGTGTATTGTTTTTGTACTGCAAATTTTTAGTTACAAAAATAAGATAAAGCAAACAATATTGATAAGTACAATAACACATTACATATTTATAGTGATTCAATGTCATTTGTAAAGATATTATGGAAACATGAAGGATAGGATATATATTTTACATACTGAAACATAAAAAGCAGACATTTGCTGACAATACCACACATTATCTTGTGTTAGGAAAGCCATGTAGCTTGGCTACCCTATAACCTAGTTTTAATTTAGTCAGCTCAGCTGTTCTTAGAAGCCACTCACAGTGAGGTAGAGAATTGCATATTTCGAAAAACCTGGTATAAATGTCAGCTAGTAGCTGTTATGTTTGGTAAGTTGGTCTAAGGTCAAAAGTGTTGCAACTAAATCTTATAAACCCTAAACCCTTTGCCTCAGAAAAGTTAAAATATTAAGCAGTAATGCTGCCTCTCTCATTTCCTCTGCAATTGCTTTTCTTTTTACATGAGTTCCTTTTTGCTATAGTTACCAAGAAGCCAATGAGCAAAATGATGAAAAAACTAGTGTTCAAGCTCTTAAGCCTTAATATCCAAATTCCTGAACATCCTATATACCCTTACAGAAATACAAATCAAATGTATTCCAAATCTGGCTTCTTTTCACTCATAGACTTTGCAAAGTCATTCCTGATTACTCATTTCTGGGTGGTGTACAATAGAGCATATATATATATATATATATATATATATTCCATTAAAAAACAATAATACATTGGAGCAATACAATCAGGCAATACAATATTTAACTGTAAGTGATACAAAATCAAAACAAAACTTAATATAATAACACATAATGCAATACATAATACAATTTAATATATAATACAATGAATACTATCAATAATAATAAGATATAGCTATACTCCAGAATTGCAGAATTTCATTCATCAGGGAAACTGTCCCTCAGTTGACAGCCAAACTAAATGTTGTAGTATTGGGTGTATTTCTTTAAATTAGACGCTGCCTGAGTCATATATGAAGTGGTTCTGTGGGTCCACTTGAAAGAGCAAAGGTGTGAGGGGGTACCTGAGCCCACCCCATGCATTCTGCTTCCCAGGTATCGGAGTCTGGATCATGTGTGTGTGCACACTGGGGAACTGCCTCCAAGAATAGATTGTGGAGAGGTAAACTGGTGGGATGGAGCCAGCGCTTACAGGGTTAAAGTGCTGGAACTTGTGGATTAGCAGGGACAATGACAACTTCTGCTGCCATCATCCAAGTCCTGCAAAGTATTTTGGATGGCTTGCCCTCAAATGGGCAATTGCAACCATTTCTGTGACAGAACTCAGCTCCTGGCAGAAATGAGAAGGGCTGCAACTGGCGTGTTGGGACGGATCAGCTGAGATGCCCAGGGAATATTAGGCAAAATGCAGCAGTCACTTTACGCAGCCGATGCCAAGAGGTGGCAGGAGGTCTTGGAGGGGAGAGCTGCAGGCCACCCACCTGCTCTGTTCCCCCTCAGCTAGCCTTCAGCCTCAGTTGGAGATGTGGTGCACTGTCGGTGTTGACAGTTCACTTTTGTGCGTGAAATGGGAAGAGGGACCATCCTGTCTTTCACCTCAGGCAGCAAAATGTCTTGGGGCAGCCCTGGAGCTGCCTGCCTTTTTGGCCTCTCCTTGTGCAAGGAGGGCAGCTGCAGGAACTCTCGTGAAGAACACCTGCACGTCAAAGGTTATTCCTAGGGAGGGTGAGCCACAGGTGGGCAAAAAGTTCAGCATCACCACTCCAGATGCTTCCTTTTGCCTTCACATCGGTGTCTCTGTTGTACACAGCAGGCCTAGTCCTGAGGCTCCACACTACCTCAGGGAGGCCCCTGATCAGGTCGGTCACTAGTCCCCCCACTTGAGAGGGAGCTCTGAACACTCCCATGCACTTCTGGCAAGAGGATGTAGCTCTCCAATCAACTGAGGTTCCTGCAGCCCCTCAACCCTGCAGGAGCAAGAGCACAGAAAGAGACCGCAGCCTTTTAAGAAGTCAGCATCTTGTGGGGAGCAGAGTCAGTGAAAGACCAGGCACCACAGCCTCCAGAAGACCTCAGTTGATTGCTGGGGCAGCAGCTCTTTGTAGGAAGGCACGTCTGCTTTTCTTCATGTGACCCCAAACAAAACCTGAGCACAGTTGTGCAGTTCCCTTTTCCTGGGCCTTGCACCTTGCCAAACAGTCTGTGTTTGAGGTGGGCCTGCATTTACAGAAATTGGAACTTGTTTGACCTTCTGAATCTTGGAAATATTTGTATATGGGGACTCTTTCTAAAACTTTAGTGCTCAAGCAGAGAAACCCTATGTAGTAAGTCCAATCAGAAAAATATGTATGCTTTTCAAAGACAAAATGTTGAAGCAGTTTGCAAACAAGCAAAACCAAGATCAACAAATACAAATTAAACATCAAAGAACAATTGAAGTCCAAGGCAGTAACATCAAAGTTTTTAGTAACTGGGGTGGGAAGAACCTGATAAGAGAAAAAATGCTGTTTTAATAGGCACCAGAATGAAAGTAGTGAACTCTTGGTATTATGATAAGAAAAGCCCATTTCTGTGTGGCCGCTAGGTCATTATCTGCAGCTGTGACATAACCAGCAAATCTCCTCCAGAGGTTTTAGTGATGCCATGGGTCCATACAAGAAGACAGTAACAATAGGATATTGTGCAACTGCACACTACAACCAAGCAGGACTACAAGGGCAATTGTATGCCTGCTTGCAGCTTGCTGGCATTTTAAAGGGAAATGCAGTTAGTTTTGCATATTGCCCCTTCACTTCTGCATGTGTATAGAGGTATTTGCATGGATGATGCTGTAAAGGGTGTTTTTAATTGCTTACCATGCCAGTTTTATTCCATATAGAATTCCTGAACAGCAGTTATACTGAGTATTTCTTAACAAATAATAGTCAATATTTCTAAATGCGTATCTGTCTCTATAAATTAGCATGTGTATATTTTATGCAAATCTGTGCCATCTCTTATTTTTCTTTTTTCCTTTGGCGATTTGCCTTCTCTTCATTGGCAATGCATAAATGGCCGTTGTAGCTCAAATACAGAAGACTTTTTAAAAAAAATACATTTCAGACTGTGTACAGATGTTTAAATTGCCAGCAAAATACCTAGAAGTTAAGGCCCAGCTGTTTTCTTTTTCCTATTAAGTGTTTCACTGAGAGAACTGTCAAGGGATTAATGTATTTTGAACTCTAGTGGCTGGAGCACATGATGTGTTGGAAGAGACAGCCCTTAGTGAAATGATTATAGGACAGCCTTCTTTAACTTGGTGTGCTCCAGATGTGTTAGATTACCTCTCCCGGAATCCTCCAGCTGACATAGCTCAGGGGGGAATTCTGGGAGATGCAGCCTAGCACATCTGGTGAGCGAAAGCTGGAGAAGGCTGCTAAAGGAGATAAAGTTTATCATCATTTGTTCTACTGAAGAAGTTACATAAATCTTGCTTGCATTCCAGCACTTGGGATATATTAATACAAACCTTCTGGTAAATTATTGTACGATTACTCCACTTACTTGCCTTTGTCATTTCATTTTAAGGGGATCTGCCATTGCGAAGATTGTAGGCCAGAACACCCATAAGTCCAACAGATTTGATCCAACTGTAAAGATATGGGTATTTGAAGAGCTAATCAATGGGCGTAAACTCACAGAGATAATTAACCAAGATCATGAAAATGTGAAGTATCTCCCAGGACATAAGCTACCACCAAATGTGGTAAGTGAAATAAAACCACTTAGGTGTGATTTCCATTTTAGATATGTCATGCTGGGGCCATGTTGGAGTTTAAATCTGAGGTAACGGCCCAGGTCAGACAACAGTCTATGCAGCTCTGGTTGGAATAAACTGCCATCCCCACTAGGTTTGCACGTGACACAGAACTGAGATTTGTTCAAAACTTTACAGTGAAAGCAGAAGTTTTTCACTCTCTTGTGCATGAAGGAGGAAAGGCAGGGGGAGCACCCAACACTTTCCAAACACCATGGTTTAGACTGGAGCAAGAGGAAACAATGCAGAGGAGGCTAAAGCAATCATGACCATCAGGAGATCTCAGAATATCACAAAGAGGAATTCCTTAAAAGCACAGCAGATGCCAACAGTGTAGAGCTTTTCAACAGGAAAATGAGCTATCTTCATTTCTGTCTCAGGTTGCTGTACCCGACATAGAGGTGGCAGCAGATGGAGCAGATATTCTAATATTTGTTATACCTCATCAGTTCATACCTAAAGCCTGTGAGCAGCTGACTGGCCATATAAAAAAGGGAGCCATTGGAATTTCACTAATCAAGGTAAGTCATGACCTTTTTGCAAGGAAGAAGGTGGAACAGTCACAAATGTCCGTGTTCATGATTGCATATTCAGTTGTCAGCTCTTTTATTAGCCCTGCACGGGTGCCCTGATCAGCAGCAAATATTTAGCAGCTGAAGCTTCTTCCCTTATTTTATTTCCCTGACAGAAAAAGTATCACTGGCTATATTTCTCTGTGTTTGGCTGTCAAAGGCAGAGGAACAGGGCTATTTTAAAAGTTGGCAGACATAACTGCATAACACTAGCACATGACTTGATGCTAGATGCCTAAGATTGTTACTTCTGGTGTGTGTATGTGTGTGTTTAAGATTCCCTTTCTCCCAAGCCCTCTTTGTAAAGACCATCTTTTTAAAAACCGGAATGGCTCTCTGATTCCACAATGTGAATCTCGCAGAAGAAATGACGCCTATTCTTTTCCATGTCACCCCTTGAAACTCTTCTGAGGCCTCCATTAGTTTAACCACTTTCTGGCTTTCCATAGGCAATCCAGAGAGCTCCACCTATGGGGCAGTATAACAACAAGCTACGTTGTTGTAGAATATCACTGTTTAGCTGGATGTACACATATGTGAAATTAGCGATGTGGCCTCCAGAATCGCACTTGTCCTCCCTCTTGGATTAACAACCTGGAGATCAAAAGAGTTTGAGTGAGTGAAGCTGAGTCAGATGGCTGGGCAAAGACCCATGTCAAATGTCCCCATCAGTCCTGAGGCTTGAGAATCCCTCCCCCTTCTCCGCAACTTTTCTATTTGCCAGTGGCATCTTTCTCCTTAGCACCGAAAACCATTATCATATGAAAATGGCTAAATTAATAGCATTTAGAAGATGCTATATTGATAAGGGGGCACTGGGTGAAAGAGGGTCTGTGAAGACGACTGCTTTTTTAAAAGAATCAACATTTTGTAGCTGAACCAGATTACAGGATACCACACATGGCTACTGATCTGCCCAGTTTGCCAGATTCCCAGTGGATAAGTTTCTCTTTTTAGACATGCCTTTACCATGCATTCTGAACGCAACATGCCTCTGCATCAGTCTCCGAATCTATGGCCACCTCCAGCACCAGCGATCAGAGATGCCATGTCCAATGCGCCAGTCATCTCCGTACACTGTATCCTAATCATACCTTCTTTTCCTGTCTGTTTTCTAATCCTGTTTTCTCAGCCATAACAAAGTTAAACTATCAAACCACCTTGGCAGAATCTGTCAGCTGCTTCCTAAAAATAGCAGAGGATTGTATTAGATACTTTGCTGGCAGTTGCAGTGTCCTCTTGTGCAATTATCGTCTGTGTGTCTCTCTGCTGACTCAGATTGTAAATAGTGCGACAGGATCAGAGTTATGGCTGATCTACTGAAGCACAAAGCACACTGTTTTTTATGCATTTGTTTTGATCCCTGCCTTTCTGTTAACCAGGGAATAGATGAAGGCCCAGAAGGACTGCGACTCATATCAGACATCATTCGAGAGAAACTGAACATCGAAGTCAGTGTGCTCATGGGAGCCAACATCGCTAACGAAGTGGCTGATGAAATGTTCTGCGAAACTACCATTGGTAATGGGCAATCATACACTTACAGGCAAACCTTTGTATGGGTGGGATCAGGCCCCAGGCACTTGGGATGGATTCAGACAGCTTTTCTTCCAATCATGTAGGAACTTGGATAACTTCTGTGGATTTTCATCTGCAATGAGACTTCAGAAGAGCATCTTAGGGTACAAACCTGTGTATGTTTAGACAGGAAAATGTCCTAGAATTCCCAACATTCCCCATGGGGATGGCTGCGAAATACTGGGAGACATTGGACCTCTTCTCTGTCTAAATATGCATAAAATAGCAAACTCATGCACTCTCTGTATGCAGCTGCAACATTCTGTGCCCCATTTTTGGTGTTTCTTCAAAGAAGTCTAAGGCAGTATTTGTGGTTTTCCCTCTGCTTATCTTCACAGCAAGTGACTAGCAATGCTGAGGCTCCGAGCCTGCGTCTCCCAGCCTTTTCCTGACACTCTTAACCACACTTGCTCTTTCACAGAGAGCCTGCACAGCTTGCACACAGCCGGGGGTGAATCATTGTTGTAGCTGGGATTAGAAGCAACACTTTCACCCACTCAGGGCCAAATTACATGTAACATGCAGATCAGTCTGTCTGTCTTTCTTTCTTCATGGTTAAACTGCTTAATTGTCCCTCAGCCCTATGGGGGACACCTGTCTTTTTCATGAGAAAAACAGGATTGGGTGGGAAAATTGCTAAAGGAGAAAGTGCTTCTTTACCTTATTATTTCTCCACATGAAATTGAAGCCCCCGGGGTGTTTTTTAGCTGAAAACAACACACCATGGAAAGGCTACCCATGACTTCATATTGTACTGAGTGCAATATGTGCCTTAGTCCCACAGATGGTTTGACCAGGCTTACTCTTTCTAAAAGATCCTCCCAAAGCTCTCATCATACTTTGATTAAAACAGCAACGTGTTTAAAACGAATTTTATGTGAGACCTCTGTTTGCTTGCTGCGTCTGTCTCTTACCTATTTTCCTCAGAATGTTGTTGTATTATTTGTTTTAACTATTGCTACCCACCCTGAGTAAGCACCAAAAGGGTGGTATATAAATTATAAACCACTACTAGAATCAAAGACTATCAGAGCTGAAAAAGCGAAGCGTGAGAGGCCATGTTTTGGCAGATCACCCCAAAGATAGCAGTGATGGCCTTCTGATGACTCTACAGCCCACTAGCACGAGACCCATCAGAGCGGGAACAGCGTCATGGGCAGGGGTGGTCAGGCATCTGTTGAGAGCAGCACACCAGCAGGGGTGCACTAGCCAGAGCCTCCTAGCGTTGCTCCTCCTCTTCCCCATTGCGGCCTGCTTGTTCCCGGCCTCTTGCTTCGGCCCAGCCAGCAGCCATGGTACAAAGGAGAAGCGGCAGATGCCCGGCCTCCTTGCTCGCTGGCTCTCCCCCATCAAGCAAGCTATGGAGAGAAAGAGGATGAGGAGGGGGCTGAGAAAGAGGAGGAGGAGGAACAAGAGCAGCCGGTGTCCACTTCTGTGAGAAGGTGGACTCTCTGCAAGAACAGAGGCCTACTGAATGTCCTGCCCAAGCCCCCCCCCCCACAAAAAAAAACAAACAAAAAAAAAACACCTTGGAGCCAGTACTGCTTCACAGCAAAGTCAATGCTATGCTGTTAAAAAAAAAAAGTTAAGTGAGAAGATGCTGCCATTATGCTGCCACATTCCTGACAGTGAAATACTCTGAATTGTGCTAATTAGGTGTTCAGCAAGGGGAGATAATTGGGGCGGTGAGCAGCTAAAGGCATTCTCAGCCCCTGGCTGGCATGACTAATGGATCAGATTGCAGGAATGCCATGCAACACCCCGGCTGGATCAGGCAACCATCTGTGTGCGGCCTCGGCCTAGGCAGACCTGGAAAGCCTAGGAGCTGTGTGTCCTACGTGTCTGCTTCCACACGTTTGTCTTGGGCCCCACCCACCTGGCAGGATTGGTGTGGCAGGAGGCTATCAGTGGTGTATTGGGGTCAGCACAATAGAGCACAATAGGAGGCTTGTCAGCCGCCCCAGGCATATACAGAGTGTTCTGCTTAAAAGGATAGGCTAGCTGCAAGCCGCTCCGCTTTTGTATCAAAATATGGACTAACTGCAAAACCGTCTCGCCTCTGTATCATGCCAGCTCGCTTGCGTAGGCTGTCAAAAACAATTCTCCCTTTGTTGGTAACAAGGTATAAATACTCCGTTGTCCCTCTAAAGGGCGCGGCACCCATCCTGTCCTTGTGGGAGAGTGTCGTCCCTATACAGGAAATAAAAAACCCTTCTCTTAAAAATACCAACTGGTCTCTAATCTTATCTGTAAAACCGTGGGACATAACAGTTTGCCTATCTACTTTTGAAAGCATATATCCTGTGTTTGGGCTTCTGTACCTGTCAGTCACTAGACCTGCTGGAAGCCAACCCTTCCTAATTTCATATGGCCAGGTGAAACAGATTCGACAGTATGCTCCTATCCTCACTAGATCCTTCCCTTTTATTCCAAAACGACCACTTCAATCTTCTATTGCTTCTCTGCTTCCTCACAGGGGAAGGGTTGCGGTAGGGTTGTCCACATCTGTGTTGTTACATGTAAACATATTGGAAGTTACTCCATTTGACCAAATGCCGTGATTGTCAGAATTCCAGTCTACTGTGCTTCTTTCCATAGGTTGCAAAAACGCTAGTGATGGGAAGATCTTTAAAGAATTGTTGCAAACACCAAATTTCAGAATCACTGTGGTGGATGACTGTGACACTGTAGAGCTTTGTGGGGCCTTAAAGGTTAGTACTTCCAAATCAAATAGCATTGGGCAATGGTGCAATTTTGCAGTATGTGTGTACAGCTTAGCTTCTACACAATTGCGCAGCATTCTTATGCATTCATTACCTTTGCCTTGACTTTCTAATCCCTAAAATAGGCAATAGTGTTTCTTCACATTCTAACATGTGGACTAATAAAATGGCCTTCAGAAGTCTGTGGATGTTTGTGGAACTCTGGTTGTGCAACCGGCAAGCTTTCTCCACAGCACTGTCAGTACAAAGGCACAAGTCACATGTGTGGAAGAGGAGCAATGCTTGTGCAACTTTTGTACAGTAGCACTTCCTGGCAGACCGACAGCTGTGTGCACACTCAGCCTGCTCACCGGGAAATTGGACTCGCTGCTGTGGGAAAGTGTTCCAGAGTCTGGGGAGCGGAACTTAGGGAATCTGGTAGATTTCCACCCCCGGAATGCATTTCTCACACATCCCTAATGGAGCCTGCTTAGAATCAGAGGCACATGACTTGGCCATCCCACTGCAGTCCTTTTGGCACAGTCTTTGCATGCGAGTTTTCTTGCTTGTGTTCTAGGCAGTGGCAAAAGAGGTCCAATCTTTGGAAGAAGTGATCTGTTTTCACGTGTGAGGATTTGGCATTATTTACATTTGGACTTTTAGAACGTTTTCCAGGTGCAGTGCACAGTGGATTTGGTAATGGAGTCATTAAAGCTGGAGGCAGAGAATATTTCTTTAAGAATGCACTCCTATGCAAGTTTAGATGAAAAAAAAGCCCTACAATTCCCAGCATGCCTCAGCCAGTTATGATAATACAACAGGGTCAGCAATACTCTCACTTTTCATTTTCCCAAAAATTCTTTTTGCAGCTTTCTGATTAAATAAAATAAAATAAAAAGGGTGTTCATGCAATAGGCAAAAATAGCTCTTTCACACCCAGGAAGCTGTTTTATGCTGGATTACATTCCGTGCCCACAGTCCAGCCTTGCCCTCATCAGTCAGTCAGCAGAGGTTTACCTCACCTAACTGGAGCTTCTCACAGCACCGCTGGGGACTGAACCAGAGGCCTTCTCCTCACAGAGGGTGCGATCTGTCGCCGTGCTTGCAGCAGTTCTTCCGGGAACAGAATGGCTGCTGTGAGAGGCATCACTTGCTGAGCCTTTGACGTAACACAGGTACCAGATCAGAGGTGCCAGATAGCATGCTAGCATTCCCCAAAGGTGTCTTCCAGGAGTTTGGGGCTTCAGCTGTCATCAGCATGGTCAGGAAACCTGGGAGATGTAATCTAAAATATCTTCAGGGCAGCTGGATGGGGAATAGTGCTCTAGGCAATTGCACGCTTGCAGGGGGCAACATTTAGGAACAACTGAATGGAGGAATTACTTTGGACTCAATGTATTTATTATATTTATGCCCCACCGTTTTTCTTGCGAGCAACCCAAGGCAGCTTAGGTAATCACACTCTCCATTTTAGCCTCACAACAATTCCACGAGGTAGATTAGACTGAGAGTCCTTGACTGGCCCCAAGCAACCCAGTAAGTGCCATGGCTGCACAGGGCTAGAACCGGGGTCTTCTGAGTCCTGGGTCAACATTCTAACCGCTATACCACGAATAGCTCCTTTTTGCTCCATATTCCAGGATGATCTTACTGAAAAGCTGAGGAAGATGTAGTGATGGCCATCAGCTGGGATGGCTGTAAAAGGGGCTTCGAAAAATTCATGAGGCTATCCAAGACTACAAGAAATGATGGTTGAACCATGCTTCCACCAGTGTCAGAGGCAGTCCCCCAGTTGCTGCGAACATGACCAGGAGGGTCCATTTCCTCTCACATCCTTTTGGGTTTCCCATGGGTGGCTGCTCGGCTCCTTTGTGAGCAGAATGCTGGACTAGGTGAACCTCAATTTCATCCAGCACAACTCTCCCCAGGCTCTTCACATTGGTTATCTCTGCATTCTCACACCCTGAGCACCTACAATCAGTACTGCCTATGTGATGCCTTTCCTTTGTGTGACTGACAGCTTCTCTCTCCCTCTCCCTCTCCCTCTCCCTCTCCGTCTTGTTGCCCTGTCCAACTGGATTTAGAACATTGTAGCCGTTGGGGCTGGCTTCTGTGATGGGCTCGGTTTTGGCGACAACACCAAGGCAGCGGTGATTCGCCTGGGCTTGATGGAAATGATCGCCTTTGCCAAACTCTTCTGCAAGGGCAATGTCAGCATCAGTATATTTCTGGAGAGTTGTGGTGTTGCCGACCTGATCACCACATGCTACGGGGGACGGAACAGGAAGGTGGCTGAAGCTTTTGCACATGGTGGAAAAGTAAGACCGTGTTTCCTTCAGCAACTCTAGTCCTTGTAGTGGTTAAACAACTTAAGTTGAAAAGGGCTGATTTTAAGATCTTTCTGACAAAAGTCGTCTGCAAGAATTTATGCCTCTGCTTGCGAGTTGCAGGGGAGCACGAGTGCGAGGACGCTGTTGCACTTACGTCCTGCTTGTGAGCTTCCCACGGACTTCTGACTGGCCCCTGAGGGAAAGGACTGCTGGACTGGATGGGCCTTCGCTCTGATTTAGCAGAGCCCTTCTTAGGACTAATGGAGAACCCTATCCAACTGGGGTGCTAGGGAATCGATTTGCGACACGCTGTGAATGAAGTGAGGTGATTGTGGCAATCTCTACCCTTTGGTAATGACCAGAATGGTGCAATGGTCACAGCATGAGGTTGGGCTTGTAAAATGGCCCTTGGACTGGAGAAAGTGAACATGGGGCAGCCGCGGAAGAGCAGTGGCAGGAGATTCAGGACATACCAGGGGATGTACTTCTTTACATAGACCATGGTTACTATAAAAGAGGGTTTGACAAATTCATGGAGAATAAGGCGCTCAGTAACTAGTAGTTTTGATGGCTGTATATTAGCCGTGTTATCAGAGGAGTGTACCTCTGTGTACTAATTGCTGGGGAAAATGTGCTCATGTCCTGCCTGTGGGCTTCCCAGAGGCATCTGGGTGCTGCTGCAGGTGGGCCTTTGGGCTGATGCAGCAGTGTTGCTCTTATGCTTTTAAGCGCATGAAAGCAAAGTAGCCCCATCTCTCCCCTAAGCCTCCTGTTTAAAAAATGTCCTGCCCTGGAGCTGTGCTCTGAGACAGGCAAAGGCCTGTTTGCAGAGAGAATTAGCATATGGGGTGTGGGACAAGAGGAGACATGCACAGAGCCCTAGCAAAGGCTGCCTCTCATCCCTGCATCTAGGGGCCTTCCAGCAAGCGTAGCGAGGCTATTTGAATGTTGCATAATTCTGCCTTCATCTCGAATTCAAATCCTAGTTCAAAATCCTCCTTCAAACTTTGAAGAGGCTGCCTTCAACCAGCCGCTGCCTCCTTGTGATGAGGACAACGGAGAATAGCAAAGCACTTTTGTTCAGGAGGAAGGGCGAAGAAACGTCAATATCTTTTAAAATCCTGAGACAAGATGACATAATATACACAGGGCTCTTGTTAGTTGTCTTCCACTTGTGAACTCCTTATGTCTTTTTAAAGGACTTTAAAAACGAAGCAGTTAGGGGTTTGGGCTGCAGTCCTATGCCTGTTAACGTGGGGCAAGTCCCACTGAACTCAATGGGACACACTTCTTGAGGAGGTCTTTAGAGGATTGTGCTGCTAGGATTCTGTGCTGACCACATGCAAAGCTTCCTTGAAGGCTATGTTACCTGTCCTTGGACAGTCTCAGCGGCCTGGTCCCACCTGGTCCCACCTTGGGGCAAGTCCCCACCTGGTCCCTTGTCCCACTGCTAGCCCAAGCTGTTCCTTTGGACCCTGCTGCACAGTCATTCCCCATGGTGTTGTATGGGAGCAGGGCTACTGGAACAATCCATCTTGGGTTGGTTTGAAACCCAGCCTGCCATGCCACCTGAAGAATAATGGATGAAAGGAACACTAGAGATGATGCAACGTGTATCTTAGGAAGTCTAAGAGCTTCTTTTTCAATTAATAGCAAATCAGGGTGAGAGTTCTAATTTTCATTGGGTATGTAGCTAGCAGGACAATCTTTTGTCTCACTGCCACGCTCTGATGAAAATCACCCTTCCTAGGACAAGAAAAATCTTCCATTGGTGCCAATAAAAACCAACCCCCATCACCTCCTGTACTTACTAGTAGTTTTTAAACCAAACATTGGTGGGCTTTTTAAGGACACAAGTAGGATCACATATAGTTTGCTAAGAGATACAGGCCCTAATTTAAAAACATGTGAAATTAAGAGATTTTTTAGTAAGTGCCTTGGGAATTGCTAAATGGAGTTGGTTCAGAATGCCTCATCATTTTGAAGGGAGAACATACAAGAAGTGTGTGTACTTTAGCTATTAGAGTTCTGAATAGCACATTCACAATGATTGGTTGGCTTAAACTAGATTAAATTACTAATGCAGTTTCCTTTTGCTCCAAAGCACATGGTAAATATTTTTTTTTGTTTATTCAAGTCAATTGAACAGCTGGAAAAAGAAATGTTGAATGGACAAAAGCTACAAGGGCCTCAGACATCAGCTGAAGTTTACAAAATCCTGAAGCAGAAGAAAATGGTTGACAAGTAAGTAGCTTGATTTTCTAAATAGTCAAATATGCTATCTGAGGAGCTACTGCACTTCACTGCCTTTTCAGGATGTGGAGAATTTTGAGTGCTGATTCTGAATCGAATACTGGTTTTGATTATTAATAAGGAAATATATGAGAGAGAGAGAGAGAGAGAATGAGAATGTTAAAAACATAAGAAAAACCATGCTGGATCAGGGTCCATCTAGTCCAGCATTATGTTCACACGGTGGAAAACCAGCTGCCACAGGATCCCTGAAGCAGGATGGGTGCAAGACCTCTGCCTGCCCTAACTCCTCAGAAACTGATGTGTGGCTGCATATTATCTCTGATAATGGAGGTAGCACAAAGCCACCATAGGTAATAGCCACTGATGGCCTTGTTGGTGACCAATATTTCTTCTTGTGGCAGTGAATTCCATAGTTTAACTATGTGCTTTGGGAAAAGGTACTTCCTTGTCTCTGTTCTGAATTTCCCACCAATCAGCTTCATGGGATGATCCCAGGTTCTAGCATTAGGGCAGAGGAAGAAAAATGTCTCCCCTTCTACCTTCTTTACACGATGCATAATTTTAATGCCTCTGTCATATCCTCACTTACTCACCTTTTTCCTAAACTAAACAATCTCCATTGTGATAACCTTTTCTCATAGGGGAATTGCTCCAATCCCATCATCATTTTAGTTGTCCTTCTCTCCCATTTTTCCAACTCACTAGTGTCCTTTTTCAGTTGTGGTGACCAGAACTGTACACGATATTCCAAGTGCAGTAACACCAAAGATTTGTTAAGGGGAGAACAATCTTGGTAGTTTTTCCTAATTACGCTTAACATGGAATTTGCCTTTTTCAGAGCAGCTGCTGGCATTTTCATCACAACCCCAAAGTCCCTTTCTTGATGCGTAACTGCTAGCTCAGATCCCATCAGTCTGTAGTTGAAGTTGAGCTGTTTTGCCCCAACTTGCATCACTTTTGCTTGCTTATATCGAGCTGCATTTGTCAATTGGATGCCTGTTCTCTCATCTCAGCTTGGAGAGATCCCTTTGCAGCTCCTCACCATCTCTTCTGGTTTTAGTTAACCTAAATAGTTTGGTATCATTGGCAAATCTGACGTCTTCATGGCTTACTCCCAGTTTCAAATCATTGATGAATAGGTTGAAAGCATTGGTCTTAATAGAAAACCCTATACTGGTTACATCCTTCCATTGGAAGAAATTGCTGTTTATTCTCCCTCCCTACTTTTTGTTCTTGATACTGATCCATAAGATGCCCCCTTTCATTCCCTGACTGCTAAGTTTGCTGTACCAAAGTCTTTTGGAAATCCAAGTAAACAATGTCTACCTGATAACCCTGACTGAATGCTTTTTGTCATTCTCAAAGAACTCTAACAGGCTACTGAGAAAAGGACTTACCTTTGAGAAAAGCATGTTGATTCTTTTTCAGCAGGGTTTGTCCCTCTGTGCGTATTGATCCTATCTTTAATAACACTTTCAACCAATTTATCTAGAACAGATATTAAGCTAACTGATCTGGATTTCCCCAGTTTCCCTCGTGTCCCATTTTAAAAGTGTTACATTGGTCATCCTCTGGTCCTCTGGTACAGAGGTTGATCTTAGGGACATATTATTGTAAGGTTAGCAATTTTTACATTTGAGCTCTTAAAGAACTCTGCGATGGATACGATGCAGGTCATTGTTACAAAGAGCTTGATGCCCCACTGTTCTTTTTGCTTTCACTGGAAGGTGGACTACTCTACTACTAGAGTAGTAGCTACTCTAGCTACTCTAGAATTGTATTTGTCCCTCAGGCTGAAAGAGAGTTCCAATCTGTGTTCTAGGAGCTTGACAAGGAACATACACAACGTGCAACAGCTTGAATTAAAACATAAGCCCATGGGCTGTTACATGCAAAGGGTACAACATGCAAAGTTAGCTATAGTTAGACTGTTATAAAAAGCAACATTTGCCTCTAATCTAATGTGCCCCTTGTTAAAGCTTAAACTCTCTGAAAGCTCAGCAGTAAAAACAACACCACTGTGAAATGCTTGGAAGCAAAAATTGCTAAATGTAAAAACATAGTTCTCTGACCTTTGAATCTCAGAGAACATACAAGAGTCACCAAGAACGAGACACATTGCAAATATGTGAAAGACCTGGCATGGGAAGTACTCCATTCTGTAACACCCTAGAAACCTTTTTGCTCCCTGATGGGTTCCACCCCTTCCCACATCATTAAAAATTTAGCTCTGCATTGGTTGAGGACAGGGAATAAATGATCACCACACAAGTTTACTGCATAGAAACAAATTAACTTTTGTCTTTGGGCAACTGGAGTGCAGGGTCCACTTATCAGGGTACACTTCAGCTGGCACAGGGCCATTGTGAGTACACAGTTTTGTAGCTTCGCTGTACCTGTCTTCTCCCAGGCCACAGCTAATCACTCCAACAAACATTTATCTGCTCCCTACATTTCAGAATCTAAGCTGAGATAAGCCAGCTATGCAGTTTTTGAGCCCTAACACAGATTTTATCCATTCCATAGCCTGTAGGCCTTGTCTCATGTACCTTTGGACCCACTGGAATAACAGTGGTAATCTGAAACCATATTGGGTTACAAAGTCAGACAACACATCCAGCTCACATCAGTACAGTGCCTGTAGCATTTTTGACAGCAGGTGTGTGGATCACATTTGTTGGAATCCTTCCCTCCTTTTTAAAAACATGTCAGAATGATAATGTTATCAGTCGCGAAGTTGTGTCCGACCCATCGAGACCCCATGGACAACATTCCTCCAGGCCTTCCTGTCCTCCACCATCCCCCGGAGTCCACTTAAGCTCACGCCAACTGCTTCAGTGACTCCATCTAGCCACCTCATTCTCTGCCGTCCCCTTCTTCTTCTGCCATCTATTGTTCCCAGCATTAGGCTCTTCTCCAGGGAGTCCTTCCTTCTCATTAGGTGGCCACAGTATTTGAGTTTGATCTTCAGTATCTGGCCTTCTAAAGAGCAGTCAGGGTTGATCTCCTCTAGGACTGACTGGTTTGATCGCCTTGCAGTCCAAGGGACTTCTCCAGCACCACAATTCAAAGGCCTCAATTCTTCAGCTCTCAGCCTTCCTTTTGATCCAGCTTTCACAGCCATACATTGCAACTGGGAAAACCATAGCCTTGACTATACACACTTTTGCTGGCAGGGTGATGTCTCTGCTTTTTAGTATGCTGTCTAGTTTTGCCATAGCTTTCCTCCCCAGGAGTGTCTTTTAATTTCTTGGCTGCAGTCCCCGTCTGCGGTAATCTTGTAGCCCAGGAAAATAAAATCTGTCACTACCTCCATTTCTTCCCATCTGTTTGCCAGGAAGTGAGAGGACTGGATGTCATGATCTTAGTTTTCTTAATGTTGAGTTTCAAGCCAACTTTTGTGCTCTCCTCCTTCACCCACATCAAGAGGCTCTTTAGCTCCTCTTCACTTTCTGCCATGAGAGTGGTATCATCTGCATATCTGAGGTTGTTGATATTTCTCCCAGCAATCTTAATTCCAACTTAATTAAGAAGGATATACCATTTCTAAATGCTTGGTTTGGCTCTGATTCACACATGGTAGTTACAAAAATCACTTGATAAGGTGCAGGAAACTGACAGAAGCCATCCTCAAAAAATAGTTACTGCTGAGCCAAAGAAAAGGCCATATTCTTGCAAGTTTCATATTGAAGTACATTGAACATGGCTTATACTGATGGCATTGGATGGCCAGTAAGCCTCTTGCAAAGTAGCTGCCCTATTTTTCATTTCTTTTGGTTATTACAACGTGTATATATATCATACCACATCTAAAAGATTCTCAAGTGGTGAAAAATAACAAGATTTTTAAGAAATGAAAATAAAACAGTATGTTCCAACAATCATAAGTTAACTGAGATCACACTTGAAGTCATTGTAACTGCAGGGCAGTGGTACCTCAGCTCATGAATGCCTCATTTCATGATCAAATTGGGTTTTGAACAGAAATTTCAGAAAAAAATTGCCTCGGGTCATGAAGTCCAGCTTCACGCCCATCTTTGTGCCCAGCTTCCCTGCACGGGTGCGATCGTGGTTGTGCTGCGGGGAGATGACTGCGATTGTTTTTGGATTGGGGGGGTAGGAAGAAGCCCATGATCTTTGTCACTTTGCTTCAAATTTTTGTGATTAAAAAAAAAAATTTACAGAACGGATTAACCTTATTTTCATACTAAATCACTTACTAGCAGAACTCTCCAAATTGTTGAATAGCTTGAAGATTGGTCTGAATACCTAATTCTAGCAACTGCTTACCTCATCCATCTACATCTGAACTGAGGTTGTCTGGTAAAGGGCAAGTAATGACACTTTTTCAGGGAGAAAAATCACCTCATTATTTGTTAGTTACTTTGATCAGTTCTACCATGCATGTTTAGCCACAGGCACCTGTCAATATTGAATTTTGTGTTAAGCAGGCAGCAGGCTTACCACAATAGTAAGATAAATCTAATTTAATATAGTCCAGTATTCTGTTTCTCATAGAATACAGGAAATAGATTCTAAAACAAAAACTACACTATAAGTAAGTACACTATGTATCATCAACTATGTTCTGAAAAGTTGGCTAAAAGTTGATGAACCTGTGGTGTCGATACGAATTACTACCCAAGTTCAGCTGACTATGTTTATTTAGCTTAACTGCATTTCTTTTAGGTTTCCACTATTTGTGAATATCTACCTGATCTGCTATGAAGGAAAGTCTGTCAAAGATTTCATCACTTGCCTGCAGAATCATCCAGAACATTTGTAAGATGGTGTTGTGGCTTCCCAATTAAGTATCCCTCTGCTCAAGGTTTCTGTCAAGGTGATCGCAATAAAAAGCAAGCAAAACAATTTGTATCTAGTTTTAACACACTGGAGACTATATACTTTTGGGGCAGGTGCCATCGAGGGTGAAGCTAGTTCGACACTGCATTTCAATATTAACTTCAGGAGTAAGTTCTATACAAGAATTCTCTTATCATTGCAGCACTGGAACAGCAGAACGATAAAGCTCTTGAGAGATGCTCGGTTAGTCTTCTGTTGAAAATATTCCAAGGCAACATTTAATTACTGAACTACTCTTATGAGCTAGCTAGCTATGCCTTAATGTTAAGCAGGACCTACTGAACTAGAATTTAGCACCAAACCAAGGGCAACCATTTGGGCATGTGTAGCCTCTTCCAAGACTGGCTTCCATTTCCCCCTACAGCACATTGTCTTGCTAATTTAAAACGCTAGGAGGACTGTTCATTCACATCCCTTCCTTTCTTCCTGTCCTTTCTCTCACACTTTCCTCCAGACTTCTTGGGTTCTTTTTTTTCTATTTATTGCCTATTCTCTGCTTTCAGCTACCTTGCCCTTGGTCACTGACCACACAAATATGTAATTGCTGACAAAAACACATTCTCTCATCCTCTATACAATCCTGGGGGGAAATTTAAAAGAAAATGCAGTTATATGATTCTACTTAATGCAAATGGGAAGATTTATGGCATTTTTAGTTAGGTCAGACTCCCATGAGGCCATTTAAAATATTATTCCACAACTTTATTTTGGTAGCATTGAATAACTTTAAAACAGTGTCATGTTAGGTTTGCCCCTTAACTGGACAGTTTGATTTCTGAAAGCAGCTGTTGTGTTTTCTACAATGTATAAACAAGTCCACTGTGTACTTTTTTTTAAAGAAAAGGGCTTAGACTTTTTGTAAACAACGTTTAATTTAGTTAACATAACAGTGCTCTATTTATGCTAAAAGAATCTTCCACATACTTAAAAATATTTGCATTATATATATAAACACCACATATATATCTAGCTTTCAAATCCATTCACAAAAAGAACTGGGAAATAATTCTGTATTTACATTTTATAGTATCAGCATACTGCAAACACTAGTTTCAGTAATTCCAAGTAAGTTTATCAATCTGCAAATTAATATTTACATGTTTTTAAAAAGGTGATACAGAGAAACAGACATATATACAAAGCATGATTTGGATCAGCTCCCACCACATCCTTGGCCCCTATAGAATAAGCATTTGTACACTTCTTGAACAGACACTCACAACAGATCTTGAACCACCCAACTACAATCTGCATAACAGATCCAGAAACTCTGGAGAACTACAGAGGCATAGTGTTTATCATGTAAAAGAGCAAAAATTAGTTTTGGCCTGTATAAGCAGAAACAGAATACAGTAAGATTTCCCACCTTCCTTTGAAAAGATACACATCATATTGAGACACATGAAATACACAAATTGGGAAAAACTTTAGTATGATGTTCAGTAGTATCTAGGTCCAAGGGTCTCCCTGGGGTTAAGAAAGCAGCAGGTCTGAAACAGAGAGCAGTTCATGGGCTTGGAGAAATCATTCAATCAAGAATAATTTTTTTCAAACCATTTGTTTGAGCAAAACTGTACCATAAAAATGGACACAGCCCAGTCGCTGAAGATATATAAACTTGAGCAGCTTTTATAGGAAACCAATTTTCACAACTGTCGTTTTCCTCCTCACAATGTAGCTGAAACTTTCTAGAGGCTATTGTGTACAGCAAGGGAGAAGTGATGTGATGTTCCATCAGGATTTTTCACCAAGAAAGTTCCTCCATTGTCTAAAATGACAGGTTTGCTGGTGAGTTGCGATAGGGCTGTGTGGTACAAGGGCAGGCTAAATATAGCCATATACTGTTCGTGTCGAGGAAGAAAAGTAGCGGCAGTGTGATCTTGTATTTAAGAATACAAATGCTGAACTGCACTGCAGCTAGAATTCTGTACACAGTTTGTAACAAAATCCCCTCCACTTCCTGCTAATTTCTATTTAAAGAAAGGGATACAGAGTTAGTTTCTGCATTTTGAAAAAACAGGTTACACCTTTCTATTGTGGCACTTTGCTCTAAAACCCTAACAAGTTTTTGATGAAACATTTTGTGTCACTGTTAATCTTAAAATCTCAAGCAGTCAAAAGAAGTGGACCTGAAACAGACAAGCAGATTTCACAGATCTAAATACCTATTCACACAGAAATACCTATTCATACAGTTGGTCTATGAATAGGTATATTCCAGTGTGGGAAGGATTTATTCCACTGAACTGATAGGCTTGATTTACACAAAACAAGTCTGTTTATAACTTAAGACAAGAAGCTACTAGAATTTTATAAATGCCTCAGGCATAGATAGCATCAGCTCCCAGATTATTCCATGGTTTGGCAACCCTTTAGAATCTAGACAGTTTTTCTGAAAGTTGCTCAGGAACAGTTGGAATATCTGAGATAGCAACAACATCGGTAGGCCTTGTACCTGTAAAACACGCTCATGACATCATTCTGTAAAAGCGTGTTATATGAAGGTTTCCTTGCCTGGCCTACCACAATTTGGCTTAGTAATGCAGTAGAGTGGATGATTTAAAATTTAAAGTTGGGAGATTTCTGAATTCACTTCCAGATCCATAGGTTGGAACTAGATAATCAAATGCTAGTGTGTCCTCAGACTTAAAGCGATTGCATTTTACTTTACTAGATCCATTGAAGTAACTAGCATCTGCATGGAAAGGTAGAACAGACAAACACTCTCAAAACTGTGTGCTACAATCACTAGCTTCATGTTGCAAACCTTTTCAGCAATTTCTCCATTTCATTAAATCCTCCACTGGACCAATTTATGCTCAGCAGGAGACAAACCATTTCTCAGTCAATGATGACAAAGTTCACTTTTACAACAACAAAAATCATACATTGACATTGGTATAAATACTTATATATAAAGTTAGCCAAAAGTTGATACAGTGCAATTGTTTTTCTTCAAGACAGACAAGAAAAAAAAGTTCAAGTATGTAAAAGCATCCCTAGAAGATGCTAGTTAAGGTCTATTATTGCACAGATAAAAAACAGTTTCTACTCTTTGAATTCATGGAACTGTTTCACACTAATTTTTCAGCTGTTTAGAAAGTTCCCATTCATCTTTCAAATTGTACATGTTTAAAGCATTTCTTAATTCTATCATTTTATTGCTATTTCCATGCCTTCCTTCCCTGTCCCCATCCCATTTAAGGCTAATTTAGGGGTAACTGAGGTGTATTATAATGTAGCGTATATAATATAATGTAGAATTATACTTACATAGTATGTTATGTAGTGTACATAATATACCCAAATATCTGAACATATACCATCCCATTCTTCAGAAACCCTTCTCATGCTTCTGATAAAGAAGCAGATGACTGATTCTACCTGTTTGGAAGAAACCCTCTTTCAAAAAATTATTTTAAGGATATCTAGCAGGCACTATTTTAGATGAAGCTGTGCTCAGAATTAATGGAAGAGTCCACTGGATTCTTATTCAAGGATCTGGCTTCACCAAACTGACCTATTTCATATACCACGGTTGCAAATCTTGACTTCATTAACCCCCAATTAGGTGGGACATGGAGAGTGTGCAAGTCATCAGGCTGAGAGTGGCTGGATCCACACATGGTGCAACAGCCTACAACCTGGGGATTGTTTATACAAAATAGAAGTGGTGCAGTTTGCTGCGATGACAAACTCCCTTGCAGTCTAGCCTACTTCCACTGTACTGATTTTGAAAGGCAGGACTGAACTAAACGTTACAGATCAAAATTTCCTTGTTTAAAGAAGTACTCCCAGTCCAGCATCTCCAGGAGCCACAGCTTTCAATGAATCGGGACAGACAGGTACAAGTCCTCCAATCCAGAGACATGATCCAGTAAGTGCCAGTTATAAGGAAAGAACATTACCACAACTGTGGTCCCTGAGGGCTTTCCATTGTCTTGGAAACTGATTCTTCATTTGCAAGTTGCTCACTGATATTTTAAACAACCTAACCATTTCTTGGTGGCACAGCCACTAACCAGCATACTTCAAAAAGTATATTTAAATCTTCATATACCCAGCATAACTAGGATCAGCCTTCAATCTTGCAACAAGTGTCCTTGGTAATAAAATTCTTCAGTTTGGGCCCAAATGAGTCAATATGGTATCAGGAAGATTTATAGTTATTGTCACCACTAATGTTTTACCTAACAAAACCTTAGGTATTTTCCAACCTAAGTATGATTTTTGTTTTAGTTTGCTCTTTTGGCCTGCTCACCTACAAGTGTGTGTGTGTGTGGGGGGGAGCCTCAGCTGAATGCTTGAGCCTTGCAAAGTTTGGAACATATTGAGAGGTTAAAAATAAAGGCCAGTGCAGTGAAAAACTTTCATGAATGACAGCTTCCTATTTCTTCATATTACCTTGTAAGAAAGTTAACATGTGCAGCCTATTCCAAAACGTGTTTACTCAGAAATAAGTTCAATTGAATTCAGGAAAGCTTACATCTGAAGCATGTTTCAGATTAGTGCTAGGCTGCAATCCTGTACCATCTTATCTGGTGACAGGCCGAACTGAATTCAGCAGGACTTACTTCTAAGTGGACATGCATAGGATTTGTGCTTTTAGTATCTTAAAAGCAATGGTAGGCTAGAGTGATGTTTTTTCACAAAAGAAGGAATATTTCCATTATTCAACGATACTAAAAGTGCATGATGTGCAGTTACTGAGACATTCCCTCTTAGTCTAAGCAGCAGGCCTTCACAGAAGAAATAACTACAAACTCTCAGGGTGTACAAGGTAGAGAATACTTCTGATAGCTTCCAAACCAGTACCAAAATATTAACTCTTTTTGGAACTCCATAAAGCCTTACTGGACATCAGTTACTAGCAGCGATGGCAAACAATTTTCATGGCTTTTAACTAAAGGAAATTGAGGTATATCTGCCTAAGGATGCCAAAAATCCTGTTACTAGTCTCAGAATTGTGCAAAACAAAAGTGCTCTGGACCAGTAGCAACAGATAGTATAATACAACTGGCAAGCTGTTCCCCCAAATTTGTTACCAATGTGAAAATAAGACATTTAATTAACACTGGCACTTATTTAGATGACACTGTAAACTTTGCCTCTTTAAGTCTAGAAGTTGATGTTTAGCACCTTGCAGCACATGATCAGCTGGGCTACTTGCCACAAGGTAGATGGAGGTGTGATAGTTTGTCCAGATAGCTGCCATTGAGATGTATGGAAATGCAATGTACTCTAGATGTATAGAGCAACCGGGGAGCATGTCTTAACTCCATGCACACAGAAGAAATCCAGCCAGCAGTGGAAGCAAATTTGCCATCAGTAGCCATAGGGTTACTACAAGGCTGGGAGAACAGGAACACAAATCTAAAGGCAAAACAGACAAACAAAAAGGAAATACATTAATAAGGGCAAAATAGTTTAGGCATTCCTTTAGGTACAACTGTCGTATTTAGGCCCATATTCAAAGTAATCTACTAGGGTGAGAAGCAGAGGTTCTTCAGGAGTTGAGAGACATTCATGAACTATTTAACCACATTAAAGAAAAGCAGAACAGTAAATGGAGGTGTGCAGCATGCAGACAGGCTGCTTGTGTGAATATAGACAGCCCTGGGTATTATTATTATTATTATTATTATTATTATTATTATTATTATTATTATTATTTTGGTTCTGTTCTCTTCCTCTAAAACCTTTACAGCTGTGAAGGAAAAGTTAAGTTGGCTGTCCTGTTGCTATGATCACTATTTTGAAAATGTTAGAAAGAATGGAATAAAAGCCCTTCTAGCTTCTCAAATATACTAAAAGTTCATTTAAGTGCACTTATTTCAAGCTACCTACAGCAAAAGTCCAAGATTTCTCTCATTTTTTGAAGAGTTATCTTGGGTTCACTTACCGATAGATGCAACTCGCGTCAAATTAGCAATTGGAGGAGGCTCTTGCTCAGGTGGACAGAAATCACAGAAGTCTGAGCATGCTGGGCAAATCAGATTCCCAATATGCACCCATCCATTCATCTGAATATTCACCATTAGAATTTGACCAGAGTGACTGCACAGGTATGCCATGTCCTTGACCCAGACCGTCAATCCACGGGGAGAACAAGAAACCTTTGAAATAAAGTCGGACTTGTTATGTTTATGAAATAGACTGAACAAAAATACACGTTCAATTATTCAATCTCTTCTACTGTCTTTTAAGATACATTTATTGCTTTCTGGCTGTCTGGAGAAAAGCTAAACAATTGTACTATAACTTGAGACTGTCTGCATGCAGACTTGGAAGATGGCAAGCAGGGTAGGAGGGGCTTCTACTCAACTGTAGAGGCCAGTGGGGAGGGCGGAAGGAGACTCCAGGTTGTGTCCAGTGTGGTCATTCCACTAATGCAAAGGTAGGAAGCCTCTCAGTCTGAGGGCTGGTCTCAATTTTGGAGAAGTCCTCCAGGACCACATTCCAATGGTGGGTGGGGCAAAGGCAAGAGCAATAGGGTCCAAAATGGAAAACAAAAAATACTAGCATACTATGGCTCGAAGCTCTTGCCAGCAGTAAATTATCCTTAGAGAGGCATTTTAACCCTTTAGAATGGAAGAAAAGCCACACAAAAACTGGGAAAATCACTGAATGATCAGTGGGTGGGAGATGGGGAATGTGTCATCTGGAGAACCTCTTTACCTCTGCACTAATGGAAAGCTGCTACGGCTTGCAGAAGTCCCATTTGCAAGTGGTCGAATCCAGTACTTTGATTCCAGTTGTGTGAGCAATTGTACAGTATGATTCACAACTCATTATTTCCTTACATTAGGTATTGCACTAGTAGTTCTGGCAGCACAATCATTAGTGGAATGTGCAACTGCTAGGGGAATGCCACTTCGTGGACTTTTTCCCCTACACTGGAGACTGCCTATTTTGAATTTCATCTGCACTGCCCTCATGCTGTCACAGTAACATAAAGTAGGATATATCAATTGAGTAACCGCAATTGCAAGATCAGCAGAGCATGTTCCTCACTCCTAGGATATTCTACTTCTACTGTTTCCAAGTGTTTACCCAAGAAATAATGAAAGCTCTATGTATACCTTTTACCTATAATTTGCAAATTTCTATTAGATTCTAACGCAACGTAATGTTGAGCAATCCTGAGCAAAGAATACTCCCAGTTTGCATTTGGGAAAATGCAGTTGGCCACAAATACAGATTTTTGCCACGATAACAGCAACAACCCATCCTGATCACAGTGCAACCTTAGACAATGCAAAGTTGAATTAAGAACTCCTGTGGTTACCTGGTAACATCCACTACCCCAGTCAGGGTAACTGAGTTTCCTCCTGCATTGTTCCATAACAAAAGCTGACTTCTGAATGAGACAAACAGAATTTGGTCCATATTTCTCTGCACCATAGTTTTTGAAAGGATCTAATGAAAACAAATACAGTTTTCTGCTAACAATTGTGTGTTCATGCAGATAGCAAAGCAATCAGTACTTACTGTAAAAAGTAACTCATAGTCATAAGCAATGTCAAAGGTATTTTGGTCGAGTACTATCTCGAGTTAGCTCAAAAGAAGCTTCAGTGGGTGCAGTGGAAGTTGATAGCTTATAGCCACCTTTATTGTCCCAGTAGCCTCTTCCCAGAAGGCTTTTACTTTTCCACAGCTCCGCTATTATCTCCTATACATATTGACAGAGGATACTTTAAAAAACAAAAATAAGTCTTGTGGCACTTTCAAATATAATCTTTATTTTGGCATGGACATTAGCCATTTCATCAATCCATGAATCTTTATGCTGCCACAAGACACTTGTTGCTTTTGTTGCAAACACTGCTAACCCTCCCAAAATTAAAACAAAAACCAAGAAACTTGTGGCAGTTGAAATGCCAATTGTAATACCTTATACAAAATTGCTACTAACAGAAAATATGATCAGAGTAACAATATTGGTTAAACGTGACTAGTTTCTTATACTGTTCCCACATATCTTTATGTAAGCATTCCAGAAAAAAAATCAAAACTTCATGGCAGGAAAAGTGTTGTGTTTAGGGTCACACACATGAATGGTATAGACAACACCACAGTTTGTGCTAACAGTAGTTACAAATTCACACATAGTTAGAGCTTCCAGACATGCAACAAGCAAATCAGAGTTTGGACCTGCTTTGTGCTTCTGTTCCCATCTGCTTAGCACTCAGCTTTGTAAATTTACATCTGTAGTGATGGTGCAGCAGCCTCATAAAGTTGAGCAATAGCCCTGACTGTGGATTGTCAACTGTCAGCAAATCCAAATGTAGTAGGAAGCTGGGGCTAGAACAAATCAAGGTTTGCAAACTAGTTTCCAACTGTGGTTTCAGATGCTAGTTTGTTGGCTATAAATTGTGGGCAGGCTTGGATTCAGACATGACATGAACTCCATATTTAATCTAGCAAACCATGGTCCCCTATTACATTACATGTTTCTAAATACTATTTAGGAATGAACCAAGTGCAAACCAACTGACCTGGTTGATTTTCCAGTATTCTACAGTCTGAACTGCGCTGAAATTCGCCACTTAAGTGCCAGCTAAATTCCTGACTGAAAGGACAGTAGTCAGCAATTTCAACTGAACCCCCATAATAAGGCAAATCTTCTTGTGGTACTCCATACAGACTGTCAAAGTACTGCAGACAAGAAGAAAGTTATAACAGCATAGTTCTGTCATTGTCATCACTATTTCTGGTGGTAACAGGAAAATAGATCCATATACAGAAACCCACGTTAATATGCAACATCCTGGAATTAACGATCATCAAAGCACTAGGCTACAATTACTACAATGATTTAAATACTTTTGGCCCTAACAATATTACTAAGTGCTGTATGAAAAATTAAACCAATACTGTCTGTATATACAATATCATCTTATGCTGATGTAGTGCTTGGCAATGAGTCTTTTGTTATTTTAGCTTCAATTCATTTGAAAAGGTTTCTAACAAATATTGGAAGTGTAAGGTTAAATCTATAGATGAAACTGCACAGCAAATGGCATGTCTTTATGATGCTGCCTAACTGGCCATTTTCATTTTGCCTATACCAGCCTTCCCCAGCTTAGTGCCCTCCAGATATTTCAGACTTCGGCTCCTATCAGCTGAAGCCCTCACATCTATTGGACAGGAATCTGGGGATTAGAGGCCAAAACACACCAGGCAGAAGAAGGCTAGCCAAAACTATGCTCCCTCTTTTCCCATTTTTGAACAGTGCAAAATAAAGCTTGCATTATGCTGCATGTAACAATGATAAATTGTCGATGGGGAGCAGCCCCATCCAGTGATGCCACTAGTTCGTGAATCGGGGTGGTGAGATAACAAGCTGTGGTGAATCTAGAACGGAAACAACAGATCTGAACTCCTCCTCACAGTCACATTGATGGATGGGCAAAGCGCTAATTCCAAGGTTCGACAAGGCCCTTGACCCACAGGACAGAGGTACGTATGTGCAACTGCTTTTGTTTCACGTGTCATACACAATATACCTGATACTCCTGAGGAAGCTGTTGAGAGAACTTCTGTAAATTGCAGACTGCTACTGCTCTGTGGTCCTGTCTGCAGGTTAGTTGCAGTGGATTACTCCGCAGGGTGTCACAATATGGGGCTACCAATTCTTTCCTTTGAGTAAGGTTAAAAACAGCAGCAACAGAACTGTTAAGATCTTGTACACATCACTGACCCCTTTATCAATATTGATTACACAAGCATTCATACAGCTTAACACAGAATACGTAATCTAGATAACAGGATTCTTACTTTTTCCGCCTGTGGTCAATCCAAAACTTACAACTTTTCATCACAAAGTCACAGCCTTTACCTCGGCCCCAGTCTAGTTTTTCTGCCATGCTGTAATTGGCTTTATACCAGCTGCAGAGAGATGTTGATACAGAAATGCTGTTATTGAGCTTATAAAAATCTATTGCAAAGATCTTGAATGAAATGTCTCTGTGACTCATTAGGAACCAGGTATAAATGACTCATTGTGAAGCAAGTATTTTATAATGTCGCTGACTGGCTATTGTCAGCCTCCTCCACCAATTCTTACCCAGTATCTTCCATTAATGCCAAAGTGATCCGGGAGAAGACCCTGTTCTGTGTATGTGATCCAGTCATGGCTTCATTCTGAAAATAACAGACAGCAGCTATTAGCTTCAGAAAACTGATCAAACAGAACAGCTGGCCTCTTCTGGAAAGGGATAAACATACATTTTTGGCATACTTTAGTACCAAGGCCCATTTAACTGTTTCTATCAACTGTCAGTCGATCAGTAGAATTGGTGAACTGATTAGAGTTTCACGGGCTGCTGAGACATAATCATATGGGTCAAGCACAACTTCTCTAACCTGTTCTTTTGTTGTAAATATTCTAGTGACAAATGGCTGAGTGGACAGATTGAAAGAAATGAAGGTAGCTACTGTAATGCATGTTTTAGTAACCAAGACACAGAACATATAACACTATTGCCTGATAGTCTTACAAAGTTGTAACTTACTAAGATTGGTTCATAAGGTTCTGTGCTATCTATATAGTAGCAGAGGTCGAACACTAACAAGTACTGAGGAAATATGGAACCGGGGGCACAGGAAGAGGAACGGTGAAAAGAACTGATTATTGGTCTTTGTTCAAACTTGGATCAAAACAGTATGCATAAGAATTCACATTAAGCTGTAGGGAACAGTAAAATAATTGTTTTAATTAGGTTAGGGTTCTCTTCCCACCAATACTAGAATTAAATTAATCCAAGATCATATAACCTTTCATTTTATAATGACACTCACAAAAACACCTCACAATAGGTATACTATAAAGTTATACTAACCTCTAATAAACGCTTTTCCCAATGATTCAGCTCTGTGCCCATGCCACCTTGGTTTTCAAGTTCCATCCCCTCTAAAATTGGACAGTCAAAATGTTTTCGGGCCTCCTCCTTCAGAAAGATACAACAGAAGGCAATGGTCAAAATAATTAGCAATAACCAGTGTCTGACAACGAAAGCTAAGGTCTTTCATCCCACTTACAATGTTTACATTAAAATACAAATACATCAAATAAAAAAAAAAATCTTGCCATTCTGGGGAAGGGAAGCAAATCGAGGGACCGTTGGCAGTTCATGGCATTCAGGAACAGAAATTAGTTTACCTGTGACAGGTAACATACACTTATCCTCGTAAGACACTACCTTGAAGCATTAGGCAGTCATTTAAATTTGTCCAGAATGATTAAGCTGTCTGAGTCACACTGTGCTGAACTGACAGACCTAAAAGGGTATCATAGATTCCCAACTTACTTAGGTGTCTATGAGAAGTTGCTGTGGTGTGGGGGCGAGAAGAGAAACAGTAGGGAATATATATATCCACAGCCTCACTCTAGTATGCACCCTTGGCTGGCGCAGCCATCCCTGAACCCACTGATACAGTATACAGCACAGGGAGAAGTTCATATTATCCCTATTTGCGTGGCGCAGTTTGAGGACATTGGGCTTGGGAGACAGGATCATGTGCCTCAACCCATTCTCTTCTATCCCAGGATCCTTTACCTACATAGGGATCAGTCCCTTCCAAACCTGAAATGGTTGGTGGGGAGGGTAAATTAAAGATTAGAAACACTTTTCTTCTAATTGGAGGGAGACGTGTGCATCCAACAGTGGCAAACTGTGTGCTAATCAAGCCATCATTGCCAGGCCATGTTCTGCACGAGCTGCTTCCCCATTGCGTAATCAACCTCAGATCAGCCAGGTGGCACATGTGACATGCGAATCTAGACACTCTGGGTTATTCAGGATTTACTATCCCCTGCTAAAATTAGTTCTTAGGTTCATTTTGAGTTATTTCACCTATAAAGCAAGCTAAAGTGTGCAGGTCTGTACATCATGCAGCAAACTAGAATCAGGCCAATTTGAGGTTGGTTCTGCAAACAGAAGTGACTTGTGCATGGCAGGCAACCCAGACAATCATAGCTTTATTAACGCACTGTTTGGCACAACTGTGTGTGAGTTTGGCCTAAGCGGCTTCCTCCATTGACCCTAAGCCCAAAAAGGAGCCACTATTCTCCCTTCAGGCACCCGGACTAGGGCCTTGGCTGCCACGACACGAACAGCAGGCTACCTTGCCTAACAGCATTGCAGCGTGCTGCAGGTGTGCTAGTGCTCCACCATCAGCCCACCAGAGTCCCATGGCAGCACATGGCTTGTCCACTCACTCACTTCACACAGGAAGCAGTATTTTCTGCATAGCTGGAAAATGCACAATCCCTCTTCCTATTCCCATGCCAGTGGGTAGCCATGTCTTGGTGCCTTATTCATTGGCAAGAGATTAGCTGCTTTCAGGGTCATGACCCTAAAGGTAATTCTTCCACTTAGTTTGGATTATTTCACCAATAAGCAGTTCACCCAAAGTTTTGGGACTTAGCTATTCCTATAGTTCTCAAAATGTTGTATAAGCCACCCTAAGGAGGTATGGGTTGTTGCAAGGATCTATATATATGGCAATGTGGTTATTATGAAAAAAATGTTAAAATACTACTTACAATTACTTTGGGAGTTATCAGAAGGAATATATTATGATGCAATATCTTATTACCCCGTACATCCCACAAACGTACTGCTTTACGTACAACTTTATTGCTCCACTGATATACACCAAGGCTGAAAGAAACAGATTGAATTAACATGACTGGCAAGTGGGGTCATTTTTAAGTTTTATAATGGGCTGACTGAAAAATCTTGAAAAATATTACGAAGGGGAAAATTGCTCCCAATGAGGGGCATGGGGGGAAATTAGCTAAGCAAGCAAACCATTTGAATCACAGAGTTATTAACATGCTGACAGAACAACTGTTTCTAGGTGGTAACTATGCCTACCTCAGTGCTAAAAGGTTTCAGTACCTTTCATTAAATGGTGGCAGTCCACTTGCATATCTGGCTGTCAAAGGATTTCCATCACTATCACGATAAAATGCAAATAGTCCAGCAGAGAAACCCTTAAACAGAACACAAAATTTAACACACGTTACTTGTGTTAAATGTCTAATCCAGAAATCAATAAAAACCTAAAACGTTAAGAAAATTTCCTGAAAGTAAGGTGCGCATTTTGACAAAGACAACAAATGGGTTGTTTAAAAATAGGACAGAAAGAAAGAAAGGTCATTCTTCCATAGCACAATACAAGAACAAGGAGCATGTTACTAATAGTTAAACTGATGCATCAAATATCAACTCTTACCAAAGCATGAATAATTTCATGTTTCACTGTAGACAACATGCCAACAAACTCTTGGGCTTGGGTTGAAATCATATTTGGACACAAATTAGCATACCCTGCAATTGGTCTGGGATATAATGAGAAAAATATTTATATAGAATTAAAGTTGCACAAAAATATGCTTCATACAGGCTGCATTCACAAGTCACCTTAAGCAATCCTGTGAATAACCAATGGTAGATTATTCAGTAATCATGATGTGCCAACAGTTGATCAGGTTCACCATAAATTGTCCTGGCCATTTCCCACCCAGTCCTCCAGCTGGTATCCCCAGCGAATTTGGAAGCTAAAGCTGCCTTGTCTCCTCTCCTCACTGTAATTGCAAATCCTTTTCTGTTCACTGTAGCTTTCTTTCCTCTTTTGTTCCAGAGAGTGCTTTTAGCATTCTCCAAATTGACAGCTCCTCCAAAGTACCTAAGTGGCACATTGAAGGGGCTGTTAGTAGTTTACCACACATTCAAGAAATGTGTGCATGCATGCGCACATGCACACCCCCCTCCCAGCCAGGTGATTGAGTAAGTAAGTAGACTCTTGCAAGGGTCTGAAATAGGATTGAGATGAACCCTTTCAGAATCTGTTCCTCCAGCTTCTGTGGACTTCCTCTCGTGCTGGACCCAGTTCTGTAAGGCAGGCCAAGCCAAGCGGAAGTCCATGGATGCTTGTGGACCCGGGATTGCACAACTGTCAACCTTCCCCATTAGGAGTGACTGCAGGATACAGAAGAGGGATGTTATGAGCTGGTGTGCCAGGTGCCATTCCTAGTGGCCAACCTCGTCCTCCACTTGCTGCTGCATCTGGTAGCAGTGGACAAAGACAAAGGGCACTGCTTGCATACCACATGCGGCTTGATTCCGTGGACACTGGGCATGCTTTCCAGAAACTCAAACTCCAGACTGCTAAGCCTAGGAAATCCCACTGATTCGCACCCCCAAATGGATTCCTTGCACACTCCTATTCTGAAATGAGAATCCTCCCCTGGGCAACATGTTAGGCAGTATCTGCTGTCAAAGTGCAGCACTAACCATGGATGTTTGCTCAGAGAGGCTGTATGCACATTCATTTTTTAGTTTGAGCTCTCCAGAGAGCTGTGAAAAGATAACCTCAAGACAAAACAAAACCACGATTGATCTTTGCTCATGAAAGGGAGTGATCATCCCCTTTCCAGCAAGATCCTCCAGGGTTTCTTTTTTTGGGGGGGGGGGTTGCATCTTTCTACTCAGTGTCCTGTTCCCAATACCCTCAGTAAAATCTGCAGCTTGGGTTCAGATGACACAAAAATCCATTTGGGTACAATAACCCCTAAAACAAGCCATGGGCTATTTGGGTGGTTTGTTACCTACAAAGAAACCAGTCTTGCAGGAAGTGGACCAAGTTCACACAGCATGATAATGCACCATAGTCTGTTACCTACAATGGGTTTGTATGTCATATGAAGCTAGACAATGTCTTAAGCTGCAAAGCCAACCAAGGGATTAAAGTATTTATTCACACTGAACAAACAGTTGGAAAGTAAATTCAGCAACATAACAGTACAGAAAGATAAATACCTCCCCATTAAAAAGTCATCCTATTGAAAAATGACTAAGCAAATGAGATATTTAAATACATATAAACTTATGTATTAGTCAATAAACTCTCTCTTTTCCTGTGCTCCAAAAGTACATCTAAATCCACTGCCTTCCAGAATACTTCAGCTAAGTGGGAAGAAACAGCCAGAAACACAAATATTATCTAGCTTTTGGAAAGACTAATTCAGCTTCTGGGAGGAAGGGAGGGAGAAATAATTGTGATGAGTGGCTCTGATGTGCTACAGGTGTGATCAGGAAAACCTGTTGCAACAACAAATGCTATCAGAATTGTACTAAAAGAAACTTATGTTTATGCTGAATAGGATACTGCCCAATGTTACATTTAATTTGGATGAAAATGTTACCTGTCCATATCCGCTTCCAGCTGACAGTATGCTGCGTATGCAATAATGTTTTCTTGACCACATCTTTCTGTAGTTAGCGCGCTAACATACAATACAAAGTCCGTATCTCGAATCCCTTCCTGGTCTGCTTCACCAACAGGTCCACAAAGCCCTCCATTGTCGCGACACACCCGACACTGCTAAGATGTTACATTTAGGAGGAATGAGTTTTAAATAAAATTGAGTAAGGGGATATTTGTTTTACATTCTTAGACTGAATGAACATATTTAGTCCAGGATTTTCTACTTATACAGACTTTCTGTTATTAGGCAAGGTCAATAACCTGCATGCCTGAATATTTTTCTGCAAGCTTTCATAAGATATTCTCTCCAGAATCCACAAAGTGTTTTTTAAAGAATCCAAAATTCAGAAAGCAGTTTGACAAGTAAAGAACAAGAGATGATCCAAAGAATGACCTTAGTACATGGACAATATTTTCCTTGCTTTTCCTTTTGAAATAGCTCTCATAAGTATTGTTTTGAATCCAAAACCAAATTTTAAATTATTTAAAAAGCCTTGAAAATGCTAACTTCCTATGTACAGATTTTGCAAATTAGGCATGTATCATCTAGAGATGATCTGACATGTTATACTGATATTATGGGGCTATTGTACTCATGTGATGTGTACAAGTACATTGTTTACTGCATTCAAAATGTAATATTGTGAACCTGAAAATTTGGTGCCAGGGAACTGACAGTGGACAGCTTGACACCGAGCATGTATCCGTCTTGTTTTCTTAAAAGTTTTGAACAAGCAAACTGGTCTTTCCATATCAACCATTTCATTTCATTTCTGGACTCAAGGACACTGGGACAGAGATCACCAAGAAGCATAACACTCTAATAAATAAATGTATATGGAAGAATCCTCACAAGGAAGTTTAAAACAAATGGAAACATATATCAAACCATTTTAAAACAATATGTGAACTAATGCTTATTTTTTTTCAATTTTAAGATCAATCAATATCACATCACTGAACTCCCCATCTTCCCTCATTCAAACTGAGTTCACCCCTCTCACATTTCTGCTTAATTCAATACCAGGTCCTCTCATGAATTTTAACTTGTCTGCTATTACTATTCACTCTTCCTAACCCTATTCCACCTGATGCCACTGACTGCTCTGCTACCAGAGTAAGTCATATTCTGCTACCAAAAGAAGTCATAAACTGTCACTGCTTTTGCTTCTCTGATGTCACAGCTAGCCCTTTTTGTCCAGGAACCAAAGAAAGATGATCATGTGAAGTAAGCCTCCTCATCATGAGCCTCATGCAGTTTCAAATTATATGCCAGAAGTGAAGATCAGTTTAGTGATGTTAGAGCTCCCAAACATGTGGTATTTGTAAGGAATTACTGTTATACATATTTTTCTGGGTTTTTTTTTTTATTGTAGAGGCATAAAAATGTGATAGCGTTAAACAGGTGCTACAAATGCTAGCAATATTTACCTACTAGAAGAGGACTGAATTACCTGCAGGTGTTCCTCAGGAACGATAACTGGACCACATCTTGTATGCTCTGCACAGGCTCCTCGGCAGTATCTGTGAGGATCATCCTTCTTCCTTAAATATTGGTTTGTCACACACTGTCTTCAAGCAAATCAGAATTAAATGTTTACTAAGGAATTTACTATAAAGAATAATCTCACAAAACAGGGTAGGACAATGAAGAAGGATGCAAGTATTACAGTGCAACAAGTTTGATCAACTAATCAGTAGTGTAACCTACTTTTATGGGATCAGAGGAAGGAAACTGATCTACAAGCAGACTGAACTCTTACAGTTTTTGTTGATTCTTTTCTATTTCTATTATTCCACAATACTAAAGAGCATACATACCTGCTTAATAGGACAGTACCAGTAGGTTTCTGAACTTGAAATGTCTTCTCTAAATAAGAAATAGCTTGTGGGAAAAGCTTATTCTAAATATAAGGAAAAATAATTTTTAAAACTTCATACTAAAGAAAGTTGATTATAAAGAATAAATTATTATTATAATTATAAAGAATAAATTCACATGGCTCACAACATTTACTAAGTATCTTTTTACAGTGCTGAACTGAACGGGATATGCATGCTTGTTACTAAAGGGATGGTGATCTTATTATGTTTTCAGACTATAAATAGGACCTGTGTGTTCTTGAACTTTACAAATTCTGCACCATAATATAACACAAATTAGTATTTTTAACCCCACTGCAAAACCAGGTCCTGACAGGAAGCTTGCTCATTATTTATATTTTTAGGGCACAAACTGATAAAGCTGCCCAACCAAGCTGTTCAACTTCTGAACTCAAAGGATTACGGGCATCCAATGCAGAGCAGAAGAACAAAAGTTTTCTCTATGTCCATTATGCTCTACAAAGCAGCTAGGCAGCCAATTTCAGCCACCCAGGTGTGGTTGAAAGAGGAGGAAAGAAAGCTGAGGTACCATTCAGATAGGGCATATCTTGATGTTGCTGGTCTCCTTGCATTCCCCTGAAACGCATCCTAAATTCCTTATCTGGGGTTGCTGTTATGGCCTTGGAGAAGCAACTGGCACAGTTCTTTCCATGCCATCAGCAAGGCAGGGGAGAAGAATCTGAGCTCAGTTTCTCAGATACAAGTGCTATTCTGACATCAGCTCTGAGGGTCATCAAACCCCAAATCTCTTGTCTAGTGCTATAGGGCTTTTCAGTTAGTATTTCCTCCAATGTTAATGTTTAAGCTTCGTTAAAGCTGCCAGAGGTACCAAAAGTGGAATTTACAACAGAGAGGAAAGGCCGAGAGATAGTACAAGCCTGCAGCTTGCTCCTAATTTCTTAACCATGGTTAAGATAACACAAAATGTTGTATTGATACCGAGTTTCAAGGAAGTTTCAGTTGTGGGGCAAACTGTTTACAAGATTTGGGAGTGTCCTTTGCATGCATTGATGATTCAGACCTTTGGAACAGAACAATTAAACAAAAACACCATTCAGTAATATTCCGTACACATGGAAGAAAGAAATGTGACATACCTTTATAAGGTGCCTTTTTTCAGGCAGCAGTCTATGAAAGAGGAAAGCCATTATTTATTTTCTCTATATATAAAATGCCATCACCAAGCACATTTTCCACTTACTCCAGATTCACCTCTGATATTCAGCTCCTGCATCCTTTTCCCCATTTCCTTGATTTTTTGGAGAGGAAACTAGGAGAAGAGGGGGTGGCTCTTCCCAGCATACAGCCAATTTCCAGTCACAATAAGAATTTTGAAAGGCTGCCGTTATACTTACTCCTCCACACTTCTGTCATACACAATCTTAATTCTTAGTTGTTCATTAACATTTCTCTTCATGACATGATTTTCCTTAAGATAAACTTTGTAGATAACCTGGACAAAGAATAAAAGGAATTGACAAGCTGTTTTTGTTTTTGTTTAAAGTAGGGACACGTCACATTTTCTATTTAACACATTTATATCCTGAGCCAATGAAAATACACAGTCCAACACACAGCAAATCCTAATGAGCTCAACAAAGTTTATTTCTTAGGTACTTGTCTAGAATTGCACTCATACTTGGAAATAAGTCTAATAGATTTTACTGCTAAGTTAAGCACTATCTATCATCTAGGTATAATGTCATAATTTTCTTCTATTAGGATTCAATGTATATATGACCATCTTTTACAACATTAGGATTCCTTGTAAAAATTTTAAAATGCAGCCATTGTTATAGTGTATTTTTACTCAGTGGCTAAGCCTGAAAGTGATAGTGTACTTAAAGAAAATAGTTCCTGTAAATAATAGATACTGATCATATTTAAGACCATTTAATCAGAAGTAAATTCCACTGAGTTTAAATGGGGCTTACCTCCAGTATGTAAGTACAGAATGCAGCCTAAAACAATTTATCAAGCATTCCACCTAATCACACAATTAACTATTTGAAAAAAAATGCTTCAACATTTTTAACACAATCTGCAATACTGTTGATGCTAGAAGGAGGAAAGTGAATTGCAGCTGAAAAGAAAAGGCTAAAATGTTGAGACTCCTACATTATTTGATCTAATAAGCTATGAGTATTGCTTTTCATGTCTCAGCTAGCCTGTCACTGAGGACAACATCCAGTACCCAGTATTCTATAGCATTCTATAGTGAGAATCCTGAAAACTTCAGATGTTATCTAACAGCCAAACTGATGTGCTCTTCTCAGAAACAAATTCCACATTTATGGAAATTACTCCCAAATGTACAGGACTTCAGCCTAATGCAACTTTCTAGGAACAATGGTTGCATTTGTAAGCATTAGAACTGCCAACTACAGGGTGTCCCAAAACAAATGGAAAATCTAAGCATGAAGTGTCTTCAAACCTTAATGATTTCAAATGGCCATTTAATAATCACAGTGAGCTTATGTATACGTCTAGTTAGTGCTAGAGCTTTGGCATCACTGTCTGCTGGAATTCCACTCACTCAAGAAGTCCAGTCACTGGGCTGAGTCACTTTATTACTGGAGCCCATTGTGGCTTATCTCAGCCAAGATGGCTTGCAGTGCATGTGGGTGGCCATTTTAAATACTCAGATCCTGATGGGGGTAGGGTTACCATGGCTTGTCATGTTGCCTGAAAGCAAGCAGCAGGTGTTCTTTGAAGATTGAACAATCATCATACCATCTTACAACAGATCATGGGCCATGTGCGGTTTTTGCAGGATTGTTTAACCTCCAACAATGATTATTTTGTTTGTGCAGTGATCATTAAATTTGTGTTCAACATATGCTGCAGATTAAACAACCCATCATGGTTCAAGGAACAGTGTACATGTGAACCAGGTTGGTGTTAAAATTAGATTGTAACTATGCCTGAAATCTAAGGCAACAAAGACCGCACATTTACTGAAAAGAATTTCCATTCAACACAGTAAGATTTACTTCTGAGTAAGCATGCATAAGGTTTCCTTTTCACTTCCATGAACATGGATAGTATTCAACATTTTTAGACTAGGCTCCTTTCTGATAAACCAATGTGAATTAAATGTGCTGCTTAGCGCTTTTAATTTGGGAGGTGGAATATCTTAATATGTAACATTACTCCCATTCCTATGAGAAATTTCTGTAGAAATTTTAACATACATGGAATGGTGGTTTACAAAAGATGCCTACTTTAAGAAACAAAAGGAGATCAGTTCTAATCTCAGCATTTTGCCCACTGGACCATGTTACCTCCTTGCAACAACAAATAGATGAAATTGTCCAAATGGAATACAGCGGGTTTTACAATACAGTATGCAATACAAAGGCAGCGTAGAGCTACGCCCTTGCTTTGATTTCTTGAAATGGATCGGTTCAGCTGAAGGCACAATACTATACAGATTTGGAGAGTGAAGTCCTACAACTATCAGTATAATATTATTACTATTATTATTATTATTACTAGGATCTAAAGCTCCAAAGGTTTTAAAAGGGCATTAGTCAAAATTTCTCAGTGAAAACGGATTTGCAAGGATGTATGGAAGTATCAAACACACCAACAGGTTATTATCGCCAGAAATTAGGTCACTCATCACCAGCACTAACAAAGGGACCCTCACAAAAGCACGAAACAGAGGAAATTTTAACACAGAACTCGCAATATATAATCAGGGCTTCAAAAAGTATACGTATACCATTTTAACTTATCTTTTATTTTAAAAAACGCGATCCAAGCAAACAGACAAATATTACTACATACACTTCAGTGAGAGCACCGTTACTATACGTGAGTCAACAAGCGAAAAAGGCACACAAGAAAAAATTAAATAAGTTTTAACAGCCCGTCGATTCTTAAGGCTTGATGCAGCTTCCACACCCTCATTTCTCCCTTTTCCAATTCGCTATTTCATCTCCCTCTTTCCGCAGGACTCTCACCTCCCTGGCGTTGGGAACCCGGTGGTGACAGACCGGGGAAGCAGCGGCTGGACCAGAATCCGACAAAAGCAGCACGGCGAAGAGAGCCGGGAGGGCGCCGAGCGGCCGGGGAGGATGGAGAAGCCCCCGGCCTCTTAGCTTGGCCGCCATCTTGACGGCCACCTTCGTTACTGCCGCATCTCCATGGTCGCCGACAGGCAATGGAGGCAGATCACTCTCCTAAGCCAATGATAAAGGGCGGAACTTTAAAGAAGAAATTCTATTGGGCACACCTCTCCATCGGAGCCGGCTTCCATTCATCCGCAAAAGAAAGCGAAGAGGAGCGGACTTAATGACGTCAAGCGCAGAGGTCCTTCAGTCAGCCAATTAAAAAAAGCAACAAAGTGCTGAGGAACGTGATTGGATGTCTCTCATTGGGCAGGGCAAAACTCGGATGGGATGGGCGGGTGTAAGGTGTATTGAGGTCAGCGTGAAAAGTGCATTCTTTTCCAACAAAGTACTCGTTGGGTATATTGGACTACAACTCCCAGTTTTCCTGACCATGCTGGCTGGGACAGATGAGATTTGAACTGGAAGACAGCAGATTGGATAAAGGGAATTTAGAATACCCTGTTGGTTAAGCTGGAAAAGCAACCACTTCCTGCTTTTGAAAATGTCATTGCTACGCTTGGTTAGACTCTTATCAAGCTTGAAAAGGGGGGGGGGGGTGCAAGAGTTGATCATTCTATTATTGAGATCATCAGGATAATTATTAAAGGATTATTGAGAGGAATTCTACTCCAGGCGACGCTCCAGTTTGCTGTAGCAATATTGTAGCTTCCCTTTTCATTCTTAACGTCCCTAGTGGAGTAGCCTGATGGAAATCTTGATCTCTAAGTTCCTAATTTCTTAAGCAATGGGGAAACGAAGGCATGAAATCTCTGCTACCTCAGCAACCCTCACCCCCATACTAGATGCTAAACATATTTGCCTCCTGTTGTCAGAAAAAAGCACTTTGAAGGCATGTCGGGGTTTATTACTACAAGAGCTATTATTAACAGTAACGTACAAGCATCCAAGGGCTCTGGAATTCTTCTGCAGGAGGGGTATTAACTGATGCGGGGCAAGCAGAAATCGAATTGTTTTTTGAGCATGGTGGAAACGCCCATTGTTAAACTCTTAAAATGGAATGGAGGTGTTTTGCAGATGGTTTAGGCAGCAATCCACTTCCTACTTGAGAATAAACACATTGTGTAAAGTGAGATCTGCTTCTGAATAAACATGCCTAAGATTATATTGCCTGAACTGAAGGACAAGATGACACTGTCTCACATTCCATGCCAAGCAGATGAGCAATTCAGTCTTAGCACTGGAGCTGGGACAGCATTTACCACAGCACCTGAGAAAGGAGGAGAGCATAGGCCTCACGCATTTCTGTGCCCCCCCTCCTGCCCCATCATAACCTTGCAGCTGTTCCCCGGTGCCTGCCAGCCAGGATGGTGTCATCATTCTAAGTAATGGTATGGCCAGCCCTAGGGAAAGCAGCAGTTACAATGGCCAGGAAAGGAAGGGAGAGGCCCTCCTTGAAGGGCTAATGTGACATTGTGGGTTGTGTTGGACTGGGAACCTGGGAGATCCAGATTCTAGTCTCTACTCAGACATGAAGCTCGCTGTTTGACTTTGGGTCAGTCACTTTCAGCATAAACCACATCACAGGGTTGTTGTTGTTGTGATGATAAAATGGAATGGAGAAAGACCATGTCACCCTCCCCCCCTCCCCCCCCAGGGTTTTCACAAGGGGAAAAAAGGTGAGATATCAATGTGATGTCTGGGAAGTGGAAGGGACCCAGTAAGTATATTTTGCCCATGGGGCTTCTAAAAGTGGAAGCTAGCTATGTAGGGGAATAGTCGGTGTTTGTCTACTATTTCCCTTTGCTGGTGTCAATGGTGAAGTGATGTGAGACTATCTGGAGTCTTTTGCAAGATAGCAAAATGTGCACCCTTTTAAGCTGGATGAAGCATGAAAGCTAATAGTTATGGCTGGGCATCCTGCTAAATCATTAGGAAGGGCCTGTAGTTCAGTGGAAAAGCTTCTACTCTGTGGGGGCAAGGTCTCAGGTTCATTCTCCAGGCAGGGCTGGCAAATAGTCCTGCCTTGAAACCTTAGACTGAATTTTTTTAGACTGCTGTTTCTGCCTATGGAATACCCTCCTCCAAAAGACCCAGAGCAGAATTCCCTCATCTGGTGCCTTCCATATATATTATGTATTATTTGTTTGTTTATTCCCATGGGTTCTAGTGCCCATGGAGCCAACTGGGTGACTCTGGGCCAGTCACAGACTCTCAAGCCAACCTACCTCACAGGGTTGTTGTGGGGATAAGATTATGAACAAGGGGAGGAGAATGATGTAAGTTGCTTTGAGTTATTTAAAAGAAAAAGGTGGGATATGAACTGTCAGTTAATCCTGGAATATCAACCCCGGAGAATGTATGCTTGGATCCACAGGGAGACACCATTGCCTCAAACCTCAGCAGTTTTATTGATGAGAACAACCCAGGGGTAGAGGTGCGCCCACCAACTACAAGCTTCCAGAGCACAGACAAGGCAGTGATGAGATTCTGAATGGGTGAGACAGTGAGGATGAATTTAACAGGTTTAAAATGTTGTGGTTTTTGCAGTGAGAGATACAGAATTCCTCAACCCAAGTGAGCCAGGCTAGGTAATTTTTCATTGCAAAGGAAGCACAGCTGCCCTGATGGCTTGTTTGATTCTGCAGAAAATGCATGAATAATGGAGCCTCTATGGGCTGCCCACTTTTCGCAGGTGTGTGGAGCTGAGTGAAGTTCCAGTTCCTTTGAGTAGAGAGGAGCAAGGACAGTGCTGCCAGATTTTATATTAAAGGGCGTGCAAAAGCATATCTTTTATGTGAGTATTTATTTGGACTTTCCCAACAAAATCTAATAACCCCACACACATGCTAAAATTAAAAGAAAAAATGCAATTGGTATTATTCAGCATGGAAGCACTGCAGTGGTACAGAAATAAAATGTACCCATTTTGCACAATCCCGCAGTCAGATGGGGTACTATGGGAATGGATCTGAAGGGGCACCCAGTTGAGGATGTCAGGGAATCTCGAAATACCTTGAAATTGTTGTGACTTATTTATTGTTGTAAGCCGTTCTGGGACATCTTGTAAAGGATGGGGCATAAATATTGTTAATAAATAAATACCAGTTGAGAGAATGTATGCTCGGATTCACAGGGAGACAGATTTCGTTACAACCTCAGTAGTTTATGAGACTGGGCCCTCAGGTACCCTCTGCAGAGACAAACTTTAAGAACAGCACTGCCAGGTAGAGACCAGCTACAAGTTTCCAGAACATATACAGATTATTTTATAGGTTCTGACTCAGCAGGGCAGATGATGGGCTCACAGTCAAAAGAATGTGAGAGATCTTCAGAGGAGACTTAATACAATGGCTTTGATTGCAGGAGATTAACATATCGATCACTGAGGCACAGGGATTATTGTGGGTCTTGGCATGCAAATGAAGGTGATTGCAATACTTGTCTGGCTGCCTTATTAGTTTGTTTGCTGTTAGCTCAAGAATATACTTTGGGAACCCCATTCCGCAAAGGTTTTTCCAATCACCCAGCTCTTAAAGGAACAGCTTTGAAAATAATGCTAAACAGAAGCCTGCCTTGGAATTTTAGTACTTTCTGAGAAAGAGGCACAGAGATGTTGCAAGTTTGATTTTATAACACAAAACTTATAACTTTATAACTTTTTCAACCAGGATTTATCTGAATTTCCCCAACAAGGAAGACTACTGCATTGAAAAGAATAATTCAGATTTTGATCAGGCCTTTTGTGATATCTTTGAGATGCAGATTCATCCGCTGTTTCCGGTGGGCCAAAGAAAAGTATTAGAACCCTAAATTAAGAAAAGAGCGCGGCGCTATACTCTATCCAAGCAAATCAACTATCTGAGCGACTGAGCTAGATAACGCTTAATTTCTGAAACAAGGGGTGCCGTCGATCAGCAAGGCTGCGAGCGTGATTATTATGACAGGCGCTAGGCACATACGCAGGCCGATTACTGCATCGCTTTTTCAGGGCTGCGCTCCTAGCTTGAGTTAAGCGGGGAAGCTTAAAGCGCGATCTCGCACTGGTCTACTCAGAAGCAAACGTAACTGCGTTCAGTGATACCTTTTCCAGTTCTAAAATCGGAGCACTGTTGCAGCGTCAAGAACTACAAATGAAGTAACGGGAAGAGCTACTGTCAGAGGAGAAATCGAAATCGAAAGTAAAACTTACAGCTCTCTTTGAAGCTGAAGGGCTTGATCCGCTACCTTAGACAAGATGGCCGAGGAGACGGCTTATCTGTTCCCTGTCGTAGTGGAGGGGAATTGGGGCAAAACTTTATCCAAAAGTCTGAAGAACAAGCTGCTGTGTTACTTACAGAGTCCGAAGAGATCCGGAGGAGGGGAATGTAAAGTCTGCGTCGAACCCGGCGAAGAGGAGCAGATTACGGTGTTTTTTACGCATGAGGAAGGTGCGTGCGCGTACTTGTTTAGTTCTCCCCTTGTAATATGGGGGGCGGCGACGGATATATTTAGGGAAATCGACCCCTCTACAAATGTAGAAAATCCGTCTGAGAGAGAGGTTTTGCTGTAGTGTAAACACGCCCTGAGAAGAAACTTTTAGAAAAAAATCCGATCGTTTATTTTAAACTGATAATCACTTGTGAGTATTCTTAGCGTTAAAAATATTAGTACTAAATATTTAAAAATAAACTTTGCATTGCTAAAAAAACCCCCAATCCTGCCCCTCCCGCTCCAAAGTATAACACTCGCCCTTTACTGGAAGTGATTCCTCCCTTGCAGCTTAAAACACAACTAGGTATAGTTAAGAAAAATGAGGCGGTGTTACAGATGCCAGAGTAAGGGTGATAAACATTGCTAGATGTGGAAAAACGGAAGGATCTGAGATCTAGTGATTTATTGTTGGTTACTGGTTTCGTGAATTTATATTGTAGGAAACAATCTAGCTTTCATTTTAGTTTTCCAGTATTCCTTAGAATCTACTATATATCTTGGCTGTGCCGCCGCCCTTAAGTATATGATGCTATCAGAGCCTCCTCTGCTTTTATTGCTACAGACTAACAGGGAAGGCCTTCTGAAACGTGGAAATAATGTCTTGCTCCTAAGCCCTTTGGCTAACCATATTATTTGAGAAGCATGGCACTCATGGTTTGGAAGTAAGGCTAATGGACATGCTCTCCTGAGGACTTTTTTGTGTATGTCTCTTCTTGAAGATAAACAAGCTAGGCCTTGCAAACAGTTTAACCATAAAAGGCTTCTGGCCAAGAACTCTTTGCCTGGAACCATGAAGCTTCTGATTCCAGTTGATCAAGATGTATGGAATCAGAGCCTCAAAACCATGTGATGAAGAACTTCCATTCTGTAAAGAAGAATTTACTTTTTTTCTGTTCTCAAACCGGCCTCCACATACAAATGTACAAACACATACTTAAAATCCCCAGAATTCTATGAGGAGATATTGAATAGCATGCACGCTATTGCCAGATTGCATTTTGTCCTCTGTTTCTCCTGCATTATTATACATGCCAATGTAGATATAGGGCTGGGGAAACAGGCCCTTATTTCAAAAACTGGAAAACTGCTGCCTCTCAACGTAAGCTAGTTGGTCCAAAGGTTTGACTCGATATAATGTTGCTTCCTGTAATTACAGCTAATATCTTTTTCCTAAATATATTGATGACATTCCTGTTTTGCATTGTAGTGAGGCAGAGAGTTCTTAGCATGAAGAACCATGAACTTGATCTTCCAGATAAAAAGAAACTAAAGCTAACGATCTCCCTGCCTATAGAGACAGCAGCAACCGCAACAGTTGAAAGTGATGCCATGACAAAACCAAATTCAAATCAGGTAATTGAAATGTTCCCCGCTGCACCAGTTTCTCTGGCCAATATCTTCCTCTGTGTTCTGCTTCTGCAACAGTGAATCTGCATGAGGAGTAAGTGTCCTTCATGAGTTTGCACCTGAGCACCTTCAAGTACTAGAAACACAAAGGCCGATGTCTGGTGCTGTGGGTGTAGAATGCCCTGCTGGGAATAGGTGGTTCTAGCTTCCCATAGTCCAGGTCAACCTTATTTGACTGAATCCCCTCTAGATATGTTGGATTATAACTCCCTTCATCCTTAGCTGGCTTAGCCACTGCAGATCAGCACATCTGGAGGGTATCCAGTTGGGGAAGGCTGGAATGAGGAACCTGTGGCCCTTCAGATGCTGTTTGGCCAGTGTGGTCAATTGTCGAGAATGACAGGGGAGAGGAGTTTTAGTTCAGTGACATCTGGAGGGCCTCAAATTCCCCACCCTGATCTAGGTATTGTCATTTTCAAATTATTTCTGAGAACACTGGGATTCCTTGAAATTTTATTGGTGATTTCCCCAATGATAATATCAGTAATGCCACTTTCCTGAAAGCCACTTGTATGTTCACCCCCGATCCTGCGCTGGAATTTGCAGGTGTGGGCGTATGTTCCAGGGCAGCGGTTTTTCCCCCATTTTGAACCCATGGGCACATCTGGGTATTTGAGAAACTGTTCTGGGCATTGTTGCAAAATGGCTGTCTCAGAGGATCTGGTTAGTCTTGCCTTGACTGCTGATAGGTCCTGGGTAGTCAAAGGTGAATTGAAGAGTTTGGGGTGGGGGAGGGAAAACATCCGGGAAAAGTGGTGGAAGAAAGAGCGGGAGGCCTGGAAGGAGAAAAAAACGTCGAGAGAAACATTTGTATGGGAATGAGAAGTAGCAAGGAAAGGGGTTGTAGAGAAGCAAATAGTGAGAATGGTGAGTCTAGGAGTGGGAAAAGAAAGAGCAAAAGGGGACACTCTTTTTGGGCAGAAGGCTGGACTTGTCAGAAAGCAACTCTTTCCTTCTCTGTCTGTCTTTCTACCTGCAGCTGATCTGCAGACAGTGCAGAAACAAGATGAAGAACTTGGTTTCTTAACATTTTCCATTCTTTAAGAAAAAAAATTGAGGGGGACTAGAGCAAAGCGCTCCAGTGTTTTCTGTTCTGGGTTTCTTTCAGAAGGAAATCCTACTGGGTTTCTTGGGGGTTACACCTAGATTAGTGTGCTTAACAGGTGACTAAGTCTACAGCCCTTTGCTGTTGACATACTAGGTTTTCTGGATAATCAGGACAGACCACACAGAGGAAGATCTTGATTGTGTACACTAAGCTGTAGAGGTTGTGTTTGGATGTTACACTAAACCATAGTTTAGTGAATGAGCTGAAGCTTTCTTCACACCATGCATAATTCTGTGCACCTCTTTCTTGTCTCCCACACTCACCTTTTTTCTAAGCTAAATGGTCCCAGATGTTGTAGTCTTCCCTTGGAGGAGAGTCACCGCAGGCCTTTCCCCAGCTCTTTTCTATGCCTTTCCTAATTGTGCTGAATATGGAGTTTGCATTTTTCACATCAGCTGTGCAGTGGGGACTAGAACCCAGATCTCCCAAGTTCCAGACCCATAATCTATCCACTGCCTCACCCTGGATCTCTGGTAAGGTCTCTCCCTTTCTGCTTGGGCAGATACACTACAAAAGTGTTGACCTTGATTAAATAAAGGCAGTAAATTTATCCATTTGTACAGGGACTAGGCTCCATTGCAGCAAAGTGAAATGGAGCGAGGGTGGGAGGGACTGTAGCTCCGTGGAGGATCCTGCATTTGCATCCAGAAGATGCATTCCCTGGCACCTCCAGTCAAAAACGACCTCATAGGAAATAGCTTTGCATGAGAACCCCAGAGGGACACTGCTAGTCAAGAGCAAATAATAGTGGACTCAGGAGTGGCGCTCGCTACTGAAAAGAACTAGCAGTACTTCTCTGTTTTGTCACTTGGCAGGGTACCAAAAAGATCCAGGACTCAGGGCAAAAACAACATGCATTTGCTTTTGCTTTTTCTTTAGCTTAACTACGTTCATCATGTCATGTGGACTGACAAGATTGTGGTTCATGTTAGTTTGAAGTATGGCAACTTCAGGTTATGAAGCTTGCTTGTTTAAACGAATCATAGTAAGCATTAACCATAGTTTATGGTTTGGATGAAGCACCAAAACAATGGTTAATGGGACATGGATGCAAAACCTTCCAAATCTCTTTTTCACAGCCAGACCAGGCAAGGGAAAGTGGGAATTCGCTTCAGCCAAACTTATATGCATAATGAACTCTGTTTTAGCAGGCGGCCTGAATATAGTTAGACTGTGCTTTAGGAAAGACTGTTGGCTAACTTTTATTTTGCTTTCAGGGACTTGTGCAAACTAAAGCACCCCAACAGCCAGGTAAGTTTCTTTTAAACACCTCAAAAGTAAAGATTAAATGTTTATTTTATAAAATTATTGCAATTTTTTCCTTTTCCCAGGAAATATGGCTTATTGTTCCCATCATGCAGTTTTGCACCAATAAACAAAATTTATATGGAAAGAGAGCCAATTTCAGTAGAATTTTGGATTTTAACCTTACTTGAAACTAAGTCAGTTAAGAACAAGTTCTGTTGAAGACTCTGGGATGTAGTCCAGAGTAAGCATGTTTAGGAGCATGCTATAAGTCATTGTATGCCCTTCAAAGCCTTTTCATAAGTATAACTGCTACGAATTTCTGTAAACTTGCCTCTTATAAATGTATTTAAAAAGACTCTTAGAATGTTTTTTCAACGCATATTTAGATTATTAACTGCTATACCTAGTTCATTCACTTTCTATGCAATATCCACATGATGTCATCAAATGATAGTCCTCTTCTATTTTCCTGGCAGTGCTTCCATCTTAGAGCACTGAAAATTGTACTTCTTTTGGGAGTGAATAGATGAGTTGTGTGATCTTTGCAGGTGTGGATTGTTTGTTGTGCTGCTGTGAATAACTTTTTGGCAAGCACCATTTGACATCCTGTTAATTTTAATGCTCTTTCAGATAGTGCTCAAATGCTTTTCTGGCTATAATTATAAATAATAGAGGGGGCACTCTAGTGTCCCCCAGACAGTGTCTGAGGATGGTTTCAATTTCCTAGGCTATGGCCATAAGATAGTTCAGATTTCCAGCTGTAAGAGCTCCATCTTCTGACTTCTGAATTGGGAACTGGAAATCTGATCCCCCTTCTGCCTCATAGCTGGTGTGGAAACAGCTTTCTTCAAAAGTCAAGAATCTGACCTTGGAGAGAGGGAAAAGGGAGTTTCCCAGGCAGGGTGTGAAAGAGACAGAAGACACCAGGATATCAACGATCTTAAGGGTTCCTGAGCCGCCTTCCTTCCCCTTGTGAAACACCAGCCTTAGATCGTGAAAAAACTTTTATAATGAAAACTGCTGGGAAGGAGGACAGAGAGGTGAAGAGTGCCTCTGCCCCTTTTTCCACCTTGCATCAGGTTATCATAAGCCTCTGAGTCTGGGGGCTTCCAGTGATTAAGGGCACAGCCCATAGGCTTGCACTCTTAAAGTAATAAGTAATTGAATAAAAAGACCCACCTTTTTAGTCACCAATATTTTAGCAAAATGGTGTTTGTTTTCTTCAAAATTAAATACTTCTGATCCAAAATAAATGTTTACCACATTGGTTGTTGTTTCCTCCTTGTGAGCGGGAGTGGTCCCAATCTGTTTTAAAGAGGTGGTGGTAAGGCCACTTTGGTGATGGTAAGGTGGTAAGTCCTCCCTTGCTCCAGAAGATCTGAGTAACTTTAGGCTGGTAGCAAACATCCCTTTCCAGGGCAAAGTTCTAGAGAGGGTGGCCAATCAACCCCAGGCACTCAAGGATGAGACTGGTTATCTGGACCTATTTCAGTAGGGGTTCAGGCCTGGTTTTGGCACAGAAACACCCTTGGTCACTGTTGTCCTGGCTAGGGGCAGGTTCTTTAATCATTTCCAGAGAGTGATACACCAGCTCCAGGTTTACTAAGGAGGACATTATTTATTATTGCAATAATATCCAAACATGCTAACTGGACTTCCAGTACTTTTAGCAACAAGCCTCCTACACTGCATAGTTAGGGCTCCTGCAAGGTAGGAGCAGCAGTCAGCCAGCTTCAGAAAAAAACAGCAGAATCCCCCTCAAAAAGACTCTGAACCAAAGAACAAAGCAGTGGGTAGCTTTAATAGGTGAAAACTTACAGCATTGTAACATATGCATGCAGCATTCTACATAATGAAAATAGACAGTTGCAAGAGTAATATTGTTTACACAAGCGCTAAGAGATAATGAAATACACTGAGCTAGCACAGAGGATTCCTGCCTGGATGGCTGGTGGTTTTTCTCTGCCTGAATATCAAAACACAGGCTCACTACTGCCTCTTGCTCGTGAAAGTAATGCCTTATAAGGAGTATTCTTGTGCCATCTCAACAACAGGAAAGGAAAACTCCTTAGGTTCCTGAAAGGAAACTGTCAAGGTCAGAGCAATGCTAACTGGAGTTCTATAGTACTTTGTAAGCAACTGAACTTTAATGCCAAGCAAAGCAAGCAGCTTAAAGAGCTAGAGATCCAGGCCTATCCCTTTTTCTTTTTCTTTTGGTGTGGGGGTGGTCAGGCCTGTTAGAGTCACCCTGTAGGATGACCTATGCTGGGAGCAGAACGGGGGAGTGTGGCCCTGTTGATACTGTTGGACCTTTCTGTGACTTTCGATAGCAATGCCCATGGTATCCTACCAGGGAGAGTGTCTGAGCTGGGAGTGGGGGGCAGTGCATTGCAGTGGTTCCCCTCCTATCTCCGGAAGGTGGTGCTTGATTCTCTGGCATGGAGCTCCTCAGAGGTGTGTTCTGTCTCCCATGCTATGCAACATCTGCATGAAATGGCTGAGCAAGGTCATCTGGAGTTTTGAAGTGTGTTATCAGCAGTACACTGATGACACACAGCTCCATTTCTCCTTTTCATAGTCAGCAGGTGAGGCTGTGGATGTGCTAAACCAGTGCCTGGTTATGATGCAGAACTGGATGATGGCCAGCAAACTGAAACTCAATCCAGACAAGACAGATGCTGTTGGTGGGTGGTTCCTTTGACTGGGTTTTGTGTGTGTGTGTGGGGCAGTCAACTTGTTCTGGAAGAGGTTACACTCTCCCTGACAGAGCAGGCTTGTAGCTTAGGGGTGCTCCTTGATCCGTCTTTGTCACTTGAAGCTTGGGTGGCATCAGTGGTTTGGAGTGCCAACTCTGAGGGAAGCACAGAGGGTGGCAACAAGAGGGAGGGCTTTCTCAGTGGTGCCCCCCCCCAATCTCTGGAATAAACTCCCCACTGTGGCCCAGCTGGCACTGAGTCTGTCATCTTTTTGGCATCAGGTTAAGATGGCCCTCTTTTCTGAGGCTTTTAAAGACTTATTTCAACTGCCCACATACTTGGGCAGGGGGGATCACAAGGTGTTTTGCAGAGTCACTTTCTTCTTTCATTCCTTGTAATTGTCTGTTTTTATTATCTTTTTTAGCTGTTTAAAACTTTTACTATTTTTACAGTTTTTGTGATTTTTATTGCATTTTTATCACCTTGTTTTATGCACAGTGTCAACCACTCAGCTTCTGCTGTGGAGCAGTATAGGAATGAATGAATAAGTTTTGCATTTTATGTGCAATAATTGGGTAATCATGTTTAAACAAAAAGTGTGTAGCCATTAATCAGTCTATTTGTAAAAGATACTTTGATTGGGTGGGGAATAATGGCTGCTCAGATGACTTTGCTATGTTGTGCTTGCTGGTCTTGATAGGAATAACATAGTGTGATTCAAACACACAAAGTGAAATGCCTGCAACAGTTGGAAAGTCAGTGGCATAAACTTGTACTTCCAGCCAAAAAGGTGGTGCTGCCCATCTGGAAGCACCCTTATAGTATTGACTCAAAAATAAGTGTGGCAGGCCTGAGCCCTAAAAAACCAGGCCTGGGTCTCCAGCTCTTTAAGATGCTTGCTTCGCTTGGCATTAAAGTCTAGTTGCTTACAATAGAGCTTTCGTCAAGGAACACACACCCTGCACTTCTGCCTCCTTGGACTTTCCTGACGAGCCATTGCTTCTGCAGGCAAAAGGCCGTCGTGAGCCCATGCTTTGAACGTTGGCCATCCAGACAGGAAGGTCCCCTGGTAGCTCACCGTACTTCATTATTTCTTAGCACATGTGTAAAGAGTAGTATCAAAACGATTCAAGTAATCATATCTTTTAATTATGTAGAATACTATATGCATGTGTTAAATGCCATAAGCCTGTACTCTGTATAAGCCAGGCACTTTGTTTGTACTCTGGTTCTGACTGTTTTTGAGGGGGATTTCGCTGACTCTATCAGCACAGCTGATTGGAATCCTGCTTTGCAGAGGTCCCTGCCATGCAGTGTAAGGGGCTTACTACTAAATATTAGGGAAGTCTAGCTAGCATCTGATATTATTGCAATAATAAATACTCTCCTTCTTAGTAAACCTGGAATTGGCGTGTCACTCCTTTGGAGTCCCAAAAAACCTCCATGTTCATGGCCAGGGCTACACACCAAGTCTCACTTATGCCCTGGCAAATGGGAATAGGATTCTGTCTTGAATCAAATAAAGGGATCGAACCATCTAGATGTGCCAAAATCAAGCATGCCTCTCTACAAAGTGCTTTGCACAGTTACGCTAAATTGGACCAATATGTATACAGCTTAGCTAAGCTATGAGCTCAAGAGCCAGGATTGATTCTCAGATGAGGTAACAGATAATCTAGATTCAGTCATGCCTTAATGGCAATTTGGCAAAGAGATGCTTGGAAGCAGATGCAGAGACTAGCCTTTAAGTGAGAATGAAAAGGAGGCTGGCCATTCTTCCCATCTCCACACATGGGTGCAGCAATGTAATATGATCCGTAGCCCTTGGCCCAAGCCGGCTTGGCTTATTATTAGGCTAATCCAAAGTCAGCCAAAGGTGAGGCATCCATTTTAAACGCGTCCCTTGCCTGTGCTCTTAAAACATATGCTTAAAGACAGTGTTGTGTCTCACCATATTTTCACACAGGCCCTAGCGAGTTTAGATCTCTAGGAAATGATATATTTATCCAGTTCTCTGCCTGAAAAGCTTATTGAAGGGCAGAGAATAGAATAAAATAGGTTTGGTGAGGCAAAGGCAATAAACCATGGCCAGTATAGTCTTCTCAAAACTAAATCATCCTCCCCATTGTTGTTGCTGCTGGTAGATGTATGGTAGCAGGATGGGATGCAAGCTTGGCATTGCAGGTACCATCCTATAAGGCAGGTTTGTGCAGTTTGTGACCCTCCTGGAGATTCGACCTACAATTGATCCCACAGTGTTGACTATGCTGGTTAGAACTGATGGGAGTTGTAGGCCAAAACATTTGGAGGGCAAAGATTGCCCTCTCTTGCTATAACAGATTAGATTAAGTTAGCAGATAGGTCAGTGAAGCTTGCATGGCTCTTCCAAGAGTGTATGTCTCTTTATAATCAAGATAGCATCTTTTCAATTGCCAAATTCAAATTTTGTAATTTGGAGAACAAATGCCTTTAAATGAATTTTAGTTTGGGCTAATACAAAAATATGGGAGAAACCCTCCTTCCCTTCCCCTTCCCATTTATTATATTTATTTTTAAAAAATTTCAGCCTGGCCAAAGGATGCAGCAGGAACATTGCTGACCCAGGACTTCAGTGTGATGGTGGAGACAGCTGCAGGAGAGAAAATTGAGAATGAAATTGTGGAGATGTACTTTGAAAATAAGAAGCGCTCTGGTGGGGGCACAATTAAGTCCTGTGTTAAAGATGGAGAACAATTTATCATCACCTTTGAAGATAAAGCAGGTATTTCTTTCCTGCCTAGGCTTCTTCTATTGGCAGCATCCTCTGTGAGGTGTATCCAACACTATCTTTCCACCAATCAAAGCAGTGCCATCAGTAGGTCTGGGAAGGTGTGTTTCCATCACTCCAGCTGCTCTCTGTGGGCCCTTACAATCTTCTCTGATGGTCTGGGATCCCTTTAGGGCAGATTTTAGGTGGCATGGAGGGCTTCGGGGCAAAGAGAGAGGGGAACCATCCTGCTATGCTCAGGGCTTTCTACTAGCATAATGCAGATTTAACCCATTGTTCGAAAGGGTAGAATGCTTCTTTTTATTCTCAGTCCTCCTGAGACTATTTTTGTCCTGTAGAGTCACCTGGCCCCATGATGTCTAACTGTGCAAGAGCTGCACTCTCTGGTAGCATTTGGATAACCATTCTGTGTATTCAGCAAAATGCACAAATGGCTCATCACCTGGAATGTGCTCGGCTTTTAAATCATCACCAACTGGCCACATGACTCAGTGGATGAACCTGCTGCAATCTGGGTGCTAGGCCCCACTCGGCCATGGAGCCAGCTGCTGACTTTGGGCCAGGCACAGACTCCCAACCCAACCTACCTCACAGGGTTGCCGGGGGATATGACTGAGAGCAGGAGAAAGAGAATATTGAAAGCTGCTTTGAGTTCACTGTAAGAAAAAAGCAGGGTAAATAAATAAATTTCAGGGACATATCTATTCTATGCTTCATCCTTCCTTGCCTTTTGATGTCAGGCTGGTGTGTTAATTCCAAGTGGTTGCGCTGGGTAAATCACAAATCAATGAGTCCATATACCTGCATGTTTATAAGTGGATCATTTGGGATCAAGCAAGGCTAAACCCTTTTCCTATGAGAGGTACACATTTTTTTAAACGATTGTCTTCCACCCAGAGCTTCTGTGAGAGGAAGGAATAGAAAATCAAAGGCCACCTGAAGTACGTTGCCTGGATGATTTGGTCTAGAAATGTTGAAATTGGACCAAGCTGCACTCCTGCATGGAGCAGCATGATGTGGCAGGAAATATGTGTGGTTCTAGCATATGTGCAGCATTTTCCAAGCTGAGAAGGTTTTGCTGGCCAGCTGATGCTACTTCATTGTCTTCCTCTCCAACCAGATGCTCAAGAGGTTTTGCAGAGAAAGAATCACATGATCAAGAAAATAGCCCTTCGTGTTAGAAGATATGGGCAGGCAGCAGCTCGGGATCAGCCACAAATGCTGGCTTCTCCAGTTCTTCTTGAGAATGTGCGAGAGACCATACAGCTCTGCATGCTCATCCTGTTGGTGGAGAATGTCAGTGGCTTATCGGAAGAAGATGAGGACTTCAGTGTGGAAATGATCCCTGCGAGAGATGCTGCAGTAGTCACTTTCCTCAAACCCATTGGTAAGAGGGACCTGACAATAAGGTCTCTGCCACCACTGGAAGGAGTCAGTCAACAGGGAAGCAGAAGAAAAGTGGGCTCTTACCAGGCATTGAACTGTTAGCAACACCTCGTGGGGCGATCATACTGCCCATTTGTTATATTTAATTATATATATTTGTTATATGATTAATTTCATTTCTGTGTCACCCAATACATGAAGCTCTCTGGGATTTAACAGCATTTGCTGTGATGGATGACAGCAAGGCTCTGATGAGGGCCTCTGCTAGGATAAATGACTCCCTGGGCAAAGAGCGCTTTCAACATGCTGCAAGTTACAGATACACACACACACACACACACACACACACACACAGTGTTCATGGTGCATTATTGTATTTGTAGTTCTTTAAGTGCATGGTTGTATTGCCTCAACATTCTGCTGGTGTTTATTGAGGATGACCAACATCAAACAGGGAATTGAGGGGCAAAATATTTTGATGAAAATCTCTGTCTGTAATTGGTACCCAAACAACTTGTGGCATTTGGGATTGGGGGCTGAAGGTTAAAGAAATTTCCTGATTTTTGTTGTTCTGTCCCACTGCAGATTGTGCACTAAAAAAACTCCCCCGCCCCCAAGATGAACAAACAGACCCATAGCTCATTGCGTTGTTTAGCAGCCTGTCCATCCCTAAAGGCAGCTGTGGCTCCAGCTGTAATGCCCAGAATGAGTGGCAACCAGTAAGAACTCTGCTTCATCAGGTTATGCGCATGATGGAAGCATCAGGGCAGAATCCTGTGTGCCTTGCCCTCATAGGCTCCTTCCTGTCCTTGCACCTGCCAGGGAGACATTTCTACCACTTCTCACGCTTAACCTACCTGGTGGTATAGATGAAAGGGTGATTGAAACATGGCAAGGTGAAACTCAACACTAGGGCTGAACTTTGGAAACGTGTCTTGGAACAGGAATGGATTAGTGGAAGGAGAAAATATGCAGGGGACAAGATGGGGTTCTGCAGGAGGCAGAAACAAGGTGAACAGACTGAAGCTGTGAAGGCTTGCTGGACCATAGAGAAGAGCACTTCAGGGGCAAAGGGTGAAAAAGGACCACACGGTCCATCGTATTGCTATTATGACTGATTGTAATTGCTCTGTTCATAGACACAGACAGTTTCATCAAAAAATTCAACGAGCACCGTAAGGCGAAGCAGTTGGATATTTCTGCGCATGCCCTGGAAGTGACTAAAAGAATTCTGGTTGAAAACATCCCATCTGACATTTCTAGAGACTTCATTGATATGCATTTTGAAAGCAAGAAGTATGGAGGTGGGCCAGTATTGGATATCAACTACCTTCCTGAGAGGCATTCTGCTCTGATTACCTTTCATGATAGCAAAGGTAAGGTGCATTGTTAAAATATCCCTCTTGGATTATACCTGGATTGGCTCAAAATCTAGATTATCGCAAAAAGTGGGGGGTAGACATAATGGTTGCTATGTCTTTGCCATGTTTGAGTGCCAGTAGAAAAGACAAGGAAATACTGGCTTGTCTAGATTCTAGTCTTTTTCAGGGTTAAGAGAGAAAGCGTGAGTTAGAGAATATAGGCAGAACTCATTTCAGGTTCTAAACTATTGTCTCTTGTTGGGATGGTCTTCTCTTGTAGCCAAAATCAGCCCCTAAAGTGATTCCCTCTTAAGTTTCCATGAGTGTTTGCTGAATGGATAACACTATGTTTGCTACATGGTAGGAGTGTTGCGAAAACTGCAAAAACTCAAGAGGAGTTGTCTCAGTGCATGAATACAGTGAGAATTGGAAGATGTCCTCTTCTGCACTAAACCTGCAATTTTGAACCCACTTCCCCATTGAGCACAGCAGGCAATGGGTGAGTTTGCCTGACATGACAAGCCCTGATGGTTTCCTGGGAAAGATAGTCTGTTGTTGTTATCATCCAAACTTGGTTGTGGTATTTTAGCATGGTACGTTTGGTTTTTAGAAACCATGATAAGAAACAAACCTTTTTTTGTTGTTGTTGTTGCCACGCTTCACCATGGTTTCTCAGATGGTGCAAGTGTTGCATCATGGTTTCTATGGTGCTACCACAGGGTCCCCTGGAAATTGCAGCAGCTGCGATCCAGTGTGGGATTGAATTTCAGGTGTGGTGGCTGATGGGATACATGCCAACAATAGGAAGCCTGATTGAGGAGGGTGGAAACCACTTTAGGGTACAACCCACTTATCCTTTGTCAGGCATCAAGGAAACCATGCAGGGTTGCTTGTCATGATGTGTGAACCCGGCCAGTGCATGGGCTATGCGCAAAGGGACCTGCCACTAGTGCAGTAAGAAGCCAGAAGTCCTGGGAGCTGCCAGAAAGAGTGGGAGTGCTTTTTGTGGAGTGGGGCAAGCTCACAGAAGGGAGCTCCGCTGACCTGTCTCATCCCATGGGCAAGCCTTTTGGGGCTGCTGAAGTAACTAGTTCCGGTTGCACTAGCAGTAGGCCCCATGAGCACAAAGGAAGTAATAGAGGTGCCATGTTTCTTGGTGGGTTGCTTCCTGGTGGGATTTGATGCTGAGTCAACATGGGCAGGATTGCATTGTAAGAGTTCATCGTAAGCCATATTGCATTTGCTTGTGAAACTGAGGTAAGAGGACAAACATTTCCAGGTCTAATTTAGAGTGCTGGAAAGCCTCCAATGGCTTGAGACCCAAATATCTGAAGGCACTCTTCTTATACCAATCTGCCTGTGTTTTGAGATCTGCAGGGAGACTTTGTCTGAAGTTTGTTTGTTCCAGCACCCTATTGGTGAACTACCCTCCCCAGGCAGGTGGCACTAGTGCCAAGCTCTCTGCCATTCAGCACTAGGTCAGAACTGCTTGGTTCACCGGGCCATGTTAAGCTAGTTCATCTATGTGACAGTTGTGCCTTTTATTGTTGTATGATTCCATTTAATTGTTTTTATAGTGTATTTATTGTGTATTAATACTGCTGTGGTATTATTTGATGGAGTGTGGTTTAAAATCTCCAAAATAAAATAGGCCCACAGTACACACCCGGAATTCATTCTGGGTGTACTTAGTTGCTTTAATTGCGACATGTCGGTACAAGTGTAACACCAACCCTTTGGCTATTGCATCTGTTTCAGCTGGAAGGAACAAGGAGAAACCTGATAGGTGGCCAGATGATGTATTGATCTAGAGCTAGATGAGGCTAAAGAAGCAAACTAGCAGACCGGCAAGCCTCCCTTTCTAGAAAGTGGACACTGATCCAGAAAGTGAAATGATCATGGAGAAAGCAACTGGAAATGTTGAGCTCAACCAGTTCTTTCTGGATATTAGTAGAAGCTAGACGAATTGCATTATTGTACAATTATCACCCATCCTGAGGCTGGTGGCCTCAGCTTCTGTTGTACAAGTTTGGTGCTAGTGGTTTAGTGCCCGCTGCTGGCTACTAGTAGCATCCTTGACACCTGACAGGTGGAAGAGAGATCCTCAGCTGGGTGGAATGCGGATCTGTCTGTCATCTAGATCATGATCAAATCTTTTTTATAACAAAGGGTGAAGGCAGATGTCGATCAAATCCCTTTGCCACCCAAAGTCACCCACCCATATGGTAAATCATCTCTCACAAAGCAGCCCTACGCAAATCTATTCAGAAGTAAGTTCCATAGAATTCAGTGGGGTTTGTTTCCCAGGTAAGTGGATACATGATTGCACTGTTCAATACATCTAAGTTAGATCAGAGCTATTGAATACTTTGGGAGCATTTATGAAGACAAATAGGAAGAGGAGGAAGTCCAAATTGAACTAATGGCCAGACCTGAGTTCCTTTAATCAGAGTGTGCATTTAACATAAGTAGTCATTGTAAGGTGAGTTCTGGGATTTGTTCTCTTCTAATTGTGTGCTTTCTTTTTCTCTTTGCCCCTTTAAAGAAGTAAATACCATCTTGGAACGGAAACATTTCTTTAACAACACACGAGTTCAGGTTTACCCTTATTATGAGTCTTTGGGAATAGCCTTGTATGGGAAGGAGAAACCACCAGTTAAATTGCCAGTCCCAACCAATATAGCCATAGATCCCTACCAATGGCAATTTTTACAGCGAAATCCATTGCTCCTTGAAGAAATAAGCCATGAAATGTTAGACTGCTATTGTCAGATTGAATGGCCTTCTAGGCACTCTCCATGTCCAGAAATCACGATGCATCCTTTGCAAGCCTTGTTGGAGCAAAATGGATCCTTGGCCAAGACCTGGAATGAAAATGTTTCTAGCCGGCTTAAGCAGAGCCTATCAAAGCAAAAGGTTGTCAAGTTCAACGTGAATGCTGTGGTGTGGGAAGCCATACAAAACAGTGCAATAAAAGAGGATGTTTTCATCTTACCAGATATTGCCAAGGAAATAGTTGTCTTGATAGGGCCAGCAGAAGCAGTAGAACGTGCAGAGCAAGAAATGAATGTACTCAGAGAAAATGCTATTAAAAAGCTTGAAAGAGAGAGGCAAACAGTGATGGAAACTCTGACAGTTGTTGCTGGAAAGTATACTATTTTATGTAATTGTGGACTACTGGACAGAATCTGCTCAAAATACCCGGATCTGAAGATTGCCTATGATTCCGCCAAAGAGTGTATAACTCTGTCTGGTGTAGCCACTGAAGTTTTTAAACTAAAAAGTGAAATTCTTGAAATGCTATACAGCATGGTCCAGAAAACTGTTGGCCTTCATCCTAACATTTTCCTCTTCCTGCAGCAAGTAGATAATACACAACTGTCTCAACTCCTGTTTTGGGCCAGAAAAATTAATGCTTTCTATGAACTCAAGCAGGAGGCAGTTCTGTTAATTGGAAGAGATCCTCAGGATCTTCTAGCAGCTGAGGACGGAATAAAGAATGGTCTGACCTACAGATGTATTGCCCTGAAAGACAATTCAGTCATCAGAAAGAGAGAGTGGAGGGAACTGACTGATACCTTGTACAAAGCCCATAATTGTTCAAGTGCAACCGTTATCATTCAAGAACTGGAGGATGAAATAGTCATTGCTGGTTGTTCCGAAGAAGTGGCCAGTGCCAGTCGGAAACTCTCTGATTTTGTGGTTAGCAACGCATACATACAAGAAGCTCTCAAGACTAAGTCTGCAGTAGTTCCAATTTATGTAAAGCAGGAGAAGCAGAATCATTGGCTTGATATAAGGAGGCGGGGAGTAAAAATCCATTTTGGCACAATGAAAAATTGCAAGCTGATTTCTCTTGAAGGACCACAAGTAGAAGTGCTGAAGGGATGTGAGATCCTTCAGAACATTGTGTCTTCTTTATGTACCACTTGCATAGTAATTGAACGACCTGGTGCCAAAGCATTCTTCAAAGAACAAGAACACTTGTATGTTACTGGAGCAAAGGAAAGGTTTAACTGCTTGATCAGGGTTCAAGAAAGCAATGAAGATGATGAAAATGAAGGTGAAGAGGGGCACACCCCTGCAGAGAAAGCGAGGCTGTACTGCGAAATCAAGCTGAAAGATGGCATTGTAGTGACGCTTCATAAGGGAAACCTGAGCTGCTTTCCAGCTGATGTGGTAGTGAATGCTGCAAATGGAGAACTAAAGCACATCGGTGGCCTTGCAGCTGTACTCTCAAAAGCAGCTGGTCCACAGCTCCAAAAAGAGTGTGATGACCATGTGAGAATACATGGAAGTTTGAGACCTGGCTGTGCAGTGATTACAGGTGCGGGGAACCTGCCATGTAAGCAGGTGATCCATGCTGTTGGGCCGAGGTGGGACAATTCTGAAAAAGAGACATGCATACGTCTCTTAAAGAAAGCTGTAAGGGAAAGTTTATGTCTGGCAGACACTTGTAATCATCGCTCCATAGCCATCCCTGCCATTAGTGCTGGTATTTTTGGATTCCCACTAAAAGAGTGTGCCCGTTCCATTGTAACAGCCATCAAGGAAGTGTTAGAAGAATCTTCTGGCGATGGATGCCTGAAACAGATATGCCTTGTGGACTCTAATGAAAAAACTGTTCAGGCTCTCTCTGAAGCCTTGAAAGAAGTGTTAGTAGATGGATCGTCACCATCAAAACAGACCTCTGTCACCATAACCAAGAACCTTACTGCAGAGAGTGGACCAGGGTATCAAGAGTTAACTACTCCCGAAGGCCTGAAAATAGTTCTGCAGATAAAGGGAATTGAAGATGCCACAGTAAGTAAGCTGCTGTAACTTTCAAACAGGAAAACTTTTAAAATTAGCCTCTTTGCCACCGCTGCAAAGTACTAGCAGTGCCTTTTAGTATGAGCTAAAAGAAGGCACCCCTTAAGTGCAGAGTTAGTTGTAGGGTTGTGGCAATCCTCATGGAATCCAGCTCTCTCTGGTGCTTGTTGGACTCCTTCCTCACACTTGGCCCTAGCTCAGGAGCCAAGCTGAGAGGAAGAACCTCTCTTGTGCAGCCCGGCGTGCCTCCACAGCACGTGCAGCACATACAAAGCTCGCCAGTTGCATCTACAGAAGAGGGACTTGATTCCTGGCAAGCACCTGCACGAAGGCTTGGCGGGATTTGCAGCTGGGGCTGCGAGCAAGTGGTCTACAGAGTCTGCAGCCTGGAGGGGATCAGACACATTTATGCCCCCAAAACAGATTTCTCACTGTGCTCTAGTGAGCTGTTAAAACATAAAGGCCCAAAAGAAAAAAGATGCAAAAGCTCTTCTGCTCCAAGTCAGTTCCATGGTAACATGGACTCTCAGTTGCCAAGTGTATTATTGATCTTTGGGATTATGTTGCAATGACATTTATATTCTTTTGAGTGCTCTTACAGTTTAAAGTCTTTTTGCCACTCCTCTGCATTTGAACTGTTGGATACTTGCAACCTTCCAGGTCATCTGGGAAAGTTTCCTCAATCACTTTCCTGCGTTCTTTCTGTAGTAGATTATTTGGCAACTTGTTGGAAAGGAATCCCCGGGAAAGACATTGCTGAGGTGCAGTGGTCCCTACTCCCTCTTCAGGCTTGCTGCCCAATTAGGTGCTGCTGCATGCCTGAAATCGAGGAGCCCAGGAGCAACCAAGGAAGGGCCTGCAGACCCAGCGGCTGTCCCCCTTTCCCCTCAGGCTGTCCAGCGGCATGCCTGCCGTTGCTTCCCAGGCTGCCTCAGTGCAGTGGCCCTTCAAGCAGGGTGTTAAGTGCCACGCTTGACTTCCCCTTTAAGAATAGGAGAGAGAAGAGCCATGTTTTGAGCTGTGTCCTGTGCCTTTTGGGAAGTTGCTCAGCTCAAGCCCCAAATATGTTTTCCAGGGTGCTGGATCTGTTCCACAGAGCACTTTTCCATTAGTTGGGGGTGATCTGCCAATGAATTGAAGAATAAATTTTCTTTGAGATTGCTTGGGTTATTTTGCCGCCTGCGACTCTGGTGCGCCCACAACTGGAGTATTGTGCCCAGTTTTGGGCCCCTCATTACAGGAAGGATATAGCCAGGTTAGAGTCAGTGCAGCATAGGGCCACAAGGTTGGTGGCCAGTTTGCAGGGGATGCTGTATGAGGCGAGACTGAGGGAACTGGGTCTCTTCAGCCTGGAGAAGAGGCGACTCAGAGGGGATATGTTGGCGACATACAGGTATGTGAGGGGATGTCACATGGAGATGGGTAGAGACCTGTTCTCCCCCGCAGAGGAAGGCAGGATGCGCTCCAATGGAGCAAAGCTCAGGGAGCCAAGGTTCCATTTAGATGCCAGGAAGCACTTTCTGACAGTCAGGACCCCGAGGGTGTGGAATGGGCTTCCACGAGAGGTCGTTGAGGCCCCATCGATGCGGGCGTTCAAAGATAGGCTGGACATGCACATGGTGGGCATATCGTGAGTGGAGCCGGCTGGAGCCGGAGGTCAGACTAGATGGTCCAGGAGACCCCTTCTGACTCACTCTGTTTCTATGTTTCTATGAAGGTCAAATAATAATTATGTCTACACATGTGTGTATATATAAATAAAACAACATATGCATATGTTATGCACATATGTGTGCTGTGGACCTGGAGTCTAAATTCTCTAAATGCTGAGTGACACCCCATCACTGTTCATGAAGGTACAGTCCTACATTACATTGCAGCTATATCCTACCCTTTTTCTTGTGAAGAACCAAGAGTGGCTTACATAGTCACCCTCCTCTCTATTTGATCCTCACAGCAACCCTGTGTGGTAAATTAGGCTGAGAGTCTGTGATTGGCCCAAAACCACCCAGAACATGGATCTCCCAGGTGCCCAGTTCAGCACTCTGACTGCCACACCACACTCTTAAGTGTAACTTTCTAGCTTGTGCAAGTGGCCTGTTACAGACTAACAGTGCAGGAAATCACACGCTCAGCCATCTTTAGTTTCCAGTTCTCAGTGAAAGTGCCTGCAGCCCTTTCTCAGTCTTGAGTTGGATGCAGGATCCTTAAAACAACAACAACCCTACTTCTGCAGGAGGCATCTGCAGTGTTATTGGATAGAAGGTACCACAAGAGAATCCACAATTGATCTAGTTTTGGTACTTGACCTTTTGCAGCCATGTCCTTCCACATACCAAGAAGAGTTGGTTGATCAAGACTCTACAAAGGGTATCTTCTTCTACTAGAAGGGCTGAGCCCCACCTTCCCCAAGCACATTGGCTTTGTGAAAGGACCCTATTGACAAGCTCCTCCACAGGATAGGAGTCCGTGGGTGGATTGACAAATCCTGTGCCAGTCAAGAGACCAACTCACATGACCCACATTATTTGGAGTAGGATCTCTATGCTGCTATTTTGAAATTAAAAAAAAACCAGAAGTATTAATGCACTTGAAATAATTCAGTACATACAGTATGATGTTCAGCATCTCTTATGATAATACATAAGCATGCAGTGGTACAATGGTAAAGAACAACCCAATAACCCTCACAGTGCACATTTGTACACATGTAGGGACCCTTCATTTAAGCTTAAGGGTAGGCAACTTTGGGAGATATGGGGGATCTCCCATACACGGTGCTTCGCTGCCCCCGAATCGCTCCTCGAAAACATTGTCAGGAAAAGAGGTTACTTTATTAATTTTTATTTTAGTTATTCAGTTGACTTATACGCCAGCAATTTTGACCTGTTGGGTTGCCTGTAGTAGCTGTGGAGTGCCAAAGAGAGTCAAAATGGTTATCCTGGGATTCCATCTAATACAATTTTGGAGGGCTAGATTTATCTGCATAAATCACTTCTGATTTATGCAGAGAAATGCTAAGTGTAACACTGCAGCTCCCTTGATCATTTTTTCATTGCACGAGGAGTTGGAGTGAATCGTCCAAATGAATGTATGAGACTAGAGGATACTGGGGCTGATTACTAGCACTGAATCACCTGGCTATCACAACTGCATTGTGCTGGTGGAAAGTGTGGCATCACCAAATATATGTAAGTTATGTACACTTTGTACACTGACTGACTTTGTTTACAGCAATAGATGTGCTTTGTGATATTTGCTAAACCTTCAGAGATGCCAGTTAGAGTATTGCAATCTTGATGAGATTTTTGTTAGATAAATACTCAGAAAAGCAGGTGGGGGTTTACTTGTGTATTATGTGGTCCTTTGAGATCTATCCATATTTCTGAACAACTCCCATCTATCTCCTTAGACAGATGTTATCGTTAATACTGTTGGCAGAGATCTGGCACTTGCCAGCAGCCCTCTCTCCTGTGCTCTTCTGGCCAAAGCAGGAGCAAAACTTCAGGCGGAATTAACCGAACAAGGCCGAAGGACAGTCGTTCGGGACGCTTGTGTGCTTAAAACGAAAGGCTACGCTCTGGGCTGCTCTCATGTGCTACACGCCGTCTTGCCCTTATGGAGTCAACACTCTGGATGTAAGGTACGGTTGGGTTTTTTCAGTACATCTTGAATGGCCAGTGAGGCACTTCGGAGCCTAAGAGCCCTGCGGGAAGGGAGCCAAGGTCTGTCTAGTCCAGCATTCTGCTCCCATGGGGCCAACCAGATGTCCACGGGAAAGCCATCAGTAGGAGCGGTGTGCAATTGTACCACCACACTCATGGTCCCCAGCAGCATGCATAAAGGCATGCTTCCTCTGATACTGGTGGCAATGGAAAGCCACCTGGACTAGAGGTCATTGATAAGCGTATCCTTCATCAAGGAAGATGTCCCTGGTCTCTGATCCAGGTTTTGTGTTCTAGGTGCTTGCTATAGCTTTTGCACATCAGTCCTGTAAGGCTGCTTAGACAAAGGGGGGACTTCCCCAAGGCTCCTCAGTGAGTTTTGCGACAAACACTTGCCCCAGAAGCCTTGAATCTAGCAAGACACTTGCGTTAATCCCCATAATAGGATACTTTGCAAATATTTATCCAAAATAAATTGTTATTTGTGTAGGATTTGGATCTACTTCTCCCAAAATACATCATTTCAAGCTAGAAAGCTCAAGTCTGAGCATGGGAAGAGGAGAGGCTGGAATGCGTAACTAATATGTCGAGGTTAATGAGCCATAAGATCAGTTAAGGTCTTGTTGAGAACCAGACCACCTCTGGTTTGGCATGAGGCGCTGAATAAGGAGGTCAAAGGGGTAGGAGTTTGTCTTCACCAGCCCAGTGATGGAGTCGAGTCAAATGAGTGGACCAATTAAGTAACAGTGTTGCCAAGCAGCACAAACCTCGCTGAGGGTAGAGCCAGCTCATTCGAAAGGGAAAGGAGGAAGTCAGTGCAGTTTGGATTTGGAATCAAGTGCTTCCTAAGGCAAGGACCAACCAACCAACTAGAGAGATCATTAACTTGATAGCTGCTTCTTGCTAACAACTTTTATTTATATTTATTTATTATTAAACTTATATTCTGCTATAATGCCCTGAGGGCCATCACAGCAGATTACCATGAAATAAGACACTCTAACAATACAAGCAATCAATTAGATCACACAACAATAAACAACAAAAGAGCACTAAAACAAAGCAGCACAGAGCTGAGGGATAATACTTTAAAACAGTGTTGATTAATAATATCACTAAAATTTTCAAAATGAAATCAATTATTAAAATACCTAGAAAATAAAGTTGTTTTCACCTGGTGCCAAAAAGATTACAATGAAAGTGCAAGGCGAACTGCCTTTGAGAGGCAGGTGGGGCACAGCTATTGAGAATGTCCCTCTTCTGTTCTCCATTCTCTCTTTGGAGGATGACTCTTTCAGAAGACCTCTGAAACTGATCCTAGGGACTAGGTAGGTGTATATAAGGGAGCAGGTGGTCCTTCAGGTATTCTGGTCCCAAGCTGTTTAGGGCTTTATGTTAGAACAAGCACCTTAAATTGGGCCCAGAGCTCAATTGGTAACCAATGAAGATGATACAATATCAGAGTCACATTATTGATTCTGTATTAAAAAGCTAGCATAATTCAGTAAAGTACTGTAGCTAGAAAACTCTTGCTTCCATCTTCTGGGAAGAAAAAGGGGAAGAGACATCCTCATGATGATTTGGTCTACCCAAGTTTTCTTATAAGTATCCCATAAGTTTGCACATCTCATAAAATAGGTTGCATAGCAAAATGCATTATCCTATGAAGCTTGAATCAGTTTGATTCTAAGAGAGGCATTGTAAGAGAAGGATTTGTGAGGTTGTGACTTTTGATTGAACTATTTACTGAGCTGGGACCCTGCTATGGAAATATGAAGTTCTACCAGTTGAATTTAGGAAAGGAGTAGACTATGTTTCAGATAAGAAAGCTGGGAAAAGGAAGAGTAACTGCTAGACAATGCATATGTCACATATGATGCAAATATGTTAACATAAAATAGTGTGAAAATAGAAAGCAGGACCTATGAAAGAGGAGTAGCTAACATCTGTGTGAGAGACTTTGGAAAATGTGGCTTAGCCAAGCTGGCAAATCATGAAATAAAGATACTGCTCCTCAAAACAATAGTACTAAAGAGAAAACTAATAACTCATTTTATATAAGTTCTTGTTTTGTGCAAAGCATACATCAGAAGTTGACAAGAAATCATTTAAATATGAGGGGCAAAATAGAGGAACTAGAGAATATTCCACCTGTTCTCACAGAACCAAAATTGACTATCATAGGATGGTCCAGCTGTCCTTAGAAAGTTGATGGTCCCCATCCTCACACTGATTTCTCCACTCTATTTGGCTACTAGCTCAGAAATGTTATTGGGTAAGATAACTTAAGGCACAATCCTGTGCATGATTAGAGAGAGAGAAAGGCATACAGCTTCCAGCATTCCCCAACCAGTATTGCTAGCTGGCAAATGCTGGGAATTGTAGGAATTCTTTCTGTCGAAATGTGCACTGGATTGCACCCTGGAAAGCAATGCTGCTGAATAATTCTTGAAAAACTTAAAAGATGTGGGGTGGGGTAATTGCAACTACCATGTATTCATGTAAACCAAATATGAATCACATAAACGCTGCTTGAGATTTTGGAGTAAAAGATGCAAAGTCATGCCTGATCTCAGAGTCCTCTATTTCTAAATATCTGGCACATTAATGCTAGGAATATTGTAAATGTACAATTGCTAGATGACAGCTTTGTACCTGGAATATGCATAGAATGGTTACCTGTTGTATACCCTAATCCTACCCCGTAATCTCTCAAGACAAAGAGAAATCTGCCTCAGCTGCCTAACTGAGTGATGCTTGTCACCTCCATTCCCAGCCCTTCTGTGCACAGCATGTTGTTTCAGAACTCCTTGGATCAGCACTCATGTGTTGACTATAAGTGCTCTTGGCAGGCACAGAGCGGTCAACTGTTAATGAGAAACTGCAGGTGGCTCGTGCCCAGATTTCACTCTGATCTCTGCCTTTAGTCTTCCTGGCTTGGAAAATGTATTTCATCCTGTTGCCTTTAGAAAATCCAGCGCAGCCAGTTTCCCTGGTATGTATGGCCCCTAATTCAGCTATATCTGGCTGCCTTGGAAAGAACTTGACTCTTGCAATTAATTTGATTTCTGCTGCTTATTGTGTTTATATGGCACTGCTTCTTATACTGTAGATTCTAAATCCATTTTATATTGTGGTCCCCAGATCTTGGAAGGTGTTATTGAAGAATGTTTGAAAATCACGGAAGAACTCTCTTTGAATTCCATCACTTTCCCAGCAATTGGTACGGGTAACTTAGATTATCCCAAATACCTTGTTGCTAAAGTGATGTTTGATGAGCTGTTCAGATTCAGTCAGAAGAAAAATCCAAGGTCCCTTCAAGAAGTTCACTTGGTACTGCATCAAAGCAATGTAAATACTATCAAGGTAATGTTTTTCTCTGCTAGTATCTTCTTTGGTATGTCTTTGATATTACAAGTAGCTCTGAAAGATAACTGAGTGTGCTGAAAGCAGTTTTCTTTGTTTCTCTGATAATCAGTTTCTGCATATCTCTAAAAAGATGAGGCCTTCTTCTGTTATAAGATTTACTCTTTCCTGAGTTCAGAGAGCTCAGTGGATTGTCATGTTGTGTGCAACCTGGGCCAGTTCCCACAGGATTGCTTGTTTGAGGGCAACAACCCATGCAGACATCCTATGAGTGGTTCCAAAGTCTTGTAGCCATGAGGAGTTGTCTTGTTCAGGCTGGGAAACCAGCCCCATCATGGGTTCTGCAAAGCGGCTGGTGAGCAGCTTGGCAAGAGTGGCAAAACCCCATTTTCCGCTCACTGAACTTTTGGTACCTTTACCCTTTTTTGGGCAAGGGGTGATTGCAAAGTCCAGCTTGACAACCAGCTGTTGACAGTCACTGACAGCCCCTTTGGAGTGCCTGGGAAGCATTTTGGAGGGTCTGATGGTGGTTGGCAAAGACTATTCTAACATTTTTTTCATGTGTAATGTGTGCAAGCTGTTTTGCTTTAAAAATTAGTCATGCTTCTCCTTCATGGCAATAGCCACATCCTCCCTCCCTCCCTTTCTTTCTTTTGGCCCTATCAGTGGCTATCAAAACAGAGACCCTAAAAACTGCCTGTTGAGGACTAAGGGAGAGGGAGCAGGCAAACAGTCCATGGTGAACTTGATCATCTGTCAAGTGCTCCATGGATCATTTGCAGAACAACTAACCCCTGTGGTTTATTGCCAGAGCGCCTTGCCATGAGGTCCTAACCTGTTCATTATCTTGCTGCTTTGTCGTGCATTAGCATCTTGTTAGGAGATCTGGAAAGCAGAACTGGCCTAGGAAAATCTGCTTCAACACAAATATTTCTAGATACACCTTGGAATGGAGTTCCTTTTCAGATTTGATCTTTTTAGATTTGATCTTTGATCCAGCATCCTCTTCCTCTCTTTACATTCTTTATTTTTCTCAGCTAAGCCATGGTTGGAAATTAACTTTGTACCTTATTTTGTTCTGAAGTTATTAACTGTGATTCCCCAATTTAGGAAACAGGAAACTATAGTTAATGGAAGACTCTTGGTTAATTTGTTCAGCTTGTGGAAAGGCCAAGTGAGGCCAAAATATATACTGTATATATTGTCTAATTGAATCAAGAATATTTGAATACAGGTATTGATTTATATCCAGTTTTAGTCTAATATACCTTGCATTCTTCTCAATGGGGCAACTAGAATAGTAGACCAAATCATTATTTCAACATAACAATTTCAAAGCCAGTGATGTTCCAAAAGAAAGACCACACAGAAATCCCACTGGAATGCATACTTATAATGTGGAAAATCTTTTCAAAAAGATGAAAAATGCATGCTTCCAGGTAGACAGGTTACTGTGTTTCTCTCCCTCCACAGGTGTTTACAGATGAATTAAACAGTAGGCTGAATATAAGCCAAAGCAGCCCTTCTGGATCCAGGACTGTACCTGAGAGTTCTCAGCAGCAAGAGCAAAGTAAATGCTGGTTTTCCCCACAAAGGCTTTGGTGTTTTATCTTCCAGGAACAAAACAGTTGGAAGTGTGTGCATGTAAAATATAAAAGGCAGAATAGTCAGGAGCAGTGATGTGATAATGAGAATCACTGCAGAGAGGAGCATTTGGAAAACTAAGGTTTTTCTGTAGAATAACATTAGCCTGTATGGGCTTTGTGTGCTTTGTACAGCTTTTTGTTTACTACGAAAATATGGGCCAATATCCAAAGATCAGTGGGCCTTGTTCTCTGAGCCAAACTGATATTTCCTTTTCTTGGCAGCAGCTGCTTTTGCAACTGAGGGTTTAAAAATAAGTTTGCTGTTGGGCTGTTAAAATGAAAAGGTCAAAACTGGGCTACAGTGAGCCTTTTGGATGAACCTTTGTATCCTAGGCACAGACCAAATTAATATTGTGCTCAGGTGCATTCAGGTTGTATAATGTATGAAGGAAGGAAGATTCATCTGTGATAAATTAGAATGAACATGCTTACTATACACTTGTGAAGAACAAGCACACAAAATCAATATATCTGCTACAAGCCATTGAGGAAATAATACTGATTTAGGATAATAGCAATATCACATGTGCTAAGCTGTCAAAGCCATTTTTAATCCTCACAGTGTTACCTTAGCTCAAGAGACAGCACAAAGTGATGGTTACTGCTATGTGAAAAGGAGAACCAAACCTTGGATTTGGTATTCCCCACCTCTGCATTCGGTCTTCTGTTGTGGCATTGCCATGAGGAGGAGACTGGTAAGCATCCCTCGCTTCCTGTTTTAAAGTAACCAGATTTTGTTGTTATGTCCAGATTAGGAATAACTTGGGTAGTTTTATGCTATGGATTGTTGAAAGAAGCCAGGGTTATAAGCCACAGTTTGTTCTTGGATTGTTTCAGCAAGCCATTTAAAATTAATCAAGTTTTCCTCAAGCCAAGCATAACAGCAAACCCTGCTTCACAAGAAGAGGTGGATGCTTCCAATTTCCTCTTGCATGTACACCAGTGGAAGGGAGGGGAGGGAGGAGGACATGAGCCCAAGGCTTCCTTTTGCTCATTTGTGTAAAAATGTCACCAGTGTGACCTGTTTGGGGGGTTTAACCCAAATTTAAACCAGTTTCTGTAAGCACAGAGCAAAGTTGTAAAGATAATGTGTGAAAATGTATTTCTCCTGTTTTCCTTACAGCTTTCCCTGGACAAATTTCATCTCCAGTGTTTGGAGTGTATGAAATGCAACTTGGTCCAGTTACGTTGCATGTCAAATATGGAGATATCACCCAAGAAACCACAGATGCTATAGTGAACATAACCAATGAAACATTTAACCTTAGAAATGGTATGTTTGTAACCTACGGAACTCCCCTCAAAGATTTACCTGTCATCACAGAGCACTTGTATGCCTGTGTGTACTTTCCTCCCGCTATCCTAAATAATAATATTTTAGGCAAGGCAGTGATAAACAAGTGCCTTGCTTGTTTCCTCTTGCTTGTTCCAGTTGTGCAATAACGTGATGTGCTTTGTACTTTGAAAGCATCTCCACCTTCTCCCACTCCATGGGACTGCATTATAGGAGAACTTGTAAGGATGTCTTGGAACAGCTCTAAGTGTTTTTTCTCCCTCCTAAACCTCTTCAAAGAATTTTATAAATAACATCTGAGGAAAGAGCAAACTGCATGTACTGCAAAGACAAGAGGAAACTGCAGCTATTCTAGCCTCGGAATCCACCACTCTCTCCTTCATAAATCCCATGAAAATGGATGTGTAGGAGAAGAGCTTGCATAGGTCCCAGACGGGTGGACACTTTGGTGTTCTGTATCATTCTGCTCAAAGCAAAACCGTCTGTTTTCTCCCAATTCCTAGCCAAACATCTGATTGATATTTATCATAAGAGCACCTCCTTGTCTTCCGCAATGCATATGCACATCCACATCCGCAGCTCCCCTTACAACACACAGTGGACTAGGAATGTCTTTCATTGTGGTCAAACCCATGTACAGATCTAAGTTTATGGAGTGTGATCAATACTGAGCATATTGAGTTGTGCTCAGTATGTTGCCTGGTGGCCCTTAATGATGCATCCCTGTTCTGGCAACTCCCTTGGCCTGTGTGAGATTTCAGACTGTGCTAGCTTATTTTCTCAGACCAATGTGTGTGATTTTAAAATTGTCTTCCAGGTGTTTCCAAAGCAATTCTGAATGGAGCTGGACCAGAAATGGCAAAGGAATGTGAACAGCTAGGTAAAAATCCCCACCGATGAGTAGCTCTCTTAAGCACTGGAGTCGCTTATATACATGGTGGTTGGTGGTGGTTGCTGGCCAGGCTGTTGGCCTTGGGTGGGGAGTATGGCTGGCTAAGGAGCAACAGAGGACTTCAGCACCCTTTCTGTCCCAAGGGAACCCACCAGGAGAGTGACCATTGCCCATTTGCTACTCTTTACTCATCCCCTCACTGCTGTGAGTAGGTATTAGCAGTCCCCAGTCCTGGAGGAATTGCTGGTTCCTACGTGCAATGCTAACATGTCCTCCATGATTTGGTGAGAAGTCTGATGATTGTCAGCTCACAGCTCTATAATGTAAGGAGGCATCATCTGAGCTGCGGAAGGTAAAGTGAGGGGTGGTCCCTCAGTGGCAGGACAGGTGATCCCAGGTTAAGTCCTTGGCATCTCCAGGTAGGTCTGGGAAAGAAGCCTGTTGGAATCCATGGAGCACTGCTGCCAGCCAGTGTTGGCAGTACTGGGCTAGATGGACTTATGGTCTGGTGCTGCAGAAAGCAGCTTCCTAAAAGGTAAGCCACTTGTCGGAGCCTTGTTTGGAGGGGAAAGATGCTCAGAGGTCCAAAATCATTAAGCCAGGGTTCCTAACCAGTACGTATATTTTGCTGCCTGTGAGACTCTGCTTCCTGCTTTATACAGGCAAAGTGAGAGTCTCTCTCTTACGCCCGAAGAGGGAAATTATGGAGGTGGAGTGGCAGGTATTATGGGTGCATTCGTAGCAGTTTCTCCCTTCCAGCTTATAACATTGGCCTTGTATCAGGGCCCAGGCTCACCCTGGCGTGGTTTTGGAAAGGCGCACACTCCCCCCTTTGCTTGATTTCTGGGACAGGGTGTATAATCAAATGTGCAATGAGGGAATGAATGTTCACAGGGCTGGCTGCCAGAACTAGACACTTGGTGGTTGTACTGTAAACTCTTTGCTGGTACTCCCTTGAAACACCCTGGCAGTGTTGGCATGGTTAGCAGCTGTCGCACAGGAGAGCTGCCCTGTTAAAGAGCTTCTCACTGTGGTTTGTACAGAACCTCGTTATCAAACTCACCTCACTTCTAGACAAAAGCATAACGGGGGCACAAAGCACAGGGCAGCAAGGAGAGGCATCACTTGCATATCGGAGGTGTCAGTGCCTCAAGAAGCTGAATGTGTTGGGTAGTTTTAATCACTCCTGTCCTGGTAAGAATGCTGTAGAATGTAAAATATTATTTGGCAAGGGATAAAATATTGTGGCTTCAGTGCTGGGAAAGCAGGCTCTCTGCTACATGGTCTCTGGCTCCTCAGGAAAGGAAATACAGACTGCGTGCATAAAATACGAAATGTTGTATGGGAAGCCCTCAGGCTGGGAGCTTGTATTTCCACCAAGTTAGATGCTATCTCATTTGTTCCACGGCTCAGTTCTCTTTTTCCTTTCAGCCTCCCACACTCGTCAGAAGCTCATATGCACAAAAGGGGGAAACTTAAATTGTAAAAATGTCATCCATCTTGTGGCTGATTCGGACACCAAAGCACAAGTCTTCAGAGCTCTCAAGGAATGTGAACACCGGAAGTTCAGCTCAGTTGCCTTTCCTGCAATTGGGACAGGTCTGTACCGAGTAGTCGAGCAACAATAAGCAGGAGAGGGCGTAACGGAGCATCTGGTGGTGTCAGTGGTGGTTTAGGAGGGCCCAGCACTACTCCAGTGTACTGAACAATCATTTCAGAACATGGTGCATTGCAGAACAAACGCTCCACCATGTTCCAGTTTTACAACACAGATGCCCTGTTTTCATTGCAGGTAATGCGAGACGTGATCCAGTTATAGTTGCTGATGACATGATAGATGCCATCATAGACTTTGCAAGCAAAACCTCTGCCCCAGTGGTGAAACATATCAAAATCATAATTTTCCAGACATTTTTATTAGATATATTTCACACAAGCATGCAAAGAAAAGAAGTGGCATCTGGCAGATTTGGCACACAGATGTTGAAAAAAATCTTCCATAAAATAACAGGTAAGTAGATGGGCTTCTGTTTGTATGGAACATCCTGCCAGCAGGTGCATTAGTGAAAAGTATGTAACCTGTCCCTGAAATTGTGTTATGTTGCAGGATACTTTATTCCCAAGAAACCTGCAGAAGAACTAAAATCTGACTTGCTTTTGGAGACAGTAGTAGAACCGACCATTTTTCAGATTTGTGGTGAGAGCAAGAAAAATGTGGAAGATACAGCATCTTGGTTGAAAAGTCTGATTTTAAATGGCCAGAGTGAAAACTCTTTCATAGATGAATGTATCTCACATTTTGGCGAAAGTGAGTATAAGAGATTGCACGATATCCAGAGAAAGCTGCATATTGCTATTAAACTCAAATGGGAAGCTCCCTCGCCTTCCCTCCATATACAGGGTGTAACCAAAGATGTCTTGAAGGCCAGTACAGAAATTCAGACGATGATCAAGAGGATCCAACAGGGCAAAGAAGAGCAATCTAGGGCAGATCTTCTCAGCAACTTGGTTGAGTGGAAGTATGAGGACAATGGAGAATTCAAAGCCTTTGATCCTCTGGCCAATATGCACATAGAATATGCAGTGCAAGCACAAACGCAGCATGAAATAACCATAAATAACAAACGCTACAGAGTGGATTCAAGCAATATGTGTGCAGTGGGTGACCAGGGGGCAAGAATTTCTCTTCAGCGTATCCCAAAAGCAGAGGGTAAGTGGTCAAAACCCAGTTTTATCCATCTTTCCTCCTCCCTACTCTTGATAGGTATGCATATGCAGAGCTTTCCATGACTGAGAGGGCTCAGGCCTTGATCTAAGCCCAACTTCTTGTCCATTAGACTATGCTGGATGCTCACTTATGCAAAAAGTTGCCAGCTGTGCAAGTGCATTGTGATATCTCTACCCTTCCTGTCCCACTTCTGGTTCTGTGCAGTTTCACAGGTGGCAAGACATTGTATCACCCATAATGAACTTGTGTAATGTGGAAGAACATGTGCTTCTCATGAGGTAAAGATTGGCATGGCTTAACAAGTCTTCCCTATCCTGGTTTTCAATGAGTTTGCTGGAACATTGACTTTGGTGGCTGGGATTGTTGGGAATCATCTTGGCGTCCTCAAAATGGGAATGGCTTGAGCATGCTGGTGCCATGTTGGGAAGTACTCAATATTTTATGGGCTAGAACTATTAGGCAAATGACTTTTTGTTGAACCTTAAAAAAACCTGTGCCAGTGCTTAATTAACTTAGTACCCTATCTCTTTCAGGAAAGGGCCATACAAATTCATACTTCTAGCTCCCTTGTGCCTCTTTTTCAAATGGATTACTTACACAGTTACAACCATAATGAACTGAAATGCTACTCAAATGTTTGCTGAACCTCTGCTGTTAAAATTCAAGTTGGTAAATGTCCTACAAGTGGCTTGTTCATTTCAGTTCTAACACAAACGTCATGTTCATTGCATAATCTAGTTGTTGAATATCCTGAAGAGTGGGAACCCATGGAACAAATGCTCACCAAAGTGGTGGAGCTGCGGCCAGAAATGAAGGAATATGAAAAGGTCCAGCAGTTGTTTAGTAGAAGTTGCAAATTCACTATTGAAAAGGTAACCGTTTTTGTTTTTATTTGGCTCTCTCAATTGACCAGTGATAAATAGTAAAATACTAATGAAAGGGAGTGGTATTTTGCTTAATTGCTTGGTGTGTTCTTCCCACTCTGCAAGTGACTGCATCTTAAATTCTCAGACTTTGATGCACCCAGTTGTGGGTGTCTATATAACCCTGCAAAGCTGAATGGTAGGTAGGCAGGTATCTAACTCTGGCTAGTGGTTCCTATCAAGCAGAACCAGGGCAGAGAACTTAAGGCTCCAGGGCCAAATCCTGACTTCCTGGTCTACAGGGTCCATGCCTCCTTGCCCTAGCCCTGCTCCTACCCCTTTCCCACAGCCACCAATTGTTGTGTGGCTCCCCAGGTTCTGTGCAGTTTTTATGCCTAAGGTGAAAGCTTGTAAAACCTTATAAAAGGTTTAAATGCCTTTCCTGAAGTTGAGTTAGTGGCAGGAAGAACATTGAACTACAATGTGTTCTGCTTTGCTTTGCTTGTTTTTTGTTTTGTTTTGTGTTTTTGTAGGTTGGCCTCGTTCCTTTGGCCTTGGCCCCTTTTGCCCTCAGCCTTGATCAGCACTACAGTGCAGTCCCCATGACATTCTCCAAAACTGAACATGGCCCTTGAGCTCAAAGAGGTTCCCAACCCCTGCAGCAGCCAGTGCCGTTAGTGTTTCCAGATGAGGCATTTATGGCACCGTTGCCTTGCCTCATTCAGGGGTTCTACTGGGGTGCTGGTGGTGGTTTTGGGACATCACGATCTTCAACTTGTAAACCTCCCACAGGTCCTGCCATCTTTTTCTCTCACTTCAAAACATCCAGCAAGGAGGAAAAGTCAGTTTAGCTGCAGCAGTGCCTTCTCAGAGGGCTACGAGCCCTTGGGCTGCAATGCCTTTGGAGTGAGGCTTTGATTCATCTGCCTTTTCCTGTGCATGTCCACTTCTGCATTCAGAGCCACTGTAGGAAGGAAGTTAAACAAAATGTGCAGACTTTTGTGTTGTTTCTTAGCAAAAGTGTTGTCCCTTTGGAAAAAAATGTAGAACTAGCTTCACTTGGTCAACATGAAACTTGCTTACTGCTTCCAGCACTCTTCACTGGTGCGAAGTGCTTGGTAGAATCATATGATGCACTCACCGTCTGGGAGTGTTCCCCAACCTGGCATTCTCTGGACCTCTTTGGACTCTCATCATTCTCACACAGTCCATCAATGGGGATGATGGGAGGTATAGTTCAGCACAGCTGAAGAGTGCCACATTGGGGAAGGCTGCTCTGTGGGATTTCTCCCATCTAAGAGAGCCATTTCCCCTACAACTAGTCATCACCAAAGTTTGGTTCTCTGCAAATGCTGGGCATCTTCCATATTTGCCCTTCTGCCCCCTGAGATCGGCAGCAGAGGCCCTCCTCCGGGAACCCTCCGTGAAAGACATTAGGAGGCAAAGTACTCGGAGGAGGGCTTTCTCTGCGGTGGCGCCCCATCTATGGAATGCGCTCCTCAGAGAGGTCTGCCTGGCGCCGTCATTATTTGTTTTTCAGTGCCAGGTTAAGACCTTTTTATTCCAGCAATATTTTAGTAAGTTTTAATATCAGTTTATAGGTTTCATTATGCAGCCAGGGTGGATCTGGATTTTATCTGTATTATGTTTTGGTTTATTTATGTAAGCTGTCCCGAGGCTATGCGATAGGACGGCATACAAATGTTCTAGATAAAATTAAATAAATAAATAAATAAATAAATAAATAAATCCCTGGGCAATGAAGCCTTTTGTCTCTCCATTTCAGTGTGGTCATTTTCAGCAATTCTTTTATTTGGAGGTCCATAGCTGGCACTCCCTTCTACAGTATGACTGAAAAAAGGAGAATTTAAACTCTGTGAGAAAAGAAGTCATACCAAGAGCAGGTACTCGGTAGTCACACTAAGATCTTTTCCATTGGAGCTACATGCCCAAACCTGAGAACCATGGTAGAAAATGTGAGACCATCTGGAAGGATCCAGAGTGTAATGGATGCAGCGTTGTCCCCCTAGGACTAAATAGTACGTGTGATAAGTGCTCAAGACAAAAAGAACCCTCTCGTGCTTTTCAGCTGATCTTAAGTCACTTTGGGAGCCATTTTGGGCTGCATATTCTTCTGCCTGCCTTCTATAGCTACCTTTATACCAGTCCTCAGCCTCTTCCTGTAAAGATACAGATGGAATTTAGAGCAGGGCTGGACTGGTCAAGCAGCAAGAGTAGTGGGGGCTCTCTAGGGATGTTGGGCTGGCAGTTTGTATCTTTGAAGACTTATGTTTATTTTATTTTACTGGTATCACAGTGCAAGGTACATGCCATTATTGCCATTTGCTGAATGCTATTTAATTAACTTTCCAAATATATATATGCGTGTGCCATTTAACTACAAAGGCAAACCCCGCAACATTTTCTAAGGTACTTTACTGCTACAGTCCCTTTTACTGTCTCATTAATGAAGCAATAAATAAAATAAAATAAAGGATGAACAGATGATGTATTGAAAGCCAAATCTTGCATTAAAAGATCTTACAGGTGGAGAATCATGTTGGAAGGATCTTGGAGGTTAGGTAGTCTGGTCCTCTGTACAGTGCAGGAATGTGTAACAGTATTCCTGATAAGACAACTGTCCATCCTGTTCTTTCATATCTCCAGCAATACAGACCACTGTCAAATGGCCCATTGTGGTTGTTGCAATTTTTACATGTATACCCCAAGCAAGCAAGGCAGCTTACAAGGTTCTCCTTGTCCCCATTTTATCTGCACAACAACCCTGTGAGGTGGGTTGGACTGAGTCTGCTACTGTGCCAAAATCACCCAATGAGCTCCATGGCTGTGTGGGGACCAGAACCCAACTCCCAATTCCTGCTTCCCGATCCAGCACTGTATCCACTATGCCCCACTTGCTCATTATGTAGAAGTTTCTCCTAAATTCAACTGCTTTCCTGCAATTCCTCCCCACCCCCGGTCTTTGTTCTCTCCCTGGAACAACAGAAAACAAAGTTTGCTTCGTCTTCTGGGTGACAGGACCTCCACTATTTGAAGGCAGCTTGCTTCTCTCTTTGGTAATGTAGCTCTCAGTTGACACTGTCGTGTGTTTCCAGAGTGCTTTGAGTGTCTGGGTTACTGAACTGGCCACTTTGATACTGGCAATTCACACAGGAATTATGCACAATCCACACAGATGGGCTATAAAGTCTACACGAGGCGGCTAGTCCAGCACTCTAACAAAGCAGCTTTGCCTTTTGTCTTTGCTGGAAGATTACCATGTCTTTCACACATACAAGGGTTTTCCCCCAGAAATTCTCCTCTCTGCCTTTCTCTAGGTTCTTACAAGTTCCATTACACAAAACAAGGTAATGCTGTTGCATAGAGTGGAATCACAAGAATGGAGAGTTAGAGGATTCTGTAGCAAATAATGGCAGCATCCCGGAAAATATATTTTCTTCACTGATATGGAGGGGGAGGGGGAGGACCCACAGAAATACATGAATGAGGGATCACAAGTTCACAATAAATACTTCATGTAGAAAGACCTAAAGACTGATATGCAGCAATGCTTTCATATGAACAGCTGTGGTATTGCAGTGTTCTTTTCATTAGTTAGGTCCTATTTCTTTAACAGTCCTGTAATTGAAAAGCAAACTTCTTTGGCTCAATATGCTCTAAAGATCCAAATCTGTTGCTTACTTCAAGTTATTTTAAACTTTTCTTTGCAGGTAATACGGGATATTGATTATTGTCAATTAACCACCTGTCTGGTTCTCTGTCTTTCTTATTTGTAGATAGAGAGAATCCAAAATCCTTACTTCTGGCAGGCATACCAGATAAAAAAGCAGGAGATGGATGCCAAAAATGGCAGCAGAAATAATGAGAGGAGACTTTTTCATGGAACAGCAAGTTCATCATTAAACTTGATAAATAACAAGGGGTTTAATCGGAGTTATGCTGGAATGCATGGTAGGTCACTGATCAAAGCTGGCTTTTGATTGGACGGATGGATAGATGGATGGCTGAGGACTATTAGTGTGTCTGACATGCAACATTTTTCTTTTTTTTTTACACACAAGAAAACATCAAAAATGTACCTTCTGCCAACACATAAATTGTACATGTACTTGCTGGAGAACCTGAACTGGCTGTGCCTTCCTGTATGTTCAGTGGTAAAAGCTGGCCTTTAGTGTGGAATGTGTGAAAATAGCCCTTGACATATTCATACACATGGTGTGTGTGGGTAGGTTGAGGGGTGATTTTAAAATGGAAGAAGCCCTCATTTTTCAAGCTGGTATTCCAAGGTCCATAATGAAGAGCCTTTGGTGAGAACAGTCAAAAGGCCTTTCTGAAAAGAGCTCATGAGCACTGAAGCAACTAGTTCAACATGTGTCACCTTGTCTCATGCATATGGTGTAAAAGGCCATGTTCTAAAGACACCTTTCCCTCCGGAAGACGCCTTCAGCAGCTGGAGGAATGCCGAACGCAAGGCCAGCTCTTAGCCTGTTCCCTGAATATTCCCAGTCCTTGATGGCTTCAGTGCTGCTGTAGCTGGAACTTCATAACACTCCATTCTTCAGCCTTCACTTTTTGTCCAAGTGTTTGCTGAGGTTTGTGTGCTACAAAGAAAAGAAAATATGCACGTGTTCTTTCTTACCAGTTAGTGCAAAGGTGGGAAACCTGTTTGACTTCCAGCTCCTATCATCCTTGGCAATTGAACATGTTTATTGGGGTTGATGGGAGTTGGAATCCAACATCCTTTAGAGGTTACTTGCTCTAATGGGTAGAAAAGGTGGCAAAACAAAGTGGTGGGTTGGTGGGCATGAATAAAACAGAGGCACAGGTGCAGAAATGAAACCGAAACCTCAGGACTGGCAGAAGCCCATTCTTGGCTGTGCTCTTACTGTCCATCATCCAGGAAGTTTCCTTTGCCATGAATTGTTGGTGGAACTGTCAGATTATTATGATAACTGATATGCTAGTGGGGATGGCATGGCCTTAAAGAGTGGAAGGATAAAATTGCTCTTTAGTTGTTGGTTGTTGGAAGTTTTCATTTTCTGTTTATCTTCTTGCAGCTGCTGCATATGGAAATGGAACCTATTTTGCTGTTGAGGCCAACTATTCTGCCCATGATACCTATTCAAAACCAGATGCAAATGGGACAAAGTACATGTACCTTGCTAGAGTACTTGTTGGAGATTATTGTGCTGGGAGGGTAGGATTGGTCGTCCCGGACCCAAAGGATGCGAATACAACAGATCTTTTTGACAGTGTGACTGATAGTGTGGCGCAGCCAACCATATTTGTCATTTTCAATGATATCCAAGCTTACCCAGAGTATCTTATTACTTTTAAGAAATGATTCTTTATTCTGTTCTTTCCTCCTGAAATCTATCATATTCTTTGAAATATTTCTGCTGAAACCCTCTGCTGCTGGTATTTTTTGTAGTGTACCATTTAGGTATTGATTGCTAAATAAAAGAGAATTGGTTTGGATTAATTGGGGGATAAAATGATATTCCTTGAAGCTGAAAAGAAAGCTGGGAAAGTCCATCTCTTAAAAACAGGCAGGCTCATGGGAAGAAGGCAGGCATTGCTGGTAAGGTGGGTCCAAGCCATTTAAGGCTTTTAATGGAAAAAACACCTTATATTGTGCCCAGAAACACAAGGAGGTCTTTGAATACAGATAAAGTAGGTTAAAAGATTTGTTCTTATTGCAATAGGATGAAAATCTTTGACCTAGATGGCATGAGAATATAGGTAGGTGAACGGACAAAAGAATGGTAAATGAGATTTCATCAAGTACAAAGTGATATTAAAGGGGATGAAGGGAGACCTTATCTATACTGATGGGATGGGAATGGACTATAATTCTCCAGGAAGGATATAAATGCTGTTTTTAATAGCTCTGAAAAAACCATCCATGGCATGCATGTGTAGAAAAGAGACTGAAAATAGAAGCATTAATTTACATTGTTTTTCCAGCATGGTGTGTGGGTTTGAGTTTTGAGAGGGAGGGTCATGATATTTGAGTTCTAGTCCCCACTTGGCCAAGGCTTACTGGGTGACTTTGGGCCAGGCACTCACTCTTGGCCTAACCAGTGTGGTTGTGAGTACAAAATGGAGGGGAAGAGAACTTAGGAGGTGCCGTGGGCTCCTTGTAAGAGGGAGAGATGCAGGGTGTAAATGTAACATACGCAGCTGCAATTACCGATTCTAATTTGCCCAACTCAAAAGAAGTGCAGGGCTAGCAAAATGGAACAGCAATGAAAAGAAATTGGAGCACAGTGCTAAAAGGAATGAGGAAAGAAATTGTACAGGTTTACAAGCATGAATGAGGAGGAGTTTTCTCCCACATAATACTAGAATATGGCTCATCCAATTAAACTGGCAGGCAGTCGTTCCAGGAAAGATAAAGAAAACACCCATCCGGTATTCAAGGAGCTAGCGCCAGAGACACATAATCAGAATTTTGTTTAGGGGGTGCTCTTATGAATGGAAGAATAGGAGGTAGCTTTTTGCCTGCTTCCCCTATAGTTGCATCCCCCAAAAGCCTATTCCCCAGGAAAACTTCTAGAAAACAGTGCAAGGTTGTAGGAAAAGGGAGACTGAATGAAAATGTTGAAGTCTTTCATGAATAGACTGCAGTGGATCAGGGTGGCCTGAGTCGGGTGACTGGCTTGAGACAGACAAGAGGCTGATCAGCAGCTCCATTGCCAATTCCATGTGCAAATGCTGTTTTGAACCTTATTTTCACACTGGTGTGGAGGAAGCATCCACTGAGGACTGCAGGGTAGTGGTATGCAAAAAGCTGCAAAAATACTTCTCAGGTATTTATCCAAGACTACCAACAGAGTGAGGTGATTTCTTTGTTTATTGCAATAGATGGGGAGAGCCCGCTCTATCGGAATCTCTCCAAAGCACAAACACACGAAACAGCTCCTTTTACCCCTCAACCCGTTGGCCACAGTCCTCCCCTTTTCCCTCAATGGGCAAGGCACTAGGAAGTTACAATCTTGCAGTCCGCCCATTACTTATCTCCCATCTCATCCCTCTACATATATCTACATCACATGTAGCACTTACATCCATATTTGCCCAGTCGCCCCCTGAGATCTGCAGGAGAGGCCCTTCTCCGGGAGCTTCCGTGAGAGAAATTAGGAGGGTGGCTACTCGGAGAAAGGCTTTCTCAGCGGTGGCGCCTAAGTTATGGAATGCGCTCCCCAGAGAGGTCCGCCTGGCGCCGCCGTCATTTGTTTTTCGGCGCCAGGCTAAGACCTTTTTATTTAAGCAACATTTTAAATGCTAAGTACAATTGAATTTTATCTGGCCAGGGCGGCTTATTTTATAATGTGTGTTTTAATTAAGATTATTTTATATGGATATTTTAACTTACTGTTTTATCTATGTTGTAAGCTGCCCCGAGGCTTCGGTGAATGGGGCGGCATAAAAAATTTTTAATAAATAAAATAAATGTGTATTATAATTTGCCTATTGTCTGTTCAAGGTGTGTGAACTAATATTCATCAACCTGTTTTATGCTAAATGTAATGTATATGCTTAGAGAGGCCAGTGCTTGCCCAAATAGGAGTCCATGGGGACACAACCTGAACTACAAAGACCTTTAGCATGATCAGGTGGGGCTGTATATGTGGCCTTTGGGCTGGAGAAACAAGCTGCAAACTCCAGCTGCCAAGTGGGTCCATCAGGAGCTGGACCTTGGGGCCAAAGTGCAGGGCTGCACCCGCCTCACCCACTACACCACCCACTGCGCGATAAGTGACGAAGGCACCAGGGCAGAAGTAAATTTTATGTATTCCTATATTCAAGGTAGTGCCTTGTTTACTTGAGTTCAAGTAAATTATTTTAATATGCATAATTTTAATATGTTTACAATCTTTCAACAAAAAGACTGGCAAAAAAAACTGCTGAGAATACAAAACAAGTGGAAACCACAGGCACATAGATAGAAAAGGGGGGCACAAAAGAATCAGTTGCAGACTTCTGGTTGTGGTTTTCTCATAGCGGGAATGGATATTGCAGAAAACTCTTCGTGGCGTGTCACACGTGGGAACACAAGATCTTGAAGGATGCCATCCCGTGCGTGTTTGGGGAGAATGAAGTCCTACAGCTCCCAGCATGGGAGGGCTGCTTGCACATTTTTTTGCCCTCTTTTGACCTGCAACAAAGGGCCCACAGGTTACGGATTTCGCAACGTTCCCAGGCGCCAACACGTCCTTTGCTTTTCGGAGGGCGCCAGCCTCACTTTCTGGGGGCAGCCTACACGCTTGCAGCGTCTTGCCATCGAAGCTACGGCCGGCGAAGGCGAGATACTTCCTTCTAGGGTGCGGTCAAGCAAGGGTGGGTGGGTTCTGAAAACACGCAAGAACAGCGGTAGAGATTAACAAAAAACCGTTTGAACCTCCCTTTCGCGGAAATCGCGTCACAGGAGAGAAACTTTGCAGAAAAACGAAACCGAAAGCGCCCGGCCCGGCCCGGCGGACTTGCTCGCTTACCCTGCCCTTCGGTAACATGGCGGAGATGGGGAGATCGTGTGCCTTTCCTGTGCTGGTGCAGGGGGATTGGGGAGCTCCAGCTCCCACCAAACTACTGAGAAACAAACTTCTCTGCTACTTCCAGAGCCGGAAGAAGTCTGGAGGAGGAGAGTGCGAGATTCAGCAGGGATCGGGGCTGGTCTTGGTCTGTTTTGCGCACGACGAAGGTAGAGGAAGCGTCCTTTCTGTCTCGCCTCAGCCCTTGCGCGTTTCTGAGTGTCCAAAATGCCTCCTGTGGGGGGCGAGGGGGTCCATAGGGAGCTGGGGAGGACTTGAAGGAAAGGCTACAGGGGGAGGAGGTGGAGCCGCAGTGTGGGAGCCAGAAGCGTTGGGGGCGAGACTCTGGCTCCCGGCGTATTTAGGAAGTTGATTTTGCTGGCGCTCCTCTCTTCCTCACTAGGTTTGTGTGTCTTCTGAAACCTCTTTCCTCAGTGTGGAGCCCTTCGCCTCCCATCAGCCTGGGCGAGTATGGCCAGTGGTCAGGGACGCCGAGGGCTGCAGTCCCAAACGCCTGCAGGGCGCCAGTTTAAGGAAAGCTGTTGGGAGAAGTAGCTTTCTGTGCCCAGAGGGAATGGGCGGCCTCGAGCCCTGCGTAAATGTTAAACAGGCAGTAAATGGGGCGCCTGACTGTGTGTAGGACGTATTACCCTGCCACACTAAACCCTAAGCAACCTCATACGCAACACTGTTTAGTGTGACCTCTGTGTAACTGTGTGGACTTATCTGGGTATAAGCTTTATTAAGCGTGTTGGAACCCACTTCTGAGTGTAGAAAAATGTGTAGGATTCTGCTGTGAATTGTAACAACGACGTCCAAGAACACTTTTCTACAAACTCTGGTGGAGGAATCTACAAACCCCGGTTTGTGCAAAATGTCTTATCAGGACCTACCAAAGTTCTTCAAAATTACGCATCCATAAAAGTTCACTGGGCTAGATGGTATAGAAAGTGGTGAATCGAAGAAGTAACACGAAGTCCAGCCATTTGGCTGGGTATCGTGACCACGAAATCTACATTTTGGATAGACCACCATTTTACCCAAATTGAGATTTACAGTCCAAATTATTGAATTGCTTAGTGGTAGGTATTGCAATTAGAAGATTACTCTAGTAGCGTATTTGGGAAAGCAGGAGCAATGACTGAAGAAAGTGCTAACGTGGAACTGGAAATTAGCCCAGAATGTCTGGACATATATGCATTGGGTGAGTGGAAGGAATTCTCAAAAGAAGAAGTACAGTTTGATCTGTTTGCTGCATAACTATATTCATGCACACTTTCTCTAAATCCAGCACAGCAACAGCCGTCTTAAAATCACAGCAATTTATTTCCATTTCAGTGCGGCAAAGAGTCCTTTCCAAACAGAACCATGAACTTGACCTGGCAGAGAAAGGAACACTGAAGCTAGTGGTCCAGTTGTATGAAGCGACAGGTGCAGCTAAAGAGGATGCGCCTGTGAAGGAAATGGCTCCAAAAGAGGTAACTTTGCAGTATCCCCATCTTTGAAACTGATACTTGTTGAGATTTCAAGCAAGAAACTGATTTCATGCTGACTTTTTGTTTTATTTTGTTGTCAGCCTTCCATAATAGAAGATCAGACAGAAGAGAAAGGTATGGTGAATTTCCTGCAGTGTTTTAGACGTGGGTACAGTTGGCACCTGTAACCATGGTTTTTCTTTGCAGGAACTGGTGATTTAAAGCTGGAAGTGTTTGTCAATAACAGTTTTTATTTAGTTGACTTTCTTATCCCAGTTCTCTTATCTATCTTGTGTCAACAAGTTCTTTTGGAATTTCCAGAGGAGGCAGAACATGCAGATTAGCTTTTCAGGCATTCACTCCATAAAACTGGGATCATGTGGGAAATGAGGATGGCTCTGAGCCTGCTGCCATCTCTCTACAGCCCAAACCCAAGAGGGACCTAGTGTATGCCCACGCATGAGGTATGCAGAGCCTGGGACCAAATCTGGCCCATGTAGGTCCTAGTGCTTCTTCACCTTTCACTGTCCTTTCACTGACAAATTGCCAGCTGTTTTGCATTGTTTCACCTTTTCTAAAAGGCTGGTGTTCCTCATCTAAGGCTGAGTAAGAGCTTTGAAGCTAAAGTATGCTAGTAGTTTTTGCTCCTGAGAGTGTCTTTGAGATGGATTCAACCCATAAAGGAAGCCTCGGCCTCTGACTTGGAAGAACTGAAGGGAGCAGTCATGGACAGGACTCTTTGGAGAGTTTCTCTGGATTGCTGTGATTGCAGCACCTTGGTTGCAAATGAACATTACATTTGAAATTGACTGATGGGTCATTATTTTTAGCTGATGCCACCTTGCACAGTAAGGGATATGATGGACATTAGATGTTTGAAAAAGAGTACCTTTGCTCATTAATCTATATACACTTAAATATACTGACAAGCACAGTTATTCAATCACATTTTACTTGTACTTCATATTAGATGTGCAAAAGGTCTTGCAAAAAGAGGCAGCAAATGGATCAGAGGATGCTCTCATCGACTCCCAAGCATCTTCTCTTGTTGTTCTTGAAAATGTCAACATCACGCTTGATATGTTAATGCTGCTGGTAGAGAACATCTGTGATCTTTCAGGAGGAGACTTCCAAATGGAATTCATAAGTGAGAGAAATGCTGCAGTGATAACGTTTCAGCGAAGCATTGGTAAGAAATGGGAACATGGTGTGGCTCAACTGTTTTCACATTGGGGAAAATTGTTGGTGTGCATTGCCTTCAGATGGGGGAGGGGAATTGGTGCCTTCCAGATGTTTTGGACAGCATCTTACAGAATTCTTGACTATTGACCATGCTTGCTGTGATAGTTGATATTTGTGGTCCAAAACATCTGGAGAGTAATAGGTTGTCTGCTGCTGCTTTAAGCCAATCTGTTTTAAAATACTTAGAATTTCACATGGACACTGTTGATCAGCCTACTCAGGAAGATGGCTTCCTCCTCCTAAATCCTGTTACTTCCATATGGAATGTTAGCCCGCTCTTTTTTCCATGTTAAGAGGCTTTTCTTACCATGTACTGTGTGTAGGGTTGTTTCTTTTCCCTCCACGACTTTTACTTTTCTAACATTGCTCTGAAGAAAGTTTGGATTCTCTTTGGAATTCCCCATTGCTGAGAATTTGAGTGATGGTTAAAGGAAAGTGTAAGAAAGGCAGAAGCCTCTGAGAAGTACTTGCAAACAAACTGGTACTGCCATGGGCAGGCATGGTTTTTCCCAGGTAAGATTAGAATGTAGCAGTTACCAGGTTTGGACATATCCATCTAGTTCAGCATTCCTCTGGGGAATCGGAACCTCACTGCAGAAGGAGGAAAAGTTGCATATAATCAGTGCAGGGCCATGGAGCATCTTTGGAGCTTCTGCTGAATTGCCCTTCCCCAACACGGGAGGATGAAGTGAACGTGCTGCTGCCATCCTGGCTACAATTTGTACTTCCCATCAGGGGATCATCCAGTCTCCATCCCAAGCCCCTGCCCATCCCGAGGCAGCTTTCAGCAGTGTTCAGATGGGCACCCATTCTAGAGCAGCTGCCGGCATTTTGACAAATGCAGCGAGCCAGTGCGGTGTACATAGTGGTTAAGTGTGCTGGACTGTGACTCGGGAGATGTGAGTTCCAGTCCTCTCTCGGCCATGAAACTCATTGGGTGACTTCGGGCCAGTCACAGATTTTCAGCCTTACCTCCCTCACAGAGTTGTTTTGGTGAGGATAAAATGGCGAAGAGGAGGATCTTGTTAGCCATCTTGAGTTCCAGGTAAGGACTCCCAAGGAGCAGGTGGCTCTGAAGGCCCAGCCAGCCCTGACTGGTATGAAGTGGTTGTTTGGGATTTTAGATCAGAGTCTTTCCCAGTCTACCTGGAAAGGACAGGGTTTGACATCCTTCACATGTCAGGACTATGCTTGTTCCAGACCTACAGTGAAGTAGGAAGCATTCAGTTGCTTTCGTATTAATATCGAACATGTTTTATAAAGCAGAACCCCAGTGCAAATTGTCACTCACTGTTTATGGGGGCATTTTTTTAAAAAAAAATAGCCTGGAAGGAAGAAGTGACAGACTTTCCTCTATTTTTATGTGGGATAGGGGGAGTGACTGCTTTGAGCACAGCTTTGCTGTCCTCATCTTTTGCTTTGTAATTTTGAACAAAATGCCCCATGGAAATGGTGCTGTGTCAAAACATAGCATTATTCCTAGGAAGGTCTTGAAGGGATGGGGAAGATTTATTTATTTTTATTTATTTTTCGATTTATATCCTGCCTTTTTCCTACAAAGGGCTCAAGGCAGCTTACATCATTCTCCTCCTCCATCTTATCCGCACAACAACAACCCTGTGAGGTAGGTTGGGCTGAGAGTCTGTGACTGGCCCAAAGTCACCCAGTTGGCTCCATGGCCACGCGGGGACTAGAACCCGGATCGCCTGAGTCCCAGTCCCATGCTCTTAACCACTACACGTCTTCACCTTTATCTGAAAGGTCTTAATTTCAATCTTCTCTAAGAACAAATTAATCCACGGCAATTGGAAAAGGCTGCGTCAACTATTTGAACTCAGAGTTACTGCAACTAGAGATGACTAGACCAGACAGGATGAAGAAGTATGTATATTATGGAAGAAAAAATGAAAAGCACTCAACAGAGATGAAATGAGGGTAGAAGATACGTTATACACACCACCTAAGAACAGCCAGTCAAATGCTCCTGGATGGATAGGTAGTGGGGGAACAATATGCTCATCCCCTTGGGTTCGTCCCTAGCGTCTGATAACTGAACTCCATGTATCTCTAAACATAGACATTTAATTAAGCGATAATGACTGACTGGCATAATAGAATGGTCCTCTATAAACATATAACCAGTGTGGTATGTTACTTACAGTGTTGGACTGGGTACGTGGGCTCTTACTGGGCAACTTTGGGCCAGTCACAATTGATCTCAAGGATAAACAATAGCATGGAGGGGAACAAAGGGAGCTGTCTTGGATTCCTTGCAGTGTCAATGCAATGTAAAACAGAAGATGAGATATACCTTGAACAGAACCTTTAAATGATTAGAGCAAGGGGCGGGGGAAGAAAAACTTGTTAATAAAACAATGAATAAAATCAATACTTTTTGCTTCTTATTTTCAGATGCTACAAACTTTCTTGACCAATGTTCCAAGAATGCAAGGATAAAAAAATACAAAATTACCTCCCGGCGTCTTGAATTGATACAGATGATCAAAATTGAAAATATCCCTAGTGGGGTATGCAAAGGTTTCCTGACACTCTACTTTGAAAGTGCAAAGAATGGAGGAGGGCAGGTGTCTAATATTCAAATGTTACCTAAGGAGGATGCAGCTATAATTACTTTTTGTGATCACAAAGGTAATATCATCTTTCTTTCAGATGGTTCTTTTAAAAGTGTTAACTAATTGGGTGGTTTGAAAGTCAAACCTCTGCTTACAGGTTACTTCCAGACAGAGATATTCAGTCGTGTCTGGTCAGTAATTCACTGTCCTCCATATGTGTAGGGCCACAAGTTCCCTAGACCCTGACCATTGTCCACCAGGTGAGAATCAAAGTCCACGACATCTGGAAGACACCGGGTTGCATATTTCTGGTCTAGCACATAAATGATCGTCTGGGAAGGACTGTGCAGATCACAGGGAATCCAAATAGCGGAGTTCATGTGGGAGGCCCCCGAGGGGCAGTACCACAATTCTGCAACTCCTGTGCCCTCTGGCCAGAGAGATGGCCTTGCCAGGCATGTATTAATGTCACTCCAGGTGTCTTGGAAGATGCAACATGCTGCACAGGCACTCTGCTCCTCTTTACTCTCAAGTGAAGGATTATGGCTGAGGAAAGATTACAGGTCTCATGTATGCTTTGGAGAAATGGCAAGTACCTCTGCAATCCTTTCTCAGCCTGTTTCACTCTGGATTTGGCCTGCTTGCTGAACGTGTCGCACCCAGAGCATTGTGCTTGCTTCAGTCTTTAGCATGGAAGTCTGTTTTCATCCCTCTTCTAAAAGCCAGCCAGTGCTTTATTCAGTCTTCTGGGGGGGAAAACCCCTTTATCTATAGGAGGCTAACATCCTTTTGGGAGGAGTCATAGAAGTTCTCCTTCCCCCAAAAGAACAATAGCACCTCTATATTTCCTCTATATTTTTTGTGATCATATGATCTCTCTGGGAAGAAAGCAACTTCTTATATACCGGTGCCATTTCTATATATGCAAATGTAAATATATGCAAAGTTCAAGCAGAGCAGAAAAGCTGGAAAGAAAATTATACAAATTGCATTGCAGAGCAGTAACTCATGTAAATTGCAGGGCAGAGCAGTAAAGGAGAAAATTATCCAAATTATGCATCTGTGCAATTGTGCAAGCCTGACAAAATGGAGGAATAATGTTTCAGACACATTCAGAGCACTCTCCAGTGCCCCTTCTACTTGATTTTTAGGAGCGCAAGGCGGAAGGCACTGGGAAAGGATGTGGAGGATGGCAGTGGTGCTAGCAAGGAGCTCCACAGGTTTTCACACCTCATGCTGGGCAGCTTTCTAGCCATTTCTGCCAATCTTCAGTGATGTTGCCTTTGTCAGCTTTGGAAATCACAACAAACAACCCAACAGTGAGCCAACCCAACTTAGAGCCATCCATTCTCAGGGTGGCTCATCCATGAGAAAAACCCCACCATGCAGAAATCTCACAGAGTTTGGTTGTCATGGTAAACGCCCACAGTGGGTGTCTTCTTGTGGCAACAAGGTCAATGGAAAGCATGGTTGGTTGTTGCCTCTGAGTTGGGCCTGCTACTTCTGATTAAATTGCCAGAATACTTACTGTCCTTTTTTTGCAAATCTTTCTAGCTGTGCACACAATATTGGAAAAGCAGCATTCTTTGAAGAATCAACCAGTTTTGGTTTATCCATACTGCAGTTGTTTGGAGACAGCTTTGTATGGAAAGGAAAGGCCACAAATCAAGATGCCAGAACCTGTCAGTGTCCCACTAGATCCTTATATCTGGCAGTTCCTGCAAGGAAAGGATAAACTAATGCAAGAAATAGAAAATGAAATGACACTTTGTTACTGTGAATTAATATGGCCTCCAATGACTTGTGAACAGCCCAAAATTACAATGAACCCTTCAGCTGCTTTATCTAAACAAGGAGCTTCTGGGATGGAATTAATTAAGGCTTGGAAAGAGAAAGTTTGTTCAGAGTTGGCCTGCATCATGTCAAAGTTCAAGACGACTAAATGTGCCATCATCTCAGCATCCTGGGAGACCATAGAAAGCACTTTGATAAAGAATGTTTTGGCCATCCCTGATAGTGCAAAAGAATCTGTTATCCTGGCTGGTTTTGTCTACGTTGTTGATAATGTTGAGAAAGCGATAAAGCAGCATATAGAAAATGTGATCAAAGATGCAGAAAAAGCAAAAGAAACTATACAACAAACATTGTCAGTTCCCCCACATAAGTTTGAAGTTTTGCATCATATTTTGCAAGAAGAGAACCTCTATCAAGAGAACCGAGACGTCAAATGCTCTTACAATTTTGAAACAAAAACAGTGCAGCTCTCTGGAATACTTACTGATGTATATAGAATGAAAAGTGACATTCTGGAGAAGATAAACAACATGGTAGAGACAAAAGTCAACGTTCACCCTAATATTTTTCATTTCCTACAGCTTCCAGGTAGTGGACAGGTGTCCAAAATATTTCATGCCAATAACATTTATGCTTCCTATGAACTTGAACTTAATTCTGTAGCATTGGTAGGACAAACTCCTGAAGGTCTTTCGAAAGCAGAGGAACTAATGAAGAAATGCTTGGATCATAAATGCATTGTTTTGGAGGACAGGGAGCTCATGAACAAAAAGGAATGGAAAGAACTCCTTAAAAAACTGGAGAGGAAACACAATTCTGGGGAAGGTACTGTAAGCATTGATGAATGCCTTGATTTGGAAGAAGATGCTAAAGTAATCATAGCTGGTTATACATCTGCAGTAGCAGATGTCTATCAGATGCTTTCTAATTTTGTTGAAAGAAACACCCGAATGCTAAAAGTAATCCCTGCCAAATCTGTGGCTGTTGTGCAGTATATGGAGAAGGAAAAGAAGAACAGTTGGCAAGACTTAAGAAGAAGAGGTGTGAAAATCAGTTTTGGAGAACAAGCTGAACAAAAGAACATTATCCTGAGTGGACCTAAAGCTGAAGTGAGACAGGGAGCCACTGTGGTTGAAAAAATTCTATCTTCGGTGCATTCTTTGAATGTGACATTCGACAAACCAGGAGTGAAAGCCTTTTTCAAAGCCCGAGAATATTCCTATGTTGCTGAAGCAAAGAACTCTTTCAATTGTTTGATTCGACTGCAGAAAGATGATGAACTTAATGGAGTCTCTGAGGGAAAAGAGAACCCTCATGCTAAAATAACTTTAAAAGATGGCATTGTTGTAGAGGCTTGTAAGGATGACTTGACCAAATATCCAGTTGATGTTGTTGTAAATGCATCAAATGAAGACCTGAAGCACATCGGTGGCCTTGCAGATGCACTGTCAAAAGCAGCTGGTTCACAGCTCCAAAAAGAGTGTGATGACCATGTGAAAAGATATGGCAGTTTGAGGCCTGGCTGCGCAGTTATTACAGGTGCTGGGAACCTGCCATGTAAGCAGGTGATACATGCTGTCGGGCCGAGGTGGGACAATTCCACTGCACAGAAATGTACATCACTCTTAAAAAAAGCTGTCAAGGAAAGCTTAAAACTGGCAGAAACGTACAATCATCGTTCAATAGCCATCCCTGCGATAAGCTCAGGGGTCTTTGGATTCCCAATGAAAGCGTGTGCCCATGCTATTGTAACAGCCATTAAAGAAAACTTAGAAGACTCTTCTGAGAATGGATCCCTGAAAAAGATATGCCTTGTAGATGTGTCTGAAGATACAGTTCAAGCACTTGCTGAAGCTTTGTGTAAAGTATTCATACAGGATCCTCTCCCACCCCCACCTGCATCTCAGTCCCAGTCAGCCAACCCCCACAAAGCAATCAGAGACAATCTTCATACAGTAACTTCTCCTGCAGGCCTGAAGCTCATGCTTAAGAAAAGAGGCATTGAAGATGCAACGGTAAGCATAGGTATAGGCTTGAAGCAAGCAGCTGCCTTTTGGCTCTGTTCAGATGTAATCACAGTGTCTGGCAGCAATGTGAGCTACATGCAAACGGTGCAGTTCATAGTGGAATGGTGAATAAATGCATTGATCTGAGCGCTGCAGGTTTTTTGAGGGTTAGATGACTCCAAGTTAAACCATAACTTATTCTTGGGATAACTTGCGGTTATTGATAACCTGGATTTGAACATCACAGAAACAATCTATGAATAACAGATTTGTAGGTTGTGCCAATAACTTGCATTTGGCTTGCATACTTAGAATTCATGGGTAAATTAACCAAGAACTGCTGCCAGACATTGACATCATATCTGAACCAGGCCTCTATGTTAAATCCACTTGGAAAGCCATCTGATTTCCAGCACTGCATCTTGTGGAAATTAATTTCACAAATTAATTTTGCAAGTGGACAAAATACTTTTGTAGGCCCTGAGCCTTTGTACTTAGGATTTTTCTCCAGGGTTCCCAAGTCATCTGTCCCATTTCTGTCCTGATGCTCTAGCCCAGCTTCCTGCTACATTCAGGCCTTGCTTATTCACTCACTAAAATAAGAGCTTTCAATTCAAGTGCCACAGAGGGGTGGGAATCCTGAATCATTTTGTAATCAGAGGCACTGGGTTGTAAGGGAGCCCTGAAAAGTAGTTTAGATTGACTACAAGCATATAACCATGCTAATATTAGCACTGCAGATGAGCTGTGCCCATAAATTGCCCTGAAAAAAAAGGCCACACACAAGGCAAAATGAATAGGGAGGGAAGAGGGGTAAAAATGTAAGTCCTTCACTTGGAATTATTGGAATGGCCCTGCTCTCTTTTGTGTCCCTTTGGGCAGCCTGCTGGAAGGCTGCTGGTGCTGATAGCTTACTTGAACAATATAATAATTTGTCCCTCTGTCTACTTGAACAATATAATAATTTGATTCTGAACCTTCTCTGTAGTCCACATTCCTAGTTCATCTTGCTGTCCTGCTTTAAGTAATGCCCTGCAAGTAATTTTATGATCGCTTCTGCTCTAGACGGATGTTGTCGTCAGCAGCATTGGTGCCGATTTGAAGCTTGGTGTGGGGCCACTATCCCAAGCCCTGCTGCAGAAGGCTGGCCCAATGCTCCAAGCCGAGTTTGAGCAAGCTGTCCAGGGTCAAGGAGCTCAGGGTGGCTGCATGATCCAAACTGGCGGATATAACCTGGCTTGTAAATACGTGCTGCATGCTATTGTTCCACAGTGGGATGCTGGAAAAGGACATGCAATGAAGGTATTTTGCCCTTTCATTCCCTCAGCAGCCGTAAGTGCGCTCAAATGCAAAATTCATGGATAGTTGAGAAAGAGCGGTTGTTCTGTAGATTACTTCAGGACTTTTATACTGCTCTTCTAATTGGCTAGTCCTCTCCTGATGCTGCATCATGGCTCAGCAGTCATAGCAGGCTCAGCTGGCTCCTGTCCCATGCTCCCTCCTGTCAGTGGAAGATCTTGGCTCTTCTCAGAGTCCATCTGAACGTCTGGAGAGGACAACCTTGAGATAAGCCCTTCTGCTTCCCCCATTTCAAAGTCTGGGGCTGCCTGTTCCCAGGGCCCCTCCTGCTCCTCATGTGACAGGTGGCTTTGGCAAGCATTCCAAGGCTAGAGGATGGGCAGGACTTCATCCACCAACCCTGCAAAGGTATTCTTCCAACTCGAATTACCTCACCGTGCTTGGTTGCTCGAAGCACTTCTCTCCCAACCCAGAACTGAAGTGCTTGAAGCAGTCAAACTTGGTGAGGTGAGGTGAGGGTGGGGCATGATTCAGCCCCCCTAACCCACTTGGTCCATTTTTAAAACACTAGAAAATCTCTCTTCACTATCCACTACCTGCAGTCTTCTGCATACTCTGTTCATGAGGTGGGCATGCAGATCAATAGAAGTGCACCTATTCTGTCACACCTACTTGGCGCTAAGTTTCTACATGCCTTTAATGGTCTGGCTTTGATGACTGAACCTCAGATTTTCCCAAACTGGCTGTGTATTTTACAGAAACTTGGAGATATCGTGGGGGAATGCCTGAAGAAGGCTGAAGAGCTGTCATTAAGTTCCATTTCATTTCCTGCAATTGGAACAGGTGGCTTTGCCTTTCCAAAATCTGAAGTCGCAAAGTTAATGTATGATAAGGTATTTCAGTTCAGAGGAATGAAGTCTCTTCAGGAAGTTCATTTTCTCTTACATGCAAATGATAAAGATAACATACAGGTAATGCTCCAAATACCTGACATGTCATAAACTGTTCTAGATAATGATTTAGCAGTGTGGTTTAATGAATACTTCAGAATGTTCCCCTAATGGAACACCCTAGTGGGACCTGCAGTAAAATTTGCAGTGTGTGATGTGTTCAGCATTTCAGTCATGCCAGCCATGCGCTCACCCCTTGATGGATGCTCCACTCCCTCAGTTTCCCAACCTCGCAACAATCAGCAAGCATTCTGTGGCCAGTGAGCATGCTCAGTTCTCACTGAGGATGCCTTTTTGGGGTCCCTTTTTGTTGTTTTTTCTTCAGCTCGCAATGCTTCTGCAAACCGCAGGATTCTTCCTATGCTTGCTGATACCAAGCTCTTGTGTGTGTGTGTGGGGGGGTGCCATTTTAGGTACTTGAGCATCAGAGCTCATGCCTAAACTTCAGAATTACAGGAGATGATTATTTTATTAGCATTTACAAATACTGCTACTAACAAAGCTGTACTTGGAGTGTGTGTGGTCACTTTATAAAAAAGAAGGCAAGCCTTGCTTGTAATGCAAAGGAAACTGACTTCTTTTCCTTTTTTATAAGCTGCGGTGTACCATTTTGCCTTCGTTGTGCCACTTGCCTAGCATTAGTTAAGCATCTATTACCACATCATCTTTTCCAAGCAGGGAAACCACCAAAGGCAGAAACCAGAAAGTATACTTCTGTAGGAACCCTCCTTATACATAACCTTAGGACTGATCTTATGTGTATTTTCTTAAAAGTAAGTCCATCGAAATCAGTAGGACTTATTTTAAGAACACATGCGTAGGTTTGAGTTGTTCAGACCTTACTGGAAATTTTATTCCCAATCCCTGAGCTGATGATACTATAATAGGAATTCTGCCTGGGGTGTGCTCAGCAAAGTTGCACAAGTGGGTGGGTCTCGATTCCTAAGGTAGTCCAGTGAAAAAGTTGTGTTATCTCTTCCACCCAACCAGTTCCTTTGCTGAAAGAAGGCTACCTTCTGTACTGGAAGCTGTTAGCAGTGTAAAAGGAGCCTTTCAGAATACCGATCCTGAAGCATCATCTTTGTTTGCAGAATTGCTCCATTGTATACCTGTTCCTACTTAGCATATCTCTGAAATTTGAGGGTAACTGTGGTTTTCTTTCTAGGCATTCTCTGAAGTATTTGGATGCAGACTCAAGGAAATTCCCAGTGCTGTGCCATCGGATAAAAAAACCACAGGCAGGTTGAGTGACTCAGTTGATAGGCTAGCGATTGTCTCAAGCTCTAGCCTTGTTTGGTTATGAATTCTGAGGTTGTTGTCTTTTTATGGCTGAACTAGGAAGTAACATTGAAAAATTTATAACAAAGGAATAAGATCTCCCTTTTAAAAAACAATGTTAATAGTAGCTGCAGGGGAGATCAGTTTTTAAAACGGTCCCTCAATTTCCCTGCTTTGTACTTCTTCCGTTTGGATTGCCCCTCCTTGGAAGGTGCTACTAACACTCAAAGAAATGCCTTAAATCTTGGCTGTGGATCCTTTGCATCTTGAGATTGAATATGCTCACAAATGTCCTCATGATCAGAAAGCTTTCTGTGATTGTGGGACAGGTCTGTAAGCACATGCAGCAAAATTCACTTGCAGTGCTCCTGCTAAGGCCTTCCAGACAAAGGTATTTGGAGGCATCAAGATGCCCAGGAATGTTAAGGGGAGGGCCTTGCATGTGTCCCCTTTTAGCCTTCATGTGTAGAAGCTAAACTTTTGCACAGGGTTTATATTAAGGGGTAAATCACATGCTTTGTCTGTCTTTCGCATTTAATGTCAGTCAGCCAGCAAACAGAGCTAAACATGAGAAAACACAGAAGTGAAAAATACTTTCATTTGGAAGTGTTAATATAGGTATACATCTTACATTTTGTAGGATGGTATTTAATCAAGTGGTAGTTAGTGCCTTCACTAAATCACTCTGCTTCTTTTCTGTGTTACAGATTACTTTGGAGGCATTTCATCCCCTGCTTTGGGAGTTAATGAAATGCAGATTGGTTCAATTAAATTCCAGTCCATGACAGGAGACATTACACACCAAGATACAGATGTTATTGTAAATGTAACAAATGCAAACTTAAATTCCAAATCAGGTACTTCAGTGAATTCCTCTCTTGAATCTGTGTTAATGATAAATGAGTTATTGGCAATAGAAAGACCCAGTTTAAATTGCAATGAAATTGTGTGTGTGCGAGAGAGAGTGAGAGAGTGTGCACTGTTCACTAGAGGAGTTTTGAAAAGGGTTTAGAATCTGGTTTTTCCTATGTCCAAGATCAAAGTTTCCTATATCAGACAAGCTCACGCAAGACTGTATGTAGAATGCAATACAGGCAGTCCCTGAGTTACAAATACCCAAGTTACAAAGAACTCAAACTTACGAATGAACTTCTATAAAGCCTATTAATTTTTTAAAAATGACTGTGGACATTCGTCATCACCATAGATAGAGAGGAAGTGAAAGAGGAGAGAAGGAAGTCCTCCAAAGCATCACCATAGACAGAGGAAGCAAAAGGGGAGAGAGGGAGGCCTCCAAACCAGGTCTTCCTGCCCCACCCATCTGGAGAGGAAAATATCCCCAATATTTCCTTGCTGCAAAGAGGAGGCCCTGGTGAGTTTGGGTGGTGGTGGGGAGCTAGAGATATTCGTGGTTTTTCCACTTTTGTGGGGGTCCTGTTCCCCAGCCCCTGCAAATGTGGAGGGCTGACTATGGGTGATCCAACTTAAAAATGGACTTAAAGACAAATTTCCATTTGCTCAGGGATGGAACTTGTTCATAACCCTGGGACTGCCTATATCTAACTTGGCAGTCTCACAAAGTAGACATGTAACTTTAAAGACTCTTTCAGTAAAATCTTTATAAGTGATAGGATTTTGGAGTAATAATAATATTATTGAATAAAAATTGTGTATTAAATATGTTCCACCCCCAATTTCTTTGAAGGTGTTTCCAAAGCAATTTTGGAAGGTGGTGGACCTGAGGTTGAAATGGAGTGTGCAGCTTTAGGTACGACACAGCAAGTGGTCAAATTCAATTTGTACTTCTCTGTCTTAGAAGAGCTTCTCGTGCCTCATTTTTGTTTATCTTCTGATCAACTGATATAGTAAATAACATGGTGCAATTATTAGTGTTGGCTAGACCATTGTGCTATAGAATTTAAACACAGGATACTGTTAGCCTGGCAAAATACTGTCACTTTGCAAAAATTTTGAGAGCAGAGAGGGGAGGGATTGTAACTTCGCTTGTGTGGTCTTTACGTAGGAATCTGCTGACAACAGAGACAAATGTCCTCAGTTACCCAAATATAGCCTGCATGGGGCAGCATGTGACTTTTAATTGCACCTCTGGAGATGATGCCTAAATTTATTTGAAACAAAAACATTTCCAAACCAGTGTGTGATAACCTGTGGTTGCAAAACCATCAAGGAAGAAAATAATATTTGGGACAATCTCAGGTGGTATATTTGAGCTTTAGGAGGCCAAAAAGTGAACAGTGAACTTAGGTTATACATCTAGTGCTTTTGTGTCCCAGTTCTTTCATGTGTTTTGGACATTAGGGAGAAAGATAACTGTGAATAGCAGGTGGCTTATTTCTGATCCTCTGAACTTGTTAGGTACTTGTTAGGCTTGTCATATCTTTCCTTAACCTGGTCTCTCAATGTTTTACATCAGATAGACATAAGCTGTCAGAATCAAATGCCAAGGGATGCTAGCTGTGGATATAGGGGCCCATGGATTAAATCCAGTGTTAGTCCTACTTAGTGCAGACTCTTTGAAATGAATGGGGTCTTCTATAATTAGAACTGACATTTGATTGAAACCAATAAATTTTGATTAGCCTGGTAGCCAGAACTATTTATAGACGTCACCTTCTCTCAAGTCCTCTGATGTCCAAGTGGGCCAGTCTCTCATTTCCTCCTCTATAAGAAATACTTTGTTCCTTCCAAGTGACTCCAAATGCAGCGTTAAATGAGACTGACCTTGCCACTCCCCCAAGGTCGATTGGACATTGTGAGGACAGGAGGAATCAGGAGCAGTTTCCTACTTTGAGCTGGGCTATGCAAATAGTCAGATGGACGGTGCATATCTTTCAGATGGTTCTGACCTTCCCCAGTGCCTGGCCCAAAGGAGGAGAGAACCCAGAACAAAATGAAATGGACCCTTTCCCTGACTCTTCTGTGCATGTCAGAACTTTTGGAAAGGGTCCCAATCACCATGAAGTGGGATGTCCTTGATTATGAGCCATGTCCAGAGAACTGATGGTGGCAGTGGTGATGTGGGAATGCCTTTCTGTCAGGCAGCCAAGAGTGAATTGCCCAGAGGATAGCAGATGGGGGATGCTAGCAGTCCAAAATATATGGTGATCTTCTTGTCCAGTCCCACTGTAAAGTACTATGCAGTGATGACATACACCATCTGGTGATTTGATTTGCATTGATCGGCTTTGTAAGTTGCCATCTTCTCTTTTCTAGCCTTACAACCTCACAGTGGATTTGTAACCACACAAGGGGGTAATCTGAGCTGTAAGAAAATTATCCACCTTGTTCCTAACTCAAATATCAGAACTCAGGTCTTCAAAGTGTTGCGGGAATGTGAAGCAAAGAAATACAGATCAATTGCCTTCCCTGCCATCGGAACAGGTTTGCATTTCCTTCTCGAAATAACCGCTGGCTGATTTCATTAAGATTTTCATTAAGGAATTAAGAGCTAAATCATAGTGAAGAGTTTCACATGGAAGCTCTCTGTTGTCAGGACCTTTGAGCTACCAGGCTGGATTTTAAATAGTATGCCAATCGTACATTTGCATTGTACAGACAATGTTGCCATTGCCCACTTTTCTGGTCTACCTTCTCTGGAAGAGACATCCATTTGTAGGCATTTCTGTGGGTGACTGTGTGTATGCATGTAAACCTGAGAGACCGTGTGCCATAAAATGCACCTAGCTTAGGAAAAGGAAAATAAGGGGTGATGAGGGAGAGTCATACACAAGTTATGCCTGGTGTAAAGAAAGTGAATAGGAAAAGATTTCTCCCACCCCATATCATAAATATTAGAATCCAGGGTCAACTCATGAAGCCGATTGGATAAATAAAAGGAAGTATTACTTTACAGAGTGCTTAATTAAACTATGGAATTTGCTACCACATAGCTTCTGATGGTGATTGGACGCATTCATGTATGGCAAGGTTATCAGTGGCTACTAATCCTGCTAGCTGCATGCTCTTTGCATTATCAGAGACGATATGTCTGCATGCACCAGTTGCTTTGGAATGTGACTGGGAGGGTAATGTTGAAGTCATGTCTCCGTTGTGGGTTTCCCACAGACAGATGGTTGGCCATAGGATGCTATATCAGGAGGATCCTTGATCTCACCCAGCAGGACTCTTGTGTGTCCGTGGCTTCATGTTCACATGTTTATGAATGTATATCCAGTGCCTACCACCACTTTTTTCTCCTGAGGAATTAGTAATCTTTATTCAGTTCTCCAGTTAACTCAATGTATATGTCTTGAATTTCTTTGCCAGTTCCATTGCTGTAATGAAAGCCTTTGTCCATCTCCTTCAGCACTTGAAGTTCAGGTCAGACTTGGGCCAATGCTGATGTTCTGCATAGCTGGCTTTTTTGACCTGTTCTTCAGAAGGCTTGAATACAGGGCCAGCCCTCCCATGAAGCAGGATGAAGCTCCACCCTCTGGTGTCAAAGTGGAAGGAGTGGCAAATTGCATGACTCCTTCTGCCAGCAGGACCTGCCACTGCTATCTCCAGTGGGTGCACCAGAAAGCCTGCCAACTGCTCTGCTGCCGTGGTGAGAGAGCAGCCATCAGGGGAGCTTCCCTCTGGAGAGCTGCTGGTGCAACTCTTCAGAAAGCTGGCCAAGCAGAAACTCCTGGCTCTTAAGGGATCCTTCCTCAGAGGCTGGGGAAGGGTGGCCCACGAGAGAGAGGGGAATAGTGCAGTAAGGGCAAGAGGGGAGCAGCATGGTAGGAGAACTTACGTCTAGACTGACTGAATACAGCTTTGATGATGAAAGTGTTATGAAATACAGCTGGGACTCACATTCGGATGACTTACAGGCCACTTTTTAGGGCAAGCTCTATCCGTAGGGCTGGTGAGAATCTTTTAGAATATCTGGTCCACCCTGTGTTGAGCTAGAGCATCCCAGACAGCCTTTGCTTCAAGAACCCTAGTGAGGAAGAACCCCCTCCCCTTTCTAGATAATTGCTTCCGTAGGCAGCCTTCTTCTGCTCATACCATCCAGAAGTTCCTAGTAATGTTCAGCAGTAAACTCACCATTAGATCTAGTTCTGCCTTCTGGATCAACAGAGAAACATGTGTTATATCACAGAATCCATAGAGTTAGAAGGGACCAAGAAGACCATTGAGTGCAGCCTCCTGCTGTTGCAGGACACCAGTTTACACCATCCCACTCAAAGAACTGTCCAGTTTCTTTTTGACAGCCCTTCAGGCACTTGAAAAGTGCTGTGAAGTCCCTGCTATCTTCTTCCTCATCCACGATCAATTTTGCTCTTTCATACTGTGGTTGTAGTCTGAAGGATGGTGTGGACTGAAAACTTGAGAGCACTAAGTACAGTGACATCCAGGTGCAATCAGAAGACGGTATTCGGCTAGAACAGCTCCCCTGCCATGTGGAGCCCTCCAGCTGTTTTGCACTGCAGCTCTCCATCGCCCCTCAGCATTGACGATGGTGGCTGGCATCGAAGAGAGCTGTAGTCCTAAACTTCTGGACAGGCCCACATTAGGAGAGTCTGGATTAGAGTCATATATTATAGGACTGTTGCTGCAGAAACACTAGAGTCACTGGCTGATCAAAGGAAGATTGCTTCAGGGTGAGTAAGTCCCATTTTGCAAGCCTTGTTGTTGTACAGTTGCTCTTCTACAGATAGAGGACCACACACTAGCTGTAGCTTACAGCTACAGGTGTTTCTTTAAGACAGCTGGGGAAATGATAGCTCTCCAAATGGTGAGCTGGAACACACCAGCCAGCATGGCCAATGGACAGGAATGACAGGAGCTGGATCCCAGCATGAGTTCCATCTTATTTAAATTGTCTGTTGTATGTTTAGAAGTTCAGATGTGTGCTTTCTTCTGTTGTTGCATTTGATGCAGGACAGGCACAGAAGAATCCTGAAGATGCCGCTGAGGAGATGATGAGTGCAATTTCTGACTTTGCAGGCAAAGAATCGCCCCAGTATTTGGAAACAGTTAAAATTATTATTTTTCAGTCACATCTACAAAATGCTTTTTATGAGGCTATGAAAAAGAGAGAAGGCGTTGCATTGCCTACCTCTGAATCCATGTTTTCTAGGTTTAAAGGTAAGCATGCAGAATATGGATTACTTTATATTTCACTGGCAAGGTTCCTTTTCAGAATTTGTGCTTTCTGTGTTGCTTTGTCCATTTTTACAGAAAGTTGTCTCTTTATTTGCAGCATATATAACTGGCAAAACAGCACCTACTAAAAAGAAACATCTCTTGGTTTTGGATAAGAAGGTAGAGGTTGCAGTGTTTGAAATCTGTGGTGAAAACAGAAAAAAGGTGGAAGATGCGGAGTCCTGGTTAAAAACATTAATTCTTGGGGAACAGGCAGAAGAGTGTATTACTGATGAACTGATTGATAGATTTGGTGATACAGAAATGCAGAAACTGAATAAGTTGCAGAAAAGGCTGCATGTTGCCTTTGAGTTGAAGAAGACACAATCTTCCCCTTCCATTCGACTAACTGGTACCAACCGCGATGTTCTGACTGCTGTCACAGAAATTCAGTGTCTAATCAAAAAACTGAAAGAGGTGCGGGAAGAAGAATCCAAGGCAACACTTGCTAAAAATCTGGTTGAGTGGCAGTATTCCAAAAACGATGTATTCCTGGCTTTTGATATGATCACCAATCTCCATTTAGAAGATGCTAAAATCAGTAATAAGATTCATGTTAACATTCAAATTAATGGGAAGAACTACAGAGCTGACATAAAAAATATGTGCGCTACAGATGACCACGGAAAAAGTGTAAAGATTAAGCGCATCATAAAGGAAGAAGGTAATGAGGGTCTTAACAGTTTGCGGTCTTTCTTTGTATCTGAATTCCTGTTGGTTAGTGTGTTGCAGGGAATGTTCCTTAGGAAAAGTTGAATAAATAGGAATAATTAGATCTTTGTGCACTTATGAATGTCATTTAAGTTAAAGAGAATTTATAACAATTTAAAAATAAATTATTCTTGCTTAGTTACAAGGCTACTAAAGGCACAGTCCCTTGCAAGGTTAGACAGAAGCAAGGCTTACAACTCCCAGCAGTGTGCTCCTAATAATTTAAAGGGCACCTAGAATATCTTTGCTCAGTCAAAAAGCTAACTTAAAGTTTTGTCAGGTCCATGCATACCACAAGCTACATTTGGCTTAAGGTTCTAGGGTTGTCTTGTCTATGGGGTTGGAAGGTACTGCATCATGATCAAACCATTGGATACAAGTAGTACAGTTAGCGTGTATTGTTCTGAAAGCAATGTCACATCATATTTACTTCATGCAAAGGTGAAAGGATAGCACACACCTACACCTGTTTACCAGCATAGAATTAATCCCTTTGAGAATCCCTAACCCAAGGTGCTGGAACCCACCAGTATCCTTTCTGAAGACCCCCAAAGTGAGGGCAGGCTCCTTTTTACGCCCTTTCTCTGCCTTTAATCTGGCTGGATGGTTCTTTTGCATTGATCTGGCTTTTGGGGAAATGCTTCCTCAATTCTTAGGGGCACACTTCTCCTGAGTAATACACTGACATCTTGTTCACTGTCCTCATTCTAACAAACACTTAGCAGATTTCTTAACATTTACTGTGTGGTTTTCCCGTTATTGTCTTTCCTCGTGGGGTAAAACCCACAGCCCCTTTCTTGGTGCAGGTTTGTACACTAGCAATTGTAGGTCACAAAGAACTTTTGGCTTGAGATGGCTTTTCTACTTCTAGGCCTCGAAACAAAGTTTAGTTCCTCAGTACAGTGCAAGAAACATTGAACTGTGCTGGGCCCCTTCCAGTCTATAACCCCATTAAAGCATCTTTCCCTGCCAAAACGCCAAGATCTTTAGAGTATTCATATAGCAAAAATGAGTCTTATAATATATATATAAAATTAAAAAGAGCAAATAAGTAGAGGCAGAGGAGAAGCTTGGTCGATGACCCTGCATTCAGTGTTTATAGAAGTGGGGTTCACACAAAGGGTGATCAGCCTGCTGAATCCGTTTCAGTTGCGAAGTTTGTCCTCATTTTTGCAGGGAGAACTTTGGCTTTGTGCAGCAAAAACAAGTCTTGTGCCACATGCTTATATTGGCATGTGGTTCATGACGTTTTAACCTGGAATAGGCAGATTTATATGTACATGTTGGGGGCAGAATAGAGGGGGAGTATAAACTACAATTGGGGAAAATTACCTTCGCAGTTGCTGTTCACAAAATACTGTTGGGTGATAACTCAGACATAAATCTGTGCAGGATTGCTGTAGCAACTGGAAAGGGTGTGGAGGCAGTACATGGCACAAAGGAGGCAAAAATCTTAAGCTCCGATAATCGAAAACTCGGTGCTTGCCTAACTTGTAATGGCTTATGCAGATAGGAGACAAAAGTGAAAGGTTTGTCATATGCTAAAATAAACACATACGACCATTTATTTTGCAGGCAGGCTTTGTGCAGCATTCCCTAACGAATGGGAAGATATGAAAGGAAATCGTGTCAAAGCGGTTGTGCTTCAGGCAATGTCGCAAGAATATAAAGATCTGGAAGCAAAATTTCAGCTTAGCTGCCCTTCTTACAAAATTGAACAGGTGAAGTACAGCAGGAGCAACATGCTTCGGGGGGCATATATGAGGGTTTATTTGGACTGCTGAAGGGCTTCTCTTTAGGATCTTGGTATTATGTGCAGCTGCTACTCATAAGTCATCAAGCAGCTGCAGATTTCCCTCACAAGTGTATGGAATACACAAGATGGAAATTCATTTGTACTAAAGTACACTACAGTGATGTGCACTATTGTTATTACTAGTATTCACAACTGATAATATATTTTGAATATTTGAAAGATAAGAGTGCTCCTTCCCATACTCTAATAAAGTAGGCCTTGTTTGGGCTCTTAGTATACAGGTTAAGTAAATGTACAAACTAGAAGCAGGGCCATGCCAAGTAGTCCTTCTGTCTGGCATCTGTGGTTGAGTGCAAAAGAGGGGGCTTCCTTATGTAAGGCCAACAAGCACAGAGGCCCTCATGTTAGCTTGGACTCCAGTTGTACTAGGTTCCCATTCATTCAGGAGCCTCATACACACGGAGTCCTTCCTCTGTAGATATTCATGCCCTTGTGGATGCCAGAAGGAGGGATCACCTGGCACATGCATTCCTCTGCAGCCCACATACTCAGCTAACCAGGAAGTTAAGCTCCCAATACTGTAGGATGCCTCTGTGTGTTTGTGTGTGTGAGGGAGAGGGAGCTGGTATAGCTGGGATTTACACTAGAATTGATTCTAGTTCATCTTCTGTTCTATGAAACAACTGTCTGTACTTTAATTCCAGGGTCATTTAAGTCCCTGAGTAAATATTGTTAGTGGTAAGTAAAGTCAAAATGTAGATTTCTCCATGCCTTCCCATGTCAGCCATTGCAGGCTGAGTCTTAATAGTTCTTAGCTGAGCAGGTCACAATTTTTACCAGACTTTGGTTGAGCTGTTGTTCTCGCCATTTCTCCTTTCCCTGTTTCATCTGATCTACTCAACTTGTCCCTGTTACAAGCTAACAACTTGTCCCTGTTCCTGCAAATCCCACCTTGTTTACCTTCTGGGCTTAAAAATATCTGTTTTGGCCTCTGCCTGGTGCAAGATGCTCTTGCATGTATTTGCCCTTTCTTATCTTAGCACCGGAATTGCTACGAGGTCACATTGTGATTCCCATGTGGGGGAGCATCTCAAGACATTCTAGCAATGTCTGATGCTTTTACACAGCTCAGGTACCACTGTTTTCTTAGGAAACATTTCCCTGGCCATTCCCTCACTGTGCCTTTTTTACTGTGAGGTTTCCTGTTTAGCTCCAAAACACGAACTGATCATGGGGTACTTCCTTGAAGACATCTCCTAAGTAATTTCCAGAGTCACTGGCTGACAATCTGGAATTTTTGAGTTCTGTTGCCTGTGGTGAAGCTGGTAGGAACAGCCCTGTATGGAGGACAGCAGTCCATTTCACCCAAACATGGCAGGTTCTCTCTGTAAATGTGGAGTCCCAATTCCATGTTTGCTGAAATACAGGACTGGCAGCCGCAGGATGTTTTCAGGGAGAGGCCATTTAACCCTTCCCTGCCTGCTGATTCTCCCCTGCAGCCTTTCCCCTCAGCCTGTTTATCTCCCATATGTGTTTGTTTCTAGGCTCAGCATACAGCCTGGGGGGGGCGGGGGGGATAACAAAACTCCAGGGGTGAGCTTATGGCAAGGATTGGCAGGAAGGAGGACAATGCCATTCCCTTTTCTCACTCACTTTGACTCCCTTGAAAATGCTGTATGCTCACCTCATTCACCATGTGTAAGCACTGAAATTTGTATGATTGAGCTAATATGTGCTCTTGCCCTTAATATCCAAGGATTACCTGTAATCTACTTTCATAACCATTCCTTGTTTTTGCTTTTTATAACTTTTTCCATAATGAAGTTTCCATGTTTACAACCTTTGTAGATTGAAAGGATACAGAATCCTTTCCTCTGGCAATCATACCAAGCCAAAAAAGAGGACATGGTTAGAAAGAATGGCCACCACAACAATGAGAAAAACCTATTCCATGGGACACCTTATTCCACAGTGATCCCAATTAATAATACTGGATTTAATCGCAGTTATGCTGGGAAAAATGGTAAGTAAACATGAAAGTGAGTAATTTGCAGAATGCCAAATACAATTATTTGTATGGGTCTCTAAAAAACAGAGAAGCAGTGGACAATACTCAAGGTGGGGGAAATCAGAGTAGGCTTTTCACAGCCTAGTCCTATTCATGTCTCTTCAGACACAAGAGTAAATGTACACAGGATTATGCCTTAGGATACACACAAAACATTATTTCTGTGGTGCAGTAGGAAACACTGTCTCCCAACAGCTCCAAAACTAGCCCTGCTCTGGTGTTTATTACCTCATAACATTGCATCTTAATTTTATACATACAAATGTGCATATACATATGAGAGAGGATTTATAAGCCACTCTGCATCAAGATAATTTGGAGCCATGTACACCAAATGTAAACAGACAGACAAACATGTAAAAAGCAGTTCCAGTAGAGCCTGGGGCATTTTTCATTGTGTGTGTGATCTGTCATGGCTGTGTGTGGCAGGCACCAGTAAAATCTGGTTAAAATGGAAACATTGGTTAACATGCAGGTTTTATGAGGGTAAAGCCTGCTGCCCTCCCCACAGCAGGCTCCCACTGAAGTTTCTGCTTCTCCAAAAATCGGCAAAGAGCGAGCATAGCTCCTCTGCGATCCACTGCCTCAAGTTTTTTATTTGAGGGGGAGGGATAGGACCTCACCCTCTTTGAGCCATGGCTTCACCCACTGTTGACATCTGGCCTCTGACATGGTTCTGGGAAGCCAGTGTAGCCCTGAATTTGGGTTGTGGCCATCTGCTCTATGGCAAACATTCCATTTTTGTTTGTTCAAAAAAGCTGTATCTGGAGGAGTACTGTCCAGCATTGACTCCCTCACCTCCACCAGCCCCATCTGTGCTTTTAATATGGCTGCTGCTGGTGTGTCTGAATGCCTCTCAGGCCACGAGTGGCCCATGGGAATAGCTCTGTTGCATGCATTTAAGATCAGAGGCCTAAAGTGGGCACTGTGGACAGCAGTGACTGTGTAATTTTCTTTGTAATCCATTTTCAGCTGGGCAGGAGCGGTGGGGGTAATGTCTCTTTCAAAAGCAGGTCTGCAAACAGTTTGCTAAAAAAATCAATAGCTGTAACTTCCCCAGTTTGTGCCTCCAGAAATATTGTTAGTACTTGCCTTCCTACTTCTGTACTTCTCAGGTTCATTTCCATCGATTCTGAATGCAAAAAATATCTTGGAGGTTTCCAGTAATTTTTTCCTTTCAGTTTACTGAACAGATTGGCTAGATACCTGCTCAAATATTCCATATTTACTCTGCAACTTTAGAAGTGTCATAATTCATTCTTCAGAACTGAAGTGCTTGATAATGATGCTTTCTACTAGTTTTACAAGTTGTTAATATTGTTCTTTCATTTTTTAAAAATGTTTTTCAGCTGCAATGATTGGAAATGGAACCTATTTTGCTGTTAATGCAAGTTATTCTGCACAAGATACATATTCCACACCAGATAGCAGTGGTAAAAAATATATGTATGTTGCCCGAGTTCTTACTGGGGACTACTGCGTTGGAAAGCATGGACTGATTACTCCACCATCCAAAAATGTTGGAGGCTTTGACCTCTTTGACAGTGTGACTGACAACATGGCTAATCCATCAATGTTCGTCATATTTCATGATGCTCAAGCTTACCCAGAATACCTTATAACTTTCAGAAAATAACTTGAGCTTTGACAAAGAACTATCTTGTTTCTCCCTTCTTAAAAAACAAAAACAGAATGAATGAAAATACTTATAAAGAATGACTTGATTAGGATTGCTGCTTGTTCTTTCTGATTGTTTTAGCTTTCCATTTCAAATATTAGCAAAGGCTAAAAAAATTGCAGTAGATTGAGAGGAAACCTGGGATCACAAGCATAAATCCAAGCTAGATTGGCTCAGCACTGTGCAAATGACTTGGGGGAAAGGTTGAAATTAAAAGGGTGAAATATTAAGTATGTGCTGCAGTCCAGTGAGATAATTGCAAGGACAAAGATCAGGTATGTCCAAAGTTGGCCTTGAAAGTTTGCTTTGCTCTTCACTCTGAGCATTTCTGTCAGTTCTGGTAGAGCAATGCATTACATATTATGGATACTTGTAACAATACCCAGCTCTTTGACACAACTGCTTCAGGATAGAATGATTGAGACGGGGGAGCATTTAACCTTATTTCTGCCTACTTTTCCACTGCAAACCATTTTCCCCTGCAAATATTTGTCTGCTGGGAAAAGCAGTTGGATTCAACATAAATGTCAATTATGGGGTGTCATTTCTGCACAAGATCAGTGCTGGATTCAACCCATAGACAGGGGTGGAAAGTTACAACAGAAGAACTGTGGCTGAGGAAAGGATCCATTTTTTCTCTCCAGTCTGGTCCGGTGCTTCATAGTTGCATCCTCCTGAAGAGGGTTGTCTCTGACAGCAGCTGCCATTGGAAATTTGTAACTAATGTTCTTTTTCTTTATTACCTGCACTGAAGCCATTTGAGGAAATTCTAAACTTCATCACTGTGCCTCCCACCCAGGTGCCTTGCCTTTTTGTAGCAATTTATCTGTGGTTTCTCTAGGAGGGAACTAGTCCAAACCATTAGTTTCATGTGCTTAGCAAGTAGCAAGACAGAATGTATAATCTCTATTTCTGAAGAAAATGAGAGACTGTCCACATGACTCGTCACTACAGAGCTTCTCCTGCCACTTCCTCAGTGTTATGGGAACTCCATAGCATTCTTTGCTTGGCGGTCAGCACAGAATGAATGAGAAACAATGACCCTTAGCAGAGACAGGCTGCCCAGTTTTCATTTCTGGGTAGAGCTACCAGTAGACCAGGATGCCTCCAGCTTGAACAGCAACTTAATGATGAGGAGTCAGCAGGCAAAGCTCTTTATAACATGCAGATTAATGTTATCACCTGCCAATGCAGAGGTTGGCAACCTGATGCCCTCCAGGTGTTTTCCTTAATCATTGACCACATGGTGCTTATGAGAGTTGTGAAAAATAATTAGAGGACATCAGGTGGTCCACCTCTGTGGTAATGTCTGCATATCAAAAACCCACTTAAATTTGACAGCCTTACCCCTGGGAGAGGTGGTACACTCAAGAAAACCAGGTCCACCCCTCAAAACTGCTGGTGTTTGAAGCTTTAAGAATTAGCTTATGAAAAATTGAGGGAGCATGAAGAGTACATTTGGATTCCTCTATGCTTCCCAAGAGTTACTCTACATATCAGGCTCATACATAAGCAGTTATAGGTGATGCTGTCAGACATGCAGGGAAGGGGCCATTGGCTGGTTTTCACAAACCACTGCTGAGCAGCTTCCTAGGGTATATCAGTAAAGTCAAGTCTACATTTTGAGGTATAAATAAATGAGTTTCCTGTTCCACTACATGTTTTAATTAGCCATGTTTGGATGGTTTGTTATTGCCTGCTATTGTTACTGTGTATAGTTGTTTTGCATACATTCAAGCTTTGTCAGTCTACAGTTCACCTTTTGGGGGTCATTTAACCCTTTATGTGCTTGTGCAGGGATGGAATTGTAACCTGGCAATCAGATCATGATGGGAAACAAACAGCACAGTCTTGCTGATCCAATTAAAGGTTAGATGTATACAAAACAAAGCCACTCAGTCCAGCCTACTGCCACTTCTGTATACAAATTTGTATTTTCTCTCATCCTGCTTCATTTTATTGTATCAGAAAGTAGTATGTTTTCTCATGTGTGAATTAAATTTTTTCCAATTTCATTTCTGTATGATGTCATTTGTGCCAGTGAAGCGTGCCTTAAGAATATACTTTCAGTTTCCATTTTGATTAAACTTTGCAAGAAAGATACAGAACAACTGCAGGACAAAATCACACTGGGATAGAGTGGACTGGAACTTTCCCTAGAGCTGGGGTGGGCAAGTTGGCACTTCCGAGGCCATACCTTCCCTCCATCCTGGCCAGCAGCACACACAGTGAAAGGGTGACAGGGACTTGCAGCCCCTTAGTGTCTACAGCACTGGATAAGACATTAAACTCGCACACTCTCTAAAGTAAATTTATCAGGAGGTTCTTTGCTTCAGTCATAAATGACTTTTGAACTGAGCTGGGATGTTGGTGCTACATCTCTTCATTCCCTGAGGCACCCTAAAAAGGACAAGCCTGTGGACACTCCATTTAATGAACACTGCAGTTTCCACTCCAGGCCACCATCTGTGGATTGCTGGCAAGAACTTCACTCTTGATGTCTCAGGTAATGCTAAATTTCTTAGATTGGTATAACCAGAGATGCAAAAGCAGTTCTGCTTGAACCTTTGCTATTGTCAAGGATCATCTGCCAGTCATGATTCAGTCCCATCAAAAGGTTGCAACTTCCACTTAAAACCAATCCTCCTTATTTAAAATTGGTTTTCAATTGAATGCTAGTCTTCCCAATGAGATTTGGAAGCCATGACTCCCATTCATTTCAATGGTTCTACACTGGGTAGGACTAATACTGGATTTAACCCTTTTAAATTTTACAATTACACTATCAGTCTATCCAAGGATCCAGCCCTTTACAACGTGTGCTAATTTAAACCAAATTATGGCTTGTTTTCACCCTGCTTTACTGTCATTTGTTGATACATTGATGATTACTGTATTCAGCTTATTTCTTTAGTTTCTCATAGAATTCCCTCCTTTCCTTCATGCAACCATGAATGAAATACTTGAAGTTAATAAAAATGCAGGAACTTTAATAGATTTACTTAGGGAAGCATGTTAGTCACAACAAGGCTACATAAATTTGTTTTACAGTCAGCCTGCAATCCTAAAAATACCATAAGGCACAGTGCCACTTACCCCAATAATATGCATAGGATTGTCCTAGGTTACAAATCAAAATTTGAATAGTTTGAATATTTACAGTACCACTGCTTGACATTTCTTGCTATTACAAATCACCCTTATTCCTCACTAATTCCCCACTCAACACTAATTTCCCACTCAATAGCACTTAGCTGTTTCAAGCAGGAAAAGAAACCACTTCTCCAACTACAAACTTGTCAAAGAAAAGTTATCTATCCATCTTCATACTTCTGTGGAATTCCATCCAAGAGTTTATCCATCCAGCTTCTTTAAACTTAAAACTTAAAACCCCAAATATTCCATATCTATAACATGCAATTTTATTTCCCTTTAAGTCATATTTCACAAACTACTGATTAATATACCTAAAATCTAGCCAAGTGTGTTATAATTAGCTGATTCAAATAAATAGCAAGAGCAGCAAGAGGACTGAATGGTCTGGTGTTACAAAGTGTAGGTTCTGTGAGTATTGCTTGACCCTCAAATAAGCCGTGATAACTGGGTTTGGAAGACACAGCAGCCTCTTGATTTGGGTTTGCATGTTCAAAATGGCTCACAGTGTCATGCAAAACAGGGCAATACATTGCCTGAAAGATGACAGATTATAAAATTAACATATTACTGTACCTTCAAGCTAGTGTTAAATTGAAACAAAATACTGGGAAGGGAACCATATAAGGACCCAGTTTTTATCAGGAAGTCAAATACAATTGAAGTGATAGAAAGTGTTATTTATACTTTACAATACAGGGCACAAACTTTGATTTTTTTAAATAGGTTGAACAATACTTCATAATAAGGCTCTGATCCAAACTGCCTTTTTAATAAAGTGGAGGGCCCACCCGTCATTTGGTAGGGTGGGGCAAGAGTGGCAGGAAAGTAGAAATGAATAAAGGGCATCAAATGCCTCTCCCATCCATGGTTGTGGGATGTTTGTTAAAATTTAAACACCAACCCCGAAAAGGGTTTCCATGGGTTGCCATAAGATGCATTGGCAGATGCTCTTCTAGAATGAACGAACATGAAATTGTCATGGCATCATATGGATGCCATGGGGAGGCTGCAGAGAGAAGCAGCTAGGGCAACTTTTCCTGGTCAGGAAACCAGATGGAATCTGCTTCCCAATTACAGAGGCAGTGAAACTTCTGGGGATTGGGAAGCCTCTGCAGAGACTGCAAAAAATCCATTTGGAGGAGAGGTCTTCTTCAGCATAATTGTCATTTACCACTCTTGGAAGAGTTTTTTTAGCTACTGCCATGTCACCAGCATCAACAGACATACTTGGCTTATCTTACCACATTATGAGGATCACACTGTAATTCAGTGTCCTGATACAATACAAATATGCACATAGTAGGACTGAGGTACATGCAATAGGAAAACTCATTCTGAGCTGTGCCTTCCTTTCACGCAGAGAGAGGGAGAGAGCGAGAGAAAGACAGCGAGAGAGCGAGTAGAGGAGGGGAGAGAATGTATTGAGGGAGCGTGCAGCCTATTCTGACTTTTGCACCAGATAAGCAGCAAGTTGGAACTTTTCACCATCATCAGTATGTAGAATTAGTATCTTGACAGGTTGCAGATTCCGGACAAATGCACTCATTCAATTCCTTTTGCCTTCAGTTCTTCTCGAACACGTTTCAGATAGTAAGGATCAGGGTAACCAAAGCTAGAACAAAGAGAGGCTTATTCAAACCAAGCAATTACTGAGGGAAATCATGTAGCACATTCCCTTCAAATACCATATACTCAGATCAACATGAAGCAGAAACATTTGAGAGAAAGGAGACAGACATCACGCTGGAATCCATCTCAACTTTTTCTCCACAGAAGCAGGTCTAGGTAAATGTGTAAGCATTTGACATTTATGATTTTTGAAATTTTACATGTACAAAATTGAACTTAACTTTCAGGTTCTTTTAAAAAATACCCATTAACAACATGTGCTTGACAAGAGTGCAATTCATCTGCATACACTTTAGAATCACTGACAGAAATTGAGAGCATACCAAAATAAATAAATCAAAAATAAAATCAAAAAGCTTTTTAAAAAGACTTTCTATTCCTCATTAAAAATATAACAACTTTAAAGATTGGTCGAACATATACTAAGGATTTAGGCACCATTAGTTTGTTCTGATGTAGCATTTTTAACATGTTTTACATGTTTATTCAGCATTAAATCCACCATGTTCAATGGGACTTGTTCCCTAGTAAGTATGACACACCCATCTATGTAGGAAGAAGCCTCACTGAAATCAACATAACTTGCTCTCTTAAATCAACATTTAGGTCTCAGTGAGCCAGTAAGATCAGCATATGCAGGGATACTGAGGGTAGGCCCAGCTCATACACCCTAATGTCCCCTATATAAGGAACAATTCCTTCTGCAGATTTGATAACTGAACTGGATAATAGGTGAAAAAATAGGGCCATTTTTCATACTGTCAGAACTGGTTCCTGGTTCAGCTAGCACAGTGTGGGAATTTATTAAGTAGTAGTCACATTGCAAACACATTCTGTAATGGTGGTCAGGTACATGTAGGTTATTAAGAAAGATTTGTACCAAAAAAACCCCCACCCTTCCATGCCCATTTTCTCCAAGTAAAAATGGTGTACACCCTTTTTCTGGTTGTAAGATGTGTAGCAGAGTGGCTAAATATAAGAGGTAGAAGCCAAGGCGTTTCTGGATGAAATTTTACCTCAGTGATGCAGATGGCTGCAGAGGTTTCAACTCCTTGACTACCTTTTATGGTATATCACTACAGGGCAGGATTATTGTGGTGATTTGGAGCATGCAGAAAAGCACAACATAAATTATGAAGTACTGTAGGTGGGGAACCCAACAAGCCACAGAGTGTGTGTTTATTTGAATACTACCAAAAAGGCCCAGCTTTGACAAGGCTGGAATAGCTCTTGGTTTAATATAGCAAAGCCTTCAAGTAAAGTTCTGCAGCTGACAGAGTTAGGCACACTGCATCCTTCCTGTCTGAGTGAAGCCATGCCCATAGTGCAAATCTATGTACTGCCGGGACTGCAGGTGGCACAGTGGTTTAAACCGCTGTGCTGCTGGGCTGGTTGATCAAAAGGTCGCCGGTTCGAATCTGCACAACGGGGTGAGTTCCAGTTGCTCCGTCCCAGCCCCTGCCAACCTTGCAGTTCGAAAGCATGCAAATGCAAGTAGATAAAAAGGTGCAACTTCAGTGGGCAGGTAACAGCATTCTGTGCACTTCGGTGTTTAGTCATGCCAGCCACATGACCACGGAGACTGTCTGTGGACAACCGCTGGTTCCCTCGGCTAGGAAACGGAGATGAGCACCGCCCCCTAGACTCAGGCATGACTGGACTTTAATGTCAAGGGGAAACCTTTACCTTTACCTATGTACTGCTAGAGATGACTGCCACCTAGTGACTGAAGATGATACAGCGGGTTTAAACAAGACTGAATTAATGTTTTGGGTTTGTGATTTTTAAATATAGCATTCTTAGAGTCCCCTTAGTATGCATGCCATAATTCAGATGTCCAGATTTCATGGTCTCAAAGATATGGTGCAGACAGACTGTCATCTTATTACTAAAGATACTCAACCTACTCTTTGAATAATGGCAAAATTAATTTGCACAGTAAAAATGGAGAAAAGTGCAAGTCATCTTCACTGAGATGTCTACCTGCTATGCTTTGTTTAAAACATCAAGACTTCTGAAATGGTTTTCAAAAGCACTTATTGACTTAAGTTGGTCCACAATATAAAAAGACTATATTTTTTAAAAATCACCATCACTTAAATACACACACAAACTTCCACACTCCAACTCACTTGTCAGGCCCTCCATAAATGCAAGTCTTGTGGTGAATATCATTCCAGGTAACAACGTCAGTTGCACCAGAGGTACGTGACTGGCCTACTGTGAAAATCAATTTTTGATCAAAAGCCCGTCGAAGTAGCCTCATAATTTCGTTTCCTTCTTTGTTGTCTGGCAAATATGCATTCCGATGTGTTCCGTAGAATCTTCTTCCTGGATTTGGATGGTTTGCCTAATTGGTAAAAAGTGAAGATAGTACAATGTACTGTGAATTACATTTTCCTGACAAGATGCTCACCAAAGGAGAGGAATCAGAACTTCCTTTGTTCATCTGAATGGCTCATCTAATCCAGCATTCTGCTTCCAGCAGAAGACAGCAGACAGCTGACCTTGGAAGCCTCCCCAAGAGCATGACAGCAGTAGCTTTCAGCGCTTGGCATTCAGAGGCATACTACCTTCAAACATGGACATTCTTATTTAGTAACCATGCTGAATAGCCAATGAACGATAGGGCCTAACCTCCATGTATTTGCTTAAGATATTTATAGCCATGACAGGTAAAATAACTGTATTGAATTCAATTAAGTACTCTCTTGTCCCAAACCTACTGTAGATTGATTTCACTGGATAGGACCTTTGGTTCTACTACTGTATGAAAGACTGGAGGTGGGGGGAACAGGGGGAGAGGGACAGAAAGAATGACCTTGTGTAGATTTATAAAACTTATCCCTTCTCAGTTCTACAAAGTTGAGGTGGGCTACCTAGGTAGGTGGAAAAACAATGTTTTCCATTTCCCCTCCCTCCAGGCTAGAGGTGAACACTAAAAGGCTCAAGGGGAACACTCTTCCCTCTGCCTTCTTTGGACTGACATGAATCAGGATACTGCAATACCCATGTTGTTTTCAGCTAAGTGTTTCTAGAATGAGGCATCTCTCTCAATCAGGCAGAGAGTTGGGTGCAATTTAAGGACCCAGTTAGACTGAGATAGTGGGTGATTCCATTGCAAATCTTGGAGAGGATTTTTTTTAAAGGAGCAAATGCAGGTTCATCTCCCTCCCTACTTTGAGTCTGGGTTCAGAGAAAGGGCTTTTTAATCCTCATGAATGCAATGTTCTGGACTTAAACTGCTCTCTAATCTCTGCTATTTGTCCCCTGGGGCAAAACATACAGGAACTCTATCTTTTGTCCTATAGGGCAAATAGCTTTGGAGGGAGCCATATGGGCTAGGAAAGTAAGGTTTAAATTCACACCCCCACCCCCAGGTTGCTTTTGCCACTTGATTAACTGAGATGATCATAGATCCACCACCACTTGTCAACTGTGCTTTTAAATGCCATGGATTTCAGTGGGATTTAAGAGTGGATCCCTGTGCATTAGATCATGGCTTCGATTTTAAGACAAATAAATAACATGCAAGGATTCCTAATGATGCCACAATGACTAGCAGCATGGGTCCTCAAACTACAGCCCACAGGCCGGATCCGGCCCGCCACATTCATTTATCTGGCCCGCCTCAGAGCTTTTGGACTCGCTTGGAGAAAACGATCTCCGAGCGAGTCTAAAAGCTCTGAGCAGGCGCAAGCATTCTTTGAAACTGAGCAGAGAGCCAGTACATATGCCAAATTGTAAGAGCTCAACTGTGCATGTGCCAGCTCCCCCACCCCATTGCACGCATGTACAGAGTGGGAATAAGAAGTGGGAAACAAAACAGAGGAGGGCAGAAGAGAGAGTGAGACAAAGACAAAGAAACTAAAAAAGGACTGAAGGTAAGAAAAATACAACTTTTAAAATCTATTTTTAATTATGTGAGCCATGTCTCTGGGCTGCGAGCCAAGCCATGGCCGCCTCGCCAAGCCTGGGGGCAGACGTGGCTAGGAGAGGTGGGAGGCACCCGCCTCAGCCGACCACAGCCCTGTCCCTCGCCTCCCCAATGGAAAGCAGCCCTTACCTCCTCATGGCCCTCTCCCTGCTGGGGGAGCCGTCCCGCACCCACCTCTCTGGCCTCCTGCTCCCCTTCCTGGAGCTGGATGAGTGCCTGCAAGGGGACCTTCCTCCGGCTCAGAAGCAGAGCAGCGGCAAGGAGCTGGGAAGGCCTCGACCAAGGCGAGCACGCCCTCATGGCTCCCCCTTGTGTTGTGTTCTGCCTTTCGGCAGGCAGCGCAGCATCATCTTGGGCTTCTGCTGCAGCCCAAGTGAGTGGAGCAAACATATTTTAATTTTAATTGATTTTAATTGATTTTAATTTAAATTTTTTAAAATTTATTTTAATTTTAATTATTTTTTTAATGTGCAGTGTGCATAGGAATTCATTCCCAACAGTCTGAGGGACAGTGAACTGGCCCCCTGTTGAAAAAGTCTAAGGACCCCTGACTTACAGCTTGGAAGCCATCAAGTATGTGATAATGAATTTCAATAGTTCCATATCCTTCATAACCAGGCAGTGAATATCGGTGCTTGATGATGCTCATTTTGCCAGGTGGTTGATTTCCTTCCATCTTCCCATAAAATGTATTACATACGGGGCAGGTAGGCCTGTGTTTCATGGCCTCTTTAATGCATTCCTGACAAAAGGCATGCTTGCATTTGGGCAGCACTTCCTTTTGGCGGATTACATCGATGCAGATGGCACACTCCCCTTCTTTCTTTACTTCCTCGGCTTGTGACTCCACTGGCTTCCTGGGAGGGACTGGAAGCTTTTGATGGTCACCATTTTGCTCAAAGTATGCCCCTGGGGTAGCTCCAAGGGTGGGATTATGAGTGGGTGGATTCACCTTGGATGGATCCATAGTACTGTCCAAATACTCCTTGAAGAGCTTCCAGTCACAACACACGTGCTCTGGGAGACCTTTTAGAACCAGATCATCTCCCTTTCTAGTCACTGATGCTTTCCAAATTTGCCATTCTGCAATTAATACATCCAGTTCTCTTTTGCGATCCTTTGAATGTTTCAAGGGGATTACTTTTTCCATGGGCTCTGCTAAAATCTTCTGATAAACAGAGTAGAATTTGTTACAAGCTTTCGAAGCCTGATCTGAATTTCCATGGTTCTGAGACACAAAAACAATCCGTGACCGTCGGTTGTTGAGACACTTCTTTTTTTGCATTTCAGTTCTGTACTTTTCGTTTATAGCTTCAATTTCTTTAGCCAATTTAGGTTCCAGCAATTCAAATATATCAGTATCAACCTCAAAGTCAACCTTCATGGAACGAGAAAGTGCTGGTGTCTCAGCCAAGAAGGTCTCTATTTCCTTTTTAGCAGCTGAAATCTCTCTCGCAGGGCCACAGAGAATTAAAACATTTTTGTCTGTTTTAACAAGAATACATTTGTATTTGGTACTTAGCATTACCTGCACTCCACTAAAATGGAGTGAGCTGGAGAAAGGAATCCTTTCCTCTTTCACATCTGCTGCTGCTACTTTCTGAAAATCTGTGACAAAAGTCTGCCTAGCTTTCTCAATTAAGTCAGGAGCCCCGGCAGAAAGAACGTGTACAGCAGTCATTCCATTTTCCTTTTTATTATAAGTTAGTTTAACATTAAATGTCTTCTCCAATTCTTCAATTTGTTCCTTGCAGGTCTGGTAGAAGTATTCAAAGACACCTGAGGGAACTTCCAAGTTTTCTTGAACATCACCCACATCATTTTTGTTTCCATCTTTCTCGTCTTCCATGAGCATTTGTTCCACACTATGTTGTCTTTTGGGATGTAAAAAATCACTGTTGCGATGATGGGAGGAGTCAAGGAGTTTCTCGAAATAACAGTGCAGCTTCTCAATATCACTGTAGTCTCCCGATACCTTTTCAATGCCAAACTGACTTGATTCTTTGTCTATTTTTAAAGTGGGGCACAGAGAATTCACCTCATTCCTCTGCTCCTTTGTGAACAAGGAAGTATTCAAATTGGCAGATACGCTGAGAAATATCTGGAAGGGGAGATATGAGATCAAAAAACTGAAGTCACAGTAATGCAGTGGCTAAGCCTTATGTACCAGCTGCTGGATACCCATGTTCAAACTATTAACTCATTAAGAGGTATCAGGTAAGCCATTCCATCATCATCATCTTCATCATCAAGTTTCATTTCTATACTACCCAATAGCTGGAATGCTCGGGGGGGGGGGGGGGTCACAACATTTCATAAAAATGCAAAAATCACAAGAAGATAAACACAGCATACATTTTCCAATATACAACACTTAAAACAGAATTTAAAACAATGTAATCAATGAAAATAGTTGTCAGTCTAATACAAGTAGACTGACATAGTCTTAAACTGGAACCAAAATGTTGCAGGGAGGGCTCACTGTGAAGGCCCTCCCCCTTGTTGCCACCCTCAACGCCTCCCTTGGGAGCACCACTATGAAGAAGGCCACAGATGACAAGCGTAGTGTCAAGGTAGATTCAGGCTGAGAGAAACAATCTATCAGGTATTACAGCTCCAAGCTCTGTGAGGCTTTAGGGTTTAGACCTGGCAGTCTGGGCAATGCTAGACTTACCTTTGTGGCAATGTTTTCACAATCACTTGCACTGAGCCGCTTTTCAAAATCATTTTGAAGTTGTGCACTACTTGAAACAGAAAATGAGTCTGCAGCTGGGTTCCTCAAGTTACTTTTCGATGGCTGTTCTTCATCATCTATCATTTTAATGTCAGGCTCTGGCAAGATTTTTACATCCAGTGTTATGTCACCAAACTCTATGGTATGGTCTTTATGTGCCTTCACTCGGTTCTTCACTAAACCAATTTGAATAACAAGCAAACATTAGAGGAATATGTGGAATATTAATGCGTGTTCATATAGGTATTATACTACATGCCTAACACCCAGCCATCCTGCAGCCACAGAAATATTGGAAGGAGAGTATGCCACATCATCCAATTATATGACAGGATGTTGCAACATCTAGAGAGATATTTGAAGACAGGTCAGCTTTCTTAAGTTCTGCTACTGCCACTCTGCATATAACAGCTTGCCCAGAAGTCATTGGCACGGGTTCAGTTTTAGCAGAGGAAGAAGCAAAATTTGTGTTTCTGTGACGATCAACAATATGCTGCAGGGTGGCCACTTGGCAGAAGGCAAATTAACACATTTAAAGAAAGTATAATAAAATAACAATCGTCTGCTAAGAAGCTAGTAGCCCGTGTTTCTATGCAAGTGACAGAGGAAGGGGCCTTGCCTCCTCCACAGACAGAATGCTACTATAGACCTTTTTGCACATTTGGAGCTTTTGAGGGTGTATTTCCAAGGCTGGACTCGTAAAAGCAGCTAGAGGACTGCACACTCCCTCCAGTGTTTTGTGCTCCAGCTACACAGACACCATTCAAAACTGAACAACTATGTTCTTGTCTGGATACTGTTTTTGTGGCTTCAGGAGCACCTTCCATATCAGCCCCTGCCCCCACCAACTTTATATCCTGCCTTTTTTATGAGTAACCCACACGAGCAGTTCAAGTCTTGCAGTTGGAAGCCATCAGGCATGCAGAGACCAAACAGATAGGATATACTGGAGGCAGGCCCTTTTGAAAGAAACCTATATAAATGCTAACAATGGTGCTCAGTTTCCAAAGCAAGGGCAGTGAAGGGCCAATCCTACCAAGAAGTTGCAGCTTCTGATTTGAAAAATCTCTCTCCCATTCCCTCTTAAATTACTGGCCCTTATTAGTCAATGACGAATGTCACCATTTTAAAAGAGCATTCACTGCAAGGCATTCCAAAGGATAAGCGTAAGCCTTGCCCCAAACTTGCTTGCCAACTTTTTCCTTGGCAGGACTCGGAGGCCCTTAGCAGCAGGCACAAATTCCAGAGGTAAAGGTTTTGCCCAGTTTAGAGTTCTGAACGCTAGGGTACGCTTCACCTGTGAGATTCCTGCCTGCTGTGCACCTGCTGAAGGTTCCCCAATTGGCTGACGGGCAGACGACAAAGGGAGCGAAAGGAACAGGTGGCAACCCTAGAAACAAAACCCCGTGGCGAGAGAAGAAACCTTTTTAAAAGACTGCGCCACATGGCTTCGTAGCAGCCCTCTTGGGCCACGTCCACTGCCCAGTCGAGGGCTCCGAGCCGTCGGGGTTACCTTCCTCCGATCGGAAAGACACCGAATAGATGCCCCGGGAATGATCCAGCAATCGCACATCGCACTCGCCGCCTCCGGATCTTTTCGGGGACTGGAAGTGGATCACAAGCTTCGTCAGCAGCTTGTCCGAAACCAGCAGCTTAGGGAAGATCTCCACGAATAGCGGAGAAGGAGGGAGAAAGCAAGCAGCCATGGCGAACGCTCCAGAGACTCTGCGGAAACTTTCGCTTTCGATTCGCGGCAAACACGCCCGGAGAAGATAGACAACCGCGGTGACCGCCTCCTCCGGCAAGGCCAAGCTGAACCTGTCTCCGCGCTCCCTGTTGTACGCTCAGCGCCGCCTGCTGGCCTCCTTAAGTAGCGCCAGCCTGGCCCAAAAGCCCGGCCTCCTTTCTGCCTTTAAAAAGCTGCACGACGGGCAGAAGTTCAACAAGTGAGCGTGCCCCCCCCGCAAGCCCGTGCAGTCCCCGTGCATTTCCGCCTGCAACGCTGCTAAGCACAAGTGGAAGTAGTTGAGGACGATCCTGCTGGTGGCACTGTTTCCCTTCACACTCAGGATTTAGTTGCCAACGATAACCTTGCTAAAGGGTTATCTTTGGGGACTCTAGCTCCCTTGCGTGTGCCTGCGGTACTATATGGGTGTTGTGAAGATGTTATCGTGTTGGTCAGTAACTGCGTAAACCAGGGTTCAAAACCCTACACAGCCATGAAGTTCACTGAGTGATGCTATGGAGTTAGGCGTGACAATAAACTGGTCAGATTCCTACATGACACCAAATTATGTAGGGAAGTGAAAAACAAAAAGGAATTGCAAAGAGCTTCAAAAGGCTTCTCTCTTTTAAACAAAGTGAAGGAATGAAGATCCTACAATTTCATGGTAATCATAGGAATAAAACCTTGGATGATTCTCACGGAATCCTGAGGTTCTGGGGGAGCACACTTTTCATACCACATTTTTCTGGAATACTAATATGACTTTTGGGGAATTTAGCTTAGAAAAAAGGAGATGGGGTGTATAAAATTATGCATGGTATGATAAATGTGGATGGTGAGACGTTTTCCTTGCTCTGTCATAATATTAGAATTGAGGGTTCAGCTGATTGAGGGGAGATTCAAGAAGACAAAGAGAAGTCCTTCACAAAGCATATAGTTAACCTGTGGAATTTGCTGTGCAAGATGTAGTGATGACTGCTGCCTTGGACAGCTATAAAGGGAATTAGGCAAACTTATTAGTCATGATGATTATAAGCTACTTCCAAGATCAGAAGCAGCAGGCCTTTCAACCTCATTTGGCTGGGCAGTAAGAGCTGGCGGTTGCTGTTGTGCTTATGCCGGGACATCTGTTTGGAACACAAGATACTGGACTAGATAGGCCCCATCTAAGTGGGTTCGTCTCATGTTGGCTTCCTTTCTTTCTCTCTCTCTCTGCCAAAACTGCCTCCCAGGGTTGCTGTTTGAATAAAAGGAAGATCATGTGTGCCTGTCCTCTGAGAAAAGATAGATGGTATTTATTGTGTTTAAATGCTACTGTGCCTTTCCCTTTGGTTTAAATGAATTGAGGTCTTTGTGTGTGTGTGTGGGGGGGGGGTTGTATTTTTCCTGTCCTTTCATTATGTTACTGTTGCTGTAGATATGCTTAATTTAATATTATTATTTTTATTGTGTATGAATTGTTATTATAGTATATATTTTGTAACCCACCCAGAGAGTCATTTTAGCTGATGAGCCAGATAGACATTTAATAAATAAAATATTCTGTGGGGCCAGTATGGCTGTTCCTAACCTGAAGGGAGAAGAAAAAATGGTAGCCTTCTTGTACCCCTTACTTTGCAGCTAATGCTGAAAAGGTGTGTATATGAGGTGAAATGACTCAAGGCCAAACTACAGGTTAGTTACAGATTAAAAAAAAAAAACTGGCCATTTTTCCTATGCCTGCTGAGATTATGATTGGAAGTGACTTGACAATGGGGCCCAGGTTCCAGCTGGGGTCTCCATAGTAACGAGGCAGGAGGATTCTGAGGGAGGGGAGGTGCTTGTAGGGCCAGGGCAGTTCCTTGCTGCCAGCCGACCCAATGGAAAACAAAGGAGAAAAGAGGGGCCATCTAGGAGGGGGTGAAGAGCAAGAGATTCAAAATGGGGAACATGATGAAATTGCTGGTAGGTGAGCAAGACAAAAGAAGATACTTGGTGTTTTGGCCTGTGTGCCAATCATGCACTCAAGCTGAGTGGAGGTAGCCTTAAAGCAGGGGTCTCAAACTCGCGGCCCGCGGGCCACTTGCCGGGACGGGTGGGGCACGGGGAGGGGCCCTGCGGCCTTCAAAGCGCCTCCGGGAGCCACGCGGGACGAGCGGCCCACCCCCACCGCGGCGGTGGAATACTTGATGCGGCCCAGCCTCACCCAGACTCTACTTCCAGCGGCCCCCAGGCAAGCTGAGTTTGAGACCCCTGCCTTAAAGAATGCAAGGCTGTTTTCTTTTTCAGCTTACTTGACATGAAACAAGCAACTTGTGTCATGGCATAATGGATGTTCCAGATATAACTCAACAAATTAAAACCAACAAAAAGAAAACACACACAATTTAGGCTCTGTGTGTGTGTGTGGGGGGGGGTTGTTTGCATTGTGGGAGTCACCATGTGCACCACATTCAGTTAGCTGATGTTGCAAAGTGAGCAAAATGCATTATTTGCAACAAGGGAAGCTGCCTGATACTGAAGCAGACTTTGGTCTGCCAAGTGCTGTCCTGTCAAGACTAGGGTGGGGTCATCCAGGGTTGCAGGCAGCTCTACCTGGAGATGCCAGTGAATGAACCTGGGACATGCAAAGCAGGTGGTCTTGCACTGAGTTATGTCTCCTCCCCTATTAGTGGCATACCCATTAACATGTAAGGATATGTGCAGTACAAAAAAGGCTTTTTTCACAGTTAAGGCTGTGATCCTATGCACAATTATATAGGAGTAAGTGCTACTGAATTCAGTAGGATTTGCTTCCAAGCAAGCATGTATAGGATCAGCCTGCATGCTCTTGTCTCTCTACCGATCAATTCTAGCAACAGGCTAAATGATTTATTACTGTAATCCCATGCATACTTGGAGATCAGTGGGAGTTTTTTCCAAGCTAGTAAACATGCCTTAACACTGAAGTAACTGGGCTCTTTTACATTATTTTCACAGACAGATTTGTTATTTGTAAAAATAGCGAATGAGGATCACAATCCAATAAACATTAACTCAGTGGATCTGGGACATCTGTGGGGAATAATTTTGAAAGCATATTTATGTTTTGTTTTTTGCAGGCTGCCAGTTCTGAAAGCATCCAAAATGACAATGCAGGTAAATAGTCCTCTTGAGGCCTTTTCTTGCAGAATGGCAATTAATGATGTATCAGTGATTTCAGAAGCAGCAGAATAAGGCTTGTTTGTTGTTGTTGTTAGTCGCGAGGTCGTGTCCGACCCTTCACGACCCCATGAACAACATTCCTCCAGGCCTTCCTGTCCTCCACCATCCCCCGGAGTCCACTTAAGCTCATGGAAGGCTTATGGTAATGGTGGCAAACTTGTGGTCCTCTGGAGGTTTTACACACCTCAACATTGACTGTACTGGCTAGCAGTGATGGGAGGGCCACTGGATGCCTACCCTACCCTATAGGGACAGAGAGCTCTTCAGACTTTCTACTGCAAAGACACTCACCTTTCTGCTTTCTCTTCCTGTTCTACTGTGCTAGTGCTGGGCAAATGTGGTGCTTCAATTGGATTACACTTCCCTTGAGCCCTAGCTAGCATAGCCAATCATGAGGGTTGTTGGTGTTGCAGTCCAACATCAGGAAGACACTACATGGAGCCATGCATGATACGTTACTATGTAAAATCTGAGGCTGGATAGTACCCACAGATCTCTTTCTACTCTGGTGTAAAATAGGCATGTAACTTAAGGCTACTTCACATTTTGTGCTGTGAAATTATGCTTCAGCTTCAGCAGTTATTTACCAGCTTAGGAACTTTAAGATTTAGCCTGCTACCTGATCTCCCATTCTGTAAATAAATTGATTAATGGGTACAGTTGAAGTGACAATATTTCTATGTGTTGTGTTAGCCTGGGAGGGCATTCTGCAGATATGATATTAATTTCATTTTCCTAAGCCATTTTAGAAGAAAAGACAAAGGGAAAGCTTTAAAAGTATGTTTTTAAAGTGTTTGGGGTTTTTTGGCACATGACCACACAATGTTTATTATGTTTATCCCCTAGAAATCAGTATGCCCATAGATGAGGAAATGTTATCCATCCCCATCAGTAACAGTGTCTATGCAATTCTGAAGAGAAGAGAAAACTACCTATGCAGTTTGCTTCAGAAGAAGTTTGGCTGCATCACTGTCCTTAAAAGCATAAGGAATCCCACTAAAGTATATAGGAAAACCCTGAAGGAAGGAATTGAAGTTTCAGTCTGGATAGATGATCTTCCAAGACATGAAGCTGATGCATTGGTGAATGCAGCCAATGATTATCTCCATCATTTTGGGGGCCTTGCATTTGCCCTTTTGAAAGCTGGAGGACCAGAAATTGAAGAGCAGTGCAAGCAGTTCATTGAAAAGAATGGACCACTCATTGCTGGCCAAATAGCCATCACTAGTGGAGGAAGACTCCCTTGTAAGCAAGTCATCCATGCAGTTGGTCCAAGATGGTCTGAAGATCAGCAGGAAGAATGTTGTCTGAGACTTGAAACAGCCATTATCAATATCCTGAAATATGTAAATGCTCCAGAAAACAATATCAAGTCTGTGGCCATTCCCGCTTTGAGCTCTGGAACCTTCAACTTCCCACAGGATTTGTGTGCTCAAGTGATTGTGCGAACAATAAAGAATTTTATCCAGCTAGCTCCATTATTTGGCTACTTGCAAGAAATCCACCTTGTGAGCATTGACGAGACTACTGTTGAAGTCATGAGAAGAGCTTGTGAAGAGTTGCTTGGCAGTGATGAGGATACGCCTCTAAGAGGGACCACAGAGTCCATCACAGTCCATGATCTCTGCCTACAGATTAAAAAAGGGAATATAGAAACACATCAAGTAAGTGTCTGAGAACTTTTAACTTGACATGATAGGAACTACAGAGTTGGAAACTGAGGGTCAGTTCACATGATTGACTACTGCAGCTTTGTAGAGGAGTACATGCTTTGCATGAAGAAGATTCTGGGATCATACACCACCATCTCCAGGTAGAGATAAGAAAGAATTCTGTCTGAAACCCTGGAGAATTGCTGCCAGCCAGTGTTGACAATACTGGGCTAGATGGACCAATGGCATGTGGCAACATTGCACAATCCTAGGATGGGGCCTTGATTAACTTTTCCATTACTTGGGTTTGTAAGTGGTTGCAAGTGCTGGATGAGCAACATTGTTGCATATCCACTTTCTTCCAAGGATGCTTGTATCTCACTAGTACTACCATATGTATGTAAAGCCATTTCTTTAAAAATGCTATTCCCTGAGCAAGTGAATGCTTTTTTTCCTTTCCTTTGCTTTAAAAATGACTGAGCAAGAAACTCCCTTTTAAGATGTTACAGTTGACCATGATGTTGCCTTGGCCTTGATATCAAGAATAGATCTTGCACTGGAGTGGAATAAATTATCAAACCATCGGTATTTCAGAGAGATCCATTTATTAATTTATAAGCTGTGGGTTTGAGTTCTTGAAGCCATTTGGATGAAGGATCTGGTAGTGTACCATACTATAGCTGAAGCAGGCATTTTGTTCTACTGTATCTTTTCCCAACTGGTGCAGATGTTTTGGACTTTAACTCCCAGCAGCTCCCAGCAGCACGGCCACTGCCAGAAGACCTGGGAGTTGTAGTCCAAAACATCTGGAGGGTACTAGGTTGGAGAAGGCTGTGGCCATGTAGGAACTATGTAGGAACTATGCATGAACCCAACATGAAATGGTTTCAGATTCTAGGTTATTCTCTTGCAGGCTGCCATTATTGTTAACTCTGTGATTGTGCAAGATGACCTTTCCCAAGGAACTGTTTCAAGAGCAATTCTGGAAAAAGCAGGTCCAGCTATGCAGAAGCAATTTGTCTTTGAGTTACAGAAACTTCTACCAGACAGACCCAAACTTGTCTGCACGAATGGGTACAATATTGACTGCAACTTTGTGCTCCACGTGATATGGCCATCCTACTGTGAAGGACATGCACAGGAAGTGAGGTCCTTTTCTATGAACATCCCATTTCTTAAATACTTTGAATGTGAATTGACGGCCCATATAACTCTGTTTTTCTCTAACAGGCACTAAAATCAGCTGTTTCTAAAGGTCTTTTCAAGACTCAGGAGCAGCAGTTTTCATCCATTTCTTTTCCACCCCTTGGGATTGAAGATCTACACTTGCCAAAAGATGAAGCAGCAGGGATCATGGTGGAAGAAGTCATATGCTTTGCAGAGGCGCATCCTGGGAAGAAGCTGGATGTATACATTGTGATTCCTCCAGATGACAATGATGTCTATGAAGTAAGATCAAAGAATAGATGTGTTAAATATCCATGTGTTTGTTCTAACAAATATCTTTTACTAGTTTATTTATTCATTCATTCATTTATTCGGGATATTTCTAACCCGTCCAATCACTATGCATCTCTGGATGGCTTACAAATGAATTCAATAAATACAACAATATAAAAGATCATAAATACCCCAAACAATAATAAGACTAATAACCCACGACTGAAGTAAAGCATAATTAAAGTCTTTTAAACATTAAAATACTGGGTGAATAAAAAGGTGTTGACCTGGTGCCAAAAAGCATATAATGTCAGCGCCAGGCAGACCTCGCTAGAGAGCACATTCCATAGCCTGGGCGCCACTGCAGAGAAAGTGGCGCCACTGTTTACCTCTTGCTATAACTCCCCACACCCCACCATCAGTTCCTTTGTGGAAGGCAAGCTGCTCAGTGGAATTTGCAAATGGTCACCACTGCCAATGTACGGTTTGGTCTAATCCTAAACCCAGATATGAAACACTGTAAGACAGCACAGCACATGGCAGTGGAGAGAACAGGGATTATCAGATGTTGATAGATGTCATGATCCATACATCCTGTCCTAAATTGGTACCATCCTTTTTAGAGTTGGGTCAAGAGGCAGCAGAGGGGTGGAACGTCTTTCAGCATTAACAGCCATAATGAAACTTTCAGGAGAACAAAAAATGCTTTTCATTTACAAGTGTAGTGTGGAAACTACTATTACGTGTATAACAGTTAAAACAAGATAGATATCTAATTCATGTCTTTTGTTAATTTTTATTACATTATTTGGGTTGGACAGTTGGGCATTAGCAAAGGATAAACACATGTGTAAAGAAAAGGATTTTGTTTACAAATCCCTATTTTAATTTCTAAAACTTTAATTTCTAAAATCCAATTGGTAGTTTATACCATACAAAGATATATGATCTGTAAAAATACCTTAAAAGAACCTGTCATAATTTTGTATCCTATAGATATTTTGGATTGCAGTTCTCAGCATTCCAGACATTGACTATGGTAGGAATTGTAATCTAAAATATCTGGAGGGCTGTGGTAGACAACATTTATGATGTATTTCATTATAAAGTTTTGTCTCGCACTATTCAACAAAGTTCATGGTGATTTACAAGGGTTGAGAGGAAGGTGACGAAGATGGTGAAGGGCCCTGAGAAAGTTGAAGGGGTTGTATAATTTTGTGGGAGAGACTTTCCTAGCTGATCCACTGCCCCAGTGAAGCAATCCAACCATGATCATGGTGTCAATAACTGGATCATCCATTTCCATTGTAGTGCAAAACATCAGCTCTAACATGAAACCTACTATGTGCTAGGTGTGCAAATATTACTTAAAATTCTGGCTATCATGGGGACCTTGGTGAAATCATGAGGCTGCCTAAAAAGACTGGCCTCTGCATTGCTGTTAAAGGCTCTCAAAATAAGATGCCTGGAAGACTTCATTATAGCCTTCAGGATCAGTATGGATAAGTCTGTTGCTTGCACCGACAGCTGACTTTTCAGTTTATCCTAGGCATTCAATACTAGGAATATGGCTATGTTCTGTAAGTTGAACCATCTTTGCAAATACTTGCTACTTGGCAAAATGTTCTTGCACTAAGGTTGCATGTGGTCTGGATCAGTAGCCACACTATATCAATTATATGTTGTTTTTCTCTTTTTAAAGGCTTTCTGCACCAAGGTGACAACAGTCAAAACCAAACTAGAAGAAAAGATGGACTGTAGCAATATGGATGGAATGGGTAATAGATGATTAACACTGATAGATACTGTGTGTTTAATGAAGTTAATTTTGAATAAAAGTGGATTAAATATCAAGATTATTAGAACATAGAGCTTCATGTATACTTACTTTCCTCTTATGAAAATGTTAAAGACAGGAAGGCAGAAATTAAAGGAACCTTTGTGGAATATGTAGATCTTGAGGAAGAACTTGAAAAATGTGTGGGATTGGAGAAGACCAGGGAGAATTATTGGAGTTAGTAAGAAACATTTCAGGAGGGGACAATTTATGAGTCTAGAATAACCATGGAATTGTATATACACTTAACTGAGTCTAGGGTTCTGTGGGTCCTGGATTCATCCTATCTGCACATTTTCACTTCTTCAAGGCAAAGGGTAGAGCTCTACACCCATCAATGATGTTTTAATAGCATTACCCTCCAGGCTTTTGTGGATTCTAAGACGGGATTTATAGATGTTTACACAGTGGGTGGGCGAAAGGAATGACATGGCTATTATCTTGAATTGCCTTTGGCAGGTGAGCTAGTCACAGGCAGATTCTTCACCAGCCTCTGCCACTTCAGTAAACAGCCTCTCTCTGTGCCCCTTCATTCTCTGCCAGCAGGCCTTTGCACCTCAGTGCTAGACTCCCTGTAGAGCGCACTTCAGTGCACTTCTGGCTGCCTGTAGGCACAGTGACACATCCTCTGCACTCGAGGGTGTGAAGGAAAACCTGCAGCAATGCACCAAAAGTGATTCTTGCTTGCTGCATCATGCATAACGTCTGCATGTGAATGGGGGATTTGCCACTTCAAGATAACCCCTCCACTCCAGGACTAGGGGCTTAGAATGATGACATTGCCATGGATGGGCGGGAGAATGAGCCTCCACCACCTGCCTTGGATCCCACATCAGAATCAGCAGCTTGGGAGCAAGCTAGAAGTAACTGTTCAGGTATCCCTGGTTGAATGAATATGGGCCCACATGTGTCCTGCCACTAAGCAGAAGTGGCTTTCCCAGCAGCCTATGTTATACTTACTAGAATGATCGCACCTTTCCCCTCACCCCTGTATAAGCATCCCTTCTCTATAAGCTTCTGCTGAAGCATAGCCTTGCCCATGTAAGCCCCACTCTGTACTCTGCCAGAACCTTCCTTACTGTCATTGCCCCAGCCCTCAAGCCAGTAGCCCAGTTCTTTGCATTTCCCATTTAGACACTCATAGCCCACCCCATCAGCACCCTCCACACCAGTCCTGTCCAGTAGTGCCTTCCAAAGGAAAGCATGTTTTTGGTTCTTAAAGCTGGCAATGAAAGCCTAGAAAAATGGTCGTTTCTCAGTAATGATTTTCTTTGAAGTTGCAACACATTGGAGTCATCTTGGAATGAGAATAGGTTGATGCAGTCGTAGGAGTGGCATAGCTGCAAAGGAGGGAGTTTTTGGTAGAAACATTGCTGCAAAGTGCGTGGGGCAGACAGAGGAAAGATTTGGTGGTGTGGCCTCAAGGGGAAAGGCAGGAGGGAGAGTGATTGAAAACAGCATTTGTTGATGGGCCTGGGCAGTGGGCTGGCTGCAAGTGTCGATGGAACATGAACTCTGAGAGTGGGAGAGTGGCAGGATCTGTCGAGCAAGACCAGCTTGGGAGAGGGTGGGAAGAGGAGAGTGTAGATGAATGGAAGAAGAAGATGAAGATGTCCATACACTCATGAAAAATCAAAGGGGTATGAAAATGGTTGCTGCTAGAAATACAGGCAGGCACTGAGTGGAAGAGGGATGGAGAAACTTTCCAGGAGGAGTCAACAAAGGCAAAACATGACCAAATATGCAGGAATCCAGTAGTAAAAAGGCTGCCAACATTGCAAGGAAGCAAGGTATCCTGGGATGTGGATTCTGCTGCAGAAAGTACTAGGGATATGTACCAAAACCAGCTGGAGGCCTGAAGGGGAAGGTGGGACAGAACAAGCCATGGCAAGCCCAATCATCCATCTGGCATACTGTGGGGTTGTTCAACCCATATCATGTAGCATTGGGTTGCTTAGTGTGACATGTGACCCCACACAGAAGAAAAGGAGGAAGAGGGAAGAGCTGGGGAGAGAAAATATAAGAACTACAGAGAAAGGGCAACAGAGCCAGGAAGAGAGAGAGAGAGAGAGGAAAGATGAGACCAAGGAGGGAGAAAGGGTGTCTATGTGAGAGAGGGAGGGAGGGAGGGAGGGAGGGAGCAGATTGGGTAGTACTTCCAGAGGGTTCATATGCATGCTCTCATCCACAAAACAAAGATAACGGACATGTACCTAATATTTTTGTGATTGGACGCCAGCAGTCAATTTGTGGTGGTGCTGATTTGTTAACATGTCGATTTTGCCCATGTATCCAAACTGATTGGCAACTCCTGCACTAATGCCATTTTCTTCCAGAGCTACTGACAGACATGCAAACCAATGCAGCCTGTGAAAGAAATGGACCATTTGTGGAACTTATTGGACACAGTCGTGAAACTCTGGAGGAAGCAGAGTTGTGGCTGAAGAACATCATACAAGTTGAGGAGACTCATCGAATTGTTATAAGAAATTATAACATTCTAAACATTGGCAGTGGTCAGCCTGTTGAGCTGTCTCATCTCCAGCAACATTTTGGCATAACCATACAGGAGAAATTGACTGGAGAGGGGGCAGCCCTAGAGATTGAAGGTCCTCCTCGAGCTGTGATTGATGCAGCATTTGCAATCGAATTCATGTTACAGACTTCAGCCAAGCCAGAACCCCTGAGGTCCGATGGTATGTGGGACTTTTTAGGCATGCTACTAATATAACAAGAATGAACTCTCCAGCTAAGCAAACAGTCTGGTGAAGAAACCTGGCTTATTGAAAATCGCTTCTTTGTTACTTTTTTACTTAAGGGACTTTCTGAGGAAGAGTTTGGGGACACACAAGCATTTTTTGGTAAAGATCAGAAACTAAAAGATGTTCGGTCATAGTTTATTGAGCTCCTAATTCTCTTCTCCCTTTAGCTTTGTGTGTCTCCTTTTAAGTTTTCCACTGCTTCAGTCCCTGTTCATGGCAAATACTGAATTTAGAAAATGCAAACATAATTAGTCAAACTGCATAAGCATGAGTTACTTTCATTTACACATGTACGTGCACACAGTCCTTTTTACAAATCCACAAAGTGGCTACCAGTATTAAAATTGTGTGTGTGTAAGCTATGGTCATGGAAAAATGGGAATTCATCAGAACAGCATTAACTGATGTCAAATGGACCATCCACTTAAAAGAAAACAGGAAGGAAGTTTAAAGGGATATTCCATAACAATGGTGCCACCATTAAAAAGGTGCTGTTCCACTTGACCTCCAGGAAAGATCTCAATTTGTGGGTAGGCTCAAATGGGAGTCATCATACTCATATGAAAATATTATAGCTCATAGCAGAATACTAATACTAGTATTACAAAATTTCAAGAACAAAATTTCAAGAATTTGGAATAGTTAATACTTATTTGGATACTTAACCCACAATTGATTGTGCAAAGCAAGTGAGGTATATAGATAATAAGTCAGCACTTCATAATAATTACAGTCCTGTCAGATATTCTATTTTACATAATGTGCTTCCAGGCAGAGGAGTCCTAGTGTTAACACTGAAAAGCCATTGTGCAGCTGTTCTCTGTTTTCTTTAATTTTCCTTTCTGGTAAGATATTTCCATCTCATTAACACAACACCACACACACATTTGAAAGAGTCATTTCCTAAAACTGCCTGTTTTTTTAAGCAAACAGAACCTCATGACAACATCCCTATCCAATAAATTTACACTTGATTTTCCAATCTGGAAGTCTTCCTTTTACTACTTAATATGCTATTACTTCCTTCCAGGATCTTTGGGAAAGTATTCTCATCAGCAAGGGCATCTGGAGATGGAAAGAAAATACTGCTACCAAGTCACTCCTATAGAGTCATATCTTCAAGAATTCAAGCACAAAGAAAAACAACTTGAAAAAGCCGGCCTCTGTGTTCTCAAGGTAAACATAGGATCAGTAACAAAATGATTCTGAAAGACTCTTGTGACATCTTGCAGTCCTACAAAATCAAGTGGAATTTAGGAGGGCAAGGTCAAAGTCAGTGTGAAGGTTGACTGGTTTTTATTGATACATTGTAAGCTAGAATGGCTTCTGATACTTGGTCTCTCCTCCCCCTCTTTGAGCACAGATAACAATAAAATGGTAGAACTAGAATTCAGAGGGACAAGTTAAATGTTCTTTTAGGGAGCAATTCTATTCAGGTTTAGACAGAAAAATGTTCCTAAAACTTCCAGTGTGTCCCAGCCAGCATAGATGGATGGAAATTACTTGGAGTTGTAAGACCATTGTTTCCTCTAAACAAGCATAGGATTGTGCTGTAATCATGCATGGCCCATCTCTCCTGAAGGTTCACACAGCCTTGATTTGGACTGGAAGAGGCAGATTTAAGCTTGCTCCCTGCCTGTTTTGTCCCTAAATTCCATCCCTCCCAATGGGCAGGCTTGTGAATTTTCAGGACAGGCTGGGCTGGTGGGGAGAAAGCCTAAACCCGCTTCTCCCAATGCACTATACAGCTGTCCACACTGGTAGGAAACTAGGAGAAAAAACTACACATAGCTACACATTGTCTAGTTTGGTTCTCAGTTGCTCTCCTGGGAACAGAAGCACTCTTTGCATTAATCAGAGGTGTTCTGAAAAAGCAGTTAGAAAATTCTGGGCTTAGAGGGATGGTTTAATTTGGAGTCCTGCATTGAGCCTTCTTGGCCCCTTCCAACTCTTCTATGATTCTGTGATGGACTGATGGTCTGAACTGGTATAAGGCAGACTTCCATGTGCCAAATGTTCTACTCCGGTCAGTTATCACTACTCAAATGTATGTCAATTTCTCAGTGACATACTGAGTAATTTCTCAGTAATTTCTACTCAGTGGTAGAAATTAATTTGTTATTTTTTCCTTACTCCAAGTAACTCAGGGCTGCATTTATTATCCTCGCTGTGCCACTTTCCTTGCAAAAACTCTCTGAATTGGTTATGCTTAGACATGGGGATTGATCCAAGGACACCGAATGAGCTTACTATTGTAATACATAATCTGTTGCATGAAGCAACTAAAACAGTTCTTTTTTTCCCCAGAATTGCTTTTTAATATGTGCATATTCCTAAAATCCAGTACTTATACTAAAAATATACTGATAGCTGGAACTGCATATTAACATGGCTGACCCTGAGCTAGAGACAACTTTATTGTTCATTTTTATTGCAGATCGAGAAAATATGTAATCCTCTTTTAGAATCTGCCTTCCAAAGGTTTAAAAGAAAAATTGAAGGAAAAAATACTGGAATGCCAGTATGCCATAGGCTATACCATCATGTCCCAGCTCAGTATTGCAGTCTGGTGTGCAAAACTGGATTTCAGAAAACCTACTCCTCTTCACAGGGTAAGTCATGCAGGAGCCCCCGAACAACAGTGGGATTTTGTTGGAAGTGTACACAATCTGACTGCTACATTAATGCATAGATGCCTATTCAAATGCATTGAAAAAACAAGGGATTCAAGGTAGCTAAAAAAAGGCAGGAATTGTCTTGGGTACTTTATATGAGGTGTAGGGCACTTCAGGCCTGTGGCACAGGGGTCCTGAAGGTGCTCACAGCCACAAGGCCTTGATCCCTTCCCCTGGTCTCACCCCCTTTCCCTTAATTTTGTGCATTCCTGGTTTTTGTAGTGTTTCTTCCATTCTAAAAGGTCAAAATGCCTCTCCCGCATTAGTTACTTGCAAGAGGAGCTTTGGACTACGATATGCTGGTATTCTTTATCCATTTGACCCTTTTGCTTGTGGCTCCTGAGAATTTACCTGAAATTGTGTCCGGCCTTCTGGCTAGAAGCTTTCCACCATTGCACTGGCAGCAGCATGGAGGGCCAAACACATACTGAAAGAAAAAGTTCCACTTGCTGTGCAAGTGTGTATCCTTGCTCTAGGAGCTGTATAGCAAAACCACACCCTTTTTCTGACACCACACACCTATGGAATTTTAGGCAAAGCTAGATTGGTGTCTCCTCTAGTATCACAATGATCACCACATTTCTAATTCTTAAGTCATTGTAGAGCTGGCGTGGTGTAGTGGTTAGAGTGCTGGACTGGGACTTAGGTGTGGGTTCTAGTGCCCACTCAGACATGCAATTCACCAGGCCACTCTGGGCCAGTCACAGACATGCAACCCAACCCACCTCACAGGGATGATGATGTGCAGGTAAAACGGAAAGGAGAAAAACCTTGTAAGCTACCTTGGGTCCCTTGCAAGAGGAAGAAAGGTGGGGTATCCATGTAATTATAACACTGGCAGCTTCCAGAATGCCTCCCAGGCTTGTTCAGTTGTTATTTGGTTCTTGTAATTCTACCCGGGGTGTGGTTGAGAATAAACCAAAGATAAGGTAGAATAATCTCATCTCTTGAATTCCTACTATAATGAAAATGTGGCTGTTTAAACAGGCTGTTTTGTATTTTCCAGACCAGAAATATGGAGCTGGTATCTACTTTAACAAGAATCCCAGGAACCTTATAGGAGATACCAGGGAAAAATGTGAAATGGACCACTTGATCTGTGTGTTTGAGGCAGAGGTTGTAACAGGCTCATATACAAGGGGCAATCGAAGCTATGTAGCACCACCATTAATTAATGCAAGCAGCATGAAACTCTATGACAGTGTTGTTGATGATATTCACAACCCTGAAATCTTTGTCATTTTTAATAGGGAACAAGCTCTACCATTGTATTTATTGACTTGTTCCCTGCTTTGGAATACAGCACCAGAGACCAGTTTGGGACCATCAGCCCAGAATCTATGAGACTTTGAAGTTCATCAAAATACAGTCACCAGGTTCTGTGTACAAACATTAGGTAATTTATAAATGGCAGTTCTTCAGTGCAGTGAAAAATCTTGCCTTATTACAACCTTGAAGTATCCTTATCGCTTAATATGCTATTGCATCAATGGAACGTAACATCTCCTTACCATTTTAATTTGAAGAGAACTGCTGCACTGACAATATGAACTCTCCATTAAACTACCACCTTGACACCATCTGCACAAATTTGTTTTTTTCCCTGTAGAATAGCATATTGAAGACTCTGCATATTTACCAGAGAATGTGGAATTTATCTGGAGCAGGGGTCCTTAAAAGATTTTGTGTCAGTGGTCAGTCAGAGTAAATACGGCCATTTTCTTTGATCTGAAAAGATAGATCAATGTGCTTGACCATGGGTAAACTCTGCTATTTAAAATTGAAGAAAAATGTTGTATCATTCTTCTGGTTTTTAAAAACTGGCCATTTATCTTTCACTGGCTTCCTTTCATCTAAGCAAGACTAAAGTTTAAGATTAAATTAGAAAGGTTACTTGCTATACTTGTAGGACACAGAAACCCTTCAACCAACCGGCTTGAGTAAGTAGTACAATCTTTAAAGGGGTGAATAATCTAAGTATCTTAATTCCTTTACTGATTAAAAGGCATTTGCAGGAATTACTCCTTCAGATGATGCTGTTTGTATATTTTAATGAGAGGTATACAAGTGTTTCAGGGTTTCAATGCATAGTCCACTATGCTACACAAGCACGCGCTCGCTCGCTCGCTCGCTCACACACACAGAGAGAGAGAGAGAGAGAGAGAGAGAGAGCGAGCGCGCGCGAGTGTGTGAGCATGAGCAGTATGCTAGTCCTGAATAAAATTTCTTACACCTTTGCTAGGACTGTCAGACAACACATATGGTTTGTGAACAGGTCGCATAAAAATATTATGGTGCTTAATTGTTCCATCACGAGCTAGCATTCACTTTCCTTGCTTGGAGGATAGTATTTTGTTACAGTGAGTAACAGCCAGCCTTTGTATATAGTCCTTGCCATTTATGAATATTTATGTCCAACAGGCCTTGATGAATGTATATACAATATTTCAGCTTTATTTTGCATATTCTCAAGTCCTGGTGTCTGCGACATGGCACTCAGCAGGCTTGGTATCTCCCCATTTTCATTTTGAGTGTAAATTTGGAAGGTGGCATGTTTGAATGTAAACTTGGAAGGTGGCATCCTGGAAAATGAAGGGCTGCCTAACCAGTACTGTCTGCATTTAGGTTCAAAAGGAGGATTTTTAATTTTGCAGCTGAGACCATCCCTGCCTTGAGCAAGTTATTTTTTTAATTTTTTTTTTAGTTTCACCAGTTTGCCTTCTGGAACATGGTTGTTTGCTGACAGACCATGTCTTCCAATGGCAGCGACAGTGAGTGTGCACATAACACTCCCACGAAATACCAGCTATGCCTTCCAGTCAAAAAATGCTAGGTCCCCTACTTGGTGCTGTACCCATGTTCTTTGGTAAATATACATACTTTCCAAGAAATAGTGGAAGATGTGTATGCGTCAGTATAATCTGATCAGTTCTGTAACTTGTTCATGTAATAAGTATAGTCCCCAAAGAATCTCAACATTCAGAAGTCAGAATGTTGTATATTTAGGACAACATCTGCAAAAGTCAGAAAAAGGAGTTTGCGAGGTTGCATCAAACACACACTGAAAGAGACCTCTAATTACATTAAATGCTGGTTACATTTCAGTAAAAAGTTAACTGTCTGCTTCTATCATTGTTTGGGGATGTGCACATGGAGCACTCTACCAAGAAAATGGACCTGCTCTTGTTCATTCCTGTCTCCATGTAGCCTGGGGGTAAAGGACTATGATTCAGAGAGTATGAAAATGGATCACCAGAACACAAAGGACTCTTTTTGTTACTTTCCCCATTCCTGAGCACAAATATACAACTTTATTCTACTATGGGAGTATCACATGTGCCTTCCATATGCAGATCCAGCCACCCACTCCTTAACAAATCCTTTGTGTTGGTTAGTTCTGTTTGATGAACATGTAGACTGGCTGCATCTATACATAGAAGATAGTAGACATAGATTCTTGAGTTCATCTTTTAACTAGCAGGAAGAAGGTCTCCCACACATACAGATATTCATGGTCCAAGTATCAACACAGAGCCAAAAAGGCTTGCTAAAAGAAAGCTCATTGGTGAACATAGGCAGCATACTTAGAGAATTTGAAAAGAATAAAATACTCTAACTGTTAAATGAACACAATCCACTGTTATTCTGCACTTTTTATTAAAATTTTTCATATAAACAATTTATTCAAAGTTCCTGTGTCCATATATATAATTTACAAAATAACTAGGAATGTTTGAGATTGTACATAGGTTTACATTCTCATCTGGTCCTCCAAGAAATTTCATATACAGTAACTAGAGAATAAAAACAGCACAAACTAGATGTACAAAGAAGTACATAATAAGTTGTCAATTACCACAGTAATTGAAAATCCCTGATCTACAAGTCAGAACACATGAAAGCTATTCCAAAGCTTCTGGAATTTCTCCATCATCTACAATAAGCATATGAATAATTCCTTCCCTTCTCTTTCCACTACTGATAGCTTTAATGCAACAGTTATGTTTTCCAATACTGAAATGCGTTTCTGTCCCATCTTCTACAAATTCACCCTGGTGCAGAAAAAGAAAACATAATGAAAGGCTATCCAAAGTTACCAGACGGTTGTTTCAAAGCATAGCAAGGCACAGGTAAATGTAACTCAAAGTGGTCACAATCCATTGGAATCTTTAAATCACAGCGCGGAGTTTAGGCTGTGATGGAAATGCTTTGCATTGGCCAGACTGTACATTTTAAGATGCATAATCATGTTAGTCTGTGTTGCAGCAAAAATAAAGCATCTTGAATGAGAAATTTATTATGGCATAAGCTATCGATACACTAGTACCTACTTCATCAGATGCATGAAATGTTAACCACAGTTGTGTGTTTATATACACATGACTGGATGGATAATGTAAAATAGAGAGGTAAGGGGGAAATATAGTATAGGCAGTGACAACTCAATTAGTGCTTGGATATATGCAAAATAAGTTATTACCTATCACCTATTACCACTTCTGTAAAGGATCACTGTTTATATTATATAATGAATCTATTAGCATAATATACCATAAGATTCTTTTTCGTTTTGAAGTTATTTTTGGCAGGTTCTACTGTGTCTATATTTTAATATATTTATATGTCTTAATTCTGCACATACAAAAAAAGGGGAGGAGTGACATTCAATATTCATCTATTATAAGTGACTATTTCATTTTAATGTTTTTTTTTCCTCCTCAGAGTTCTTCAAATGTTACATACCGCTGTTTCCACTTTTTTACCATTGCACCAAACATCCATTGTATCTTTTTCTATAAGGAAAAAAGACACACACAAGCATGGATACATAAATTATATGAAATTTATTTCTCTAGATTCTTATATTATAAGCATTTTCTATGACATAAAGCACGACTAGAGGTATGTTTAGACCAAAGTTCCTCTTTTGCAGATCACATTTCAATCTGATTTGTTCAGTTGCACACTTGCATTATCTATGTATTCCTGCTTTTTTATCATATGCTGTAAATGTAACTGTAAATATATAGCAGAATTTTTTATGTAGTGTGCAAGGCGATACCAGAGGAAAAGGGAGAGAAGGGACTTCCAGTTGCTCTTTAGGCCTTTGAAAAAGCAGCTATTCCCTCTGCTCATGAAAAACTTCAATGAACAAAGTTATGTCTGCAGTGACTGGGCAGATATGCAAAAGAGAAACTAAGAGACATTTATCTTTATAAATCTTTATGAAAGAGATAGATCAGTACTTGTTCAATGACATGCTACCTTCCACACAGAAAACCCCCAGAAATGGGTTTATTCTGCACTCTGAAAAGTGACTAACATATTTTGATATTTCTAGCTACAAAGTACATGAAAATATGATTTCACATATGCTGAATTTGTTCCAGATGAGATTACTGTCATACATACAAATGGCAAAGTCAGTTCTCTGCATGCTCTATAGAGTGTCTTGGGAAAGGACATGGCTTGCAGGCACCCTGAATAGAAGCATTCTATACTGCAACATTTTATTGCGGGTCCCACTTCTTCCCACCAATACTGAACTCTGGTTGTTGAATGTCTGTCAATGTGAAAGTGACATGGGACCATACTTAAAAAAAACATAGGCTTTCATGTATTCATGGGCTAATCTAGGTATGCAGACATACTTCGTAAATTAAAAGAAAAAGCTATATTGGGCTCTCATATCAGGCATAGGGTTCTGTTATAACTTGAGTAAGCATTTATATTTGCATGGTTATGGATAAAGCTGATCAGAAGTTATGTTTCAGAGTGGACTTATGAGGCATAACAAGCTGTGTCCCTGCATCGGAATAAGCATGGGGCTCCCATGGACTTAAGTCTCCTTAGTGGGTCTTGTAAAAGAACAGGTGTGATGTAAGATCCTGATGTTCAGTGTTTTTCAGACAGTGCCACAGCACAGCTAAACAAAAACTCCAGTGTACAAAATCACATAACTTACCTAGTACAACCCTGAAATCTGTACCATCCAGGTGTACCATCCAAGTATTTGTTGTTTTTGACCTGTTTTCCATGTACTTTTTGAGGCTCTTTCCATCAATTTCCAAGGTATATTCATATGCAAAGCCACTGACAGCATCAATGTTAATGGTAGCCTTTGTTTTGGCAGCTCCAACAGTAAATGTCTCTTTTCCCACTAGCTTGAACATCCATTCTTTTCTCATTATTTCCTGAAGAGAACAAGATGGGTATTAATACAAGCAGCTATTTTTTGCTACAATTGGCATTTAATGACTTTTAATATTAGACCAACCTCTCTCACTGTTAAATATACACCTACACTTCAGTTGACTGTTAACTCCCATCACCTCAGTGACACGTTATAGAGCAATTTCAGAAACAATATTTGAGGCAGTTCTGAGAAAACGGGATGTTTTGACACCTGCATATAAACCAGGATACCCCGAGTTTATCAATATACCTTCAGACATGTATGCATGCTTTCTGACCTTTAATTAGGTAGGAAAAACAGTTACGGCATTTTTTCCCCTTTGTAAAAGTCAGATGAGCACTGATCCTACTACTGGGCAGAATGAGAAGGCCTAATTGTTAGTTATTTAAAGGCAGCAAATTATCAGGCGTTTTTTTCCCCTTGGTTATTTTCATGAGAGGGAAAAAAATTGTTTGAGGGGGAATCTGGCCTTGCAAAGGGCCCTATTGAATAACAAACCCCTGTAACTGGTTTTCATATTTGAGTCTCAATAATTCATTTTTGGGGATGAGAAGTCTGCAGCTCATGGATCTCTACTTTTTACTAGAACAGTTGCCATTGTTAATAGCCTGCTATTTAGACTTTCAAAAAGATCTCCCAGCTACTGGGAATGAGTTAGGACATCACTCCCTCCTCCCTGTTCCTTTCCATTTGCTCTACGCAGATGAAGACTTAAGTTTCTGGTGAGAACAGCGGGAAGGTCAGTGCATGTTGCAAATCTCCTCCAGGGGTGGCAGTCTTACTTACAGTGGCAGTGGAAAAGCTCGTTGCTATTGCTGTTCTACTTACAATGGCCAAAGTCATCCAAAAGTTGAGGGTGGTGTTGGAGGAAGGCAAGGTTCCGTAGGATCCAAAGTCTCTTTATTCCTCAGACATTCCTCTCTTTCAAAAAAGCTTTAAACTACATACATCCTGGAGCTGGTATAGTTACTTCCCTCCCATTTACTACAATTGGAGGAAATGAAGAAGAACTGGAGTGGGGTTCAGGAAAGCCTTCTCCAGCCTTCTACCACCAAATCAAAAGTGCTGCCTACTTCTTGTAGCCAGGGTAGATCTACCATGGAATCTTCTCAGTCCCACCATTAGTATTGCTCTCTAACAGACAATTCTTTTGGCTAACCAAATGTTATGTATGTCAAAATGTCCACTACTTGTTTTTCCAAAGAATTCTGCACATGTTATGAAAGGATCTTACCTTTCCGTCTACATACACAACCCGTTTTCCTGAGGTGGTCCCATGTTCAAATTCAATTTTGTGAATGCCATCACTTAACCCTACTTCCCAGATTGCCACCAGGTCTGTCATTCTGTCCAGGTAACTGTAGTCAGATCTATGTGGATTTAAGTTTAGATACACCCAATAAAGTCAAAGTATACAACTGAGAAAGGCTTGTGAGAAAAGTACAAATATCTGTACATGTTCAGTTGACATTTTAGCTATACCCCAAGGAGCTTACTGTTCTACATTGAAGCACACTTCTGACATGCCTTTAAATTTGGCATCATGTTGTGAAGGAGTAGTTTTGGAAAATGAAATTCAAAACAGCAGTACGCATCAAATGCATACTATGCAACCCTCTAGTTTGGAATCCTAGTCCAGAGGTATTACCAATGGACTGACATAATCTTTTTCACATTTTTGGGAAACAGACTCCTTATGAAAAATTTCTAAAGCTGCTGGGGCAGAGCAATAATCAAAATACATTTAAACCTTAATATTCATATCACAAATGGCAGCACAGACAAGAACAACTAGGTAGACTTTAACATACAACACTTCTTTTTAAATCTAAATCCAATTGATTATTCTTCTTCAGACAAGTTTTCCCTTAAGGCAACTTCTTGTGTTCTAAAATACCACAACCTATCACCTGAGTCACTATAATATATTTTAGTGATTTCTGAAATAACTTACCAAACCATAATACTATATTTTAGAGTTTACTTGCTTAGTACATATTTAAGTCCTAAAACATAAACAAATATTTATGTTTAAAGAACCATAAAGTAAGACCCTGTTTTGAATACATCACAAATTAACTTTGTTTACATGCATAATACAGTCAGTTAATTATTGACACTGAATTGGTAACAGCAATTCTATTGCTATTAAAATTTGAGAAAGCCTTCCTAGGACTCTTACAGTTCAGAGTACTTTTTACCTTACTTCATCTTCATAGTCAGTACTCTCATCATGGGATGCCATAGTAATCAAAACAGCCTTTAATCCAATTAGCAGCAAGAAAAGAAAAAACAGAACACTGGTAGCAGCAAAAAAATAAAAAAATAAAAAAAATATTGAAAGCTATAGCACCATTTTTATGAGAAGGCAATCCTTATCCAGTTTTCCCCTTTTAAAAAACATTACTGTTAGGGTTTAATTATATTCAGGAACTTATCAAACATAATAAATTTCTTCATCATGGCAGTATATAAAACAGTGACAAATATAAATCACTGTGATATATATGCAGTACTTTATTGATTTACTGGATTTCTATCTAGAATGCATTCACAGTGTTTTTCAAGTTACACCAGACTTACAAAGGAATCATTAGTCCTTGACATTTTTCTGTGGCCCATTGGTCCACAGATTCCTATACAGTGGTACCTTGGCTCACAAACTTAATCATTCCAGGACTCTGGTCATGACCCAAATCGGTCGTGAGCAAAGTTAAATTCCCCCATAAGGTTCAAGGTAAAGAAGGTTAATCCATTCTGTAACTATTTTTTTTTTAATCACAAAAATATGGAGCACAGTGAAAAAGAACAACAAAGATCCACGGGTGTGATTGCGGGCGCGCTGCAGGGGGGAGAGAGGGGCGCGATCGCGGGTGCACTGCGGGGGGAGAGGGGCGTGAATGTGGGCGCGCGGGGGGCGCAATTGTGCTGGCAGGGAGATGGCCAAGATCACAGTTGTACTCATGCAGGATAGACGGGTGCAATTACGGGTGCACTCCTGCAGGAAAGAAGGGCACGATCTCGGACATCTCCCCCACTACTCCCAGCATGATTGCAGCCATCTCCCCACTCGTGGAGGTGGGGAGATGGCTGCAATTGCGGTCGCCACTCAATGTGGAGTTTGCAACCTGAGTCAAAATTTTTATGAAATGTTTGTTCACGACCTGATTTGGTTGTGAACTGAGGCATTCATGAGCCAAGACACCCCTGTACTAGCAATGTGCAGCAAGGTGATGACCTGAACTTTGAAACAAACACAAACAAAGCAAAAACTTTACTGTCAGGTGGGCAAAAGGAAATTTACTCACCAGAGGCTACAAGGTGAGTACCTTTAAGTAAGCCTGAATTACAGCACAAATCTAGATAAGGACAGAATCCAAAGAAGTGCTTACACTCATGCCAAATCTCTTTATGTCTGAGATTGCTGCAGAAGCTATTGGTCCTGTCAAATGTGCTATATGAGTGGGACTCATCACTTGCCCAGGAAAGATTTAGCACCTCCCAGAGGAAGCCCTGAAATGATGGAGCAAGTCAGCAATGTCAGCATTTCTCAGTTGGGACAAGTCAGCAAAGCTCTCTTGTGCAAGCTCTACTGACCTACCCCATTGCTCTGTAAACACTAATTCTTGGTTCAGCTCAATTTTCAGACCTGGGGACTACCAGCCCATAGCATTTCTGGCTTGATTCAGCATCAGTTCCCTAGACCTCATCCAAGCCATAACTGCATTCAGGCACCCGTTCTGAATGTGCACAGCCTCTCCTAGTTCAGTTACACCCAGTCCCCGCACCCCATCCCCGCTATAAACATCCAAGTTACAAACAACCCCTACTTATGAACAAGCAAACCCAGAAGTCCCACCTCATCCTCAAGCAGCAAAGAGAAGAACGAAGGGGAGAAAGAAAGGGAGGAAGAGAAGGAAGGAGGGATGGAAAGGAGGGGAAAAGCAGCGAACAGCAAAGCTGGAACTAGAAAGTAATTCTAATGTGTGTTGCCCCTACACCACAATCAAACCCTAACTCTTCAGCACCAGATCCATTCCCTCCAACATCAGTCCCATCTCCATCAACATCCAGATAATACTAGGCTTAATACTGGCTCAAGAAGGGTTAACCTTTAACAATAATAAATAAATAATAACCTTTAATAATTTATGTGTTGTGAGCCGCCCTGAGGCTTTGTTGCAATGGGGCGGCATAGAAATGTTTTAAATAATAAATAAATAAAGCAATTTAGATAGTAAAATAGTAAAAGGATTAAGAACCATAACATATACCTACACACATTTTCTCTCTCTATTCCCACCAGTACCTGTAGTTTCTTATTACAAGAGTATTATAATTATTAAAATATTGCATTGTGTTTAAGATGTTTTAGTGTATATGGAAGTGTTTAAGTGTTTCACATGCTTTTTATATATGTTATTGACTTACATACACATTTGACTTAAAGATGATCTCAGGAATGGAGCTCATTCTCAACCCAGGGACCAGGTGTATAGAGAAATAGCACGCAGATATTAAATAACAATGGAGGCAAGATGGAGTCTTATGGTACTCCATAGGCAATATTATTTTTTTTGGAACCAAAGCCACAAGTATAAGCTGAACCACTATAGAACAGTGGCACTCCAAGAGGATATTGGGGTCAACAGCATTAAAAGACACTGAGAGATCAAGTAGTAGTAACAGGGTCACACTTTGCCTCTCCCAAAGTTTATCCGTCAGGGTGTCCAACACTGATTCCATCCCAAAATTAGACCTGCATCCAAAATGGAATGAGACAGAGCCAGATAATTATCATTATCCTTTGAAGGTCCCAGTATGAGGTCCACTGAGTTAGAAGAAAGCAGCTACTTGGAAAAGTTTGGTTGGATGGCTACTCAAGAGTATAATCAAAGCAGCAAAGTAAACCTTTGCTGACTTCACTGCCACACAGTAGCCACAATTATAAAGTAGTACACTTGACCATCTTCGTCATGAGTTATGCTCATGATGACTTAAGCTCCAACTGTCTTCTGACATGTTTCATTGTGTGCAACTTCCTAATAAACCAAAAAGCCTTTCAGGTTCCCCAGTGTTGAAGAGAAGACTTTGGGAGCAATCATGTTAACAGTCCATTGCATCTTGCCATCTGACTACTGAAAAAACCTCACAAACACTGAGGAATCCCTGACATTCCTTAGCATTTCAGAGACAGACCTTCATTGATTCCCCACTCCTACAGGTCCTGCTAAAGCAGCTTCAGCATGGGTAGCAAAGTAGCTTGTATGCAATAGTATCTCCAAATAGTCTCTTTGGTCCACTTTAAAGAGAACAGAGCTAGGAGTTTCCTAGAGCAGAGGGCTTTCCTGCTGAGTGTGAATTTCTATGGATCATAGCATCTCTCCCCAGCCTCCACCCTGGGCATATGTTATATTTAGTGTTATGTCTGAATCAGATTGCCAAGTCTGGAACACCTTTGGTCCTAGATGTGTTATGCTATCTCTTTTCCTATACTTCATTGTAAATTCTAATATTACTACAAAAGTAGCCTGTAACTATAATGCTGCCCAGACATTTAAATAAATAGAAGGGGCATCATCTCACTTCAAAGTAGAACTGGAAGTCAAACATACCTCAGTTTCCACAATTATTCAAGATTGCGCACAACATTAAAACATCACAAAAAACAAAAAACCCTTGAACAAGAAAAACCAGCCCAACACCAACCCCCACACTCCTACCAGATATTTTGGAATGTAAAATTCAATGTCAAGGATCACAATATGAAAAGCTGCTGAAGGCCCTGTTACACCAACAAGGATGCATTTCCCCAGGATGAGTAAGGCCACCTCTATAATGAATTTAAAAACCAGTTTAAGAAGTCTTAAGAAAGGATATAGTTGCCAAAAAAAATTGTTTAGTAGCTCTGCCTCCCCTTAGACTGGCTTGGATCCAGGTTCTTTTCTGCTCCAGGGAGAATCACTCAAGTGCAGTTCTGCTAAGTCTGATTATCTACAAGGAGGGGGATGTGGCCTCAGTTATGCTCAGTTATCATCTCCTGATTTCAGCTTAGCCATAGTGAAAAGTATAGCAAAATGCTCCACAACAGGGTCTCAACAGATGTTCAGAATCATCTTTCCATAAGAAACTGGGAATCCCAACCATGTTCAAAATACCAAATGCATGAAAAGGAAATTTCTCAGCTTAACTCTGATCTATTTGTAACACTGGAATTCTAGATTCTTCTGCAAAAGAGTCACCAGAATTGTGGTAGAAGTAGCACAAGACTTCTTTTTGTGGATATACATTGGTAGTCATTGGAGTTAAGTAAAGCAGGCTTTGCAAATTGCTTTAGTCCTGATTAATCTGAAATAATTAGTGACTGGTCACAAATGGTGAAAAGAGATGGACTCACTCCATAAAGGAAGCCACAGCCTTCATTTTACAAGAGCTGAACAAGGTTGTCATGAATAGGGCATTTTGGAAAGCTTTCATACATATGTCACCATGAATTGGAGAGAACTTGCTAGCGCCTAAGAACACCACAATCACTAATAGGACTAGAATAAAACTGAAATAGAAAAATGTTTTCCGTTTATAGAAAGGTGTTTATTGTTGGCTAAAAAAAAAACAACCCACTAATACTACTTCGTCAACAGTGCTAAACAGCGAAAGAATCCGAGATTACAATGCCAGGATTTTCTTTCTATGTGAACCGAGCAACATGTACACAAGACTACATAATCTGGATTAGCTATCTAAAGACTTTTGCACCAAAAAAAGAATGGCTCCCTGCTTCCCCTTTAAATTTGAGCCACCGAGAGTATAAGACTAAGGGGAAATTAATCCGGATTAATAATGACAATACAGGAAAGCTTGAGATAGTCCGATTTACGTATAACGGCCCTTGGGGTTCATCTAAACCAGTACAGTTCAGAGGCACAGTAGCAAGGGATGGGCAGAAGAGACGTGCTTACCTGCCGTGTGGGCTGGTGGCAAAACCTCCCACCTCTCCCTTCCGGCCTCCCGAAATTCAGGCTCTTCCTTGGGACAGATGCGGGGACCTACAACCTACGTGTAGGTATGGCGAGTTTGCAGTGCTCAGACAGCCGCTTCTTCCGAGGCCGACAAGGAGGAAGATTAAAATGGTGGAGGCGAAGAGCGGCTTCGTGTCTACTTGGGCCTCATCCCTTTACGGCTTCCCAAACCGTTACTCCGCTTGTTATCGCTTCTCTCCCTATAATCCCGGCTCCCAAAATGGCGGACGGGCCTGGAGTAGGACAGCGAAGGGGAACGCGCCGAGCGGAGCAAGAGCCCCGCGCGTCTGTCCACCCCACGGCAACGCACCTGGGCGGCCGTCGCCGGCCCCCGCCCCGCGGAGCTTTTCTTCGTCGGGCCCGCCTCTGGAAACGCCCCCCGGCGATGGCCGTGCCTGGCCCGCTACCAGGTTTGCTCTTGGTACTCTCTGGCTACAGCTTTTGCGTCTTAAGATGTTTGCCGCGTTTCCAGTGTCTGCATGCTCACGGCTGCTTTCATCCATTGCTTCTGCATATCAATTGTATTCTGTTCTCCCCGCACCGTCCTCAATGGGATTTATTTCTGAGGAAACGAGACCAAGTTAGCGGAGTTCATTGGGCCACCTGTTTTGTGCTGTCGCTTGAGCGTTGGATCTGTTCTTGTGCAGGTGTGCGCTGATGGCAGTGTTGGCAGTAGCTTACCTTGCTTTCCCGTGGTTTGCTTGAGAGTGCCGGCGCTAATCGATTAGGCGTTCTGCCTTAGTTCTGACCTTTTCTGTAGCAACATCAGGCTTAATGAATAGGATGACAACTACTCTATATAGGTTTTCATGAGGCAGGGAGGATAAATTTGCTGTGCCACTAAAGTAGAGGTCTAATCTAAACTTAATTGAATGAGATTTACTCTCTGATAAATTGTCGTATTTTCTAGTCTCATTTTTTAGGTGAATGTGAAGGATTGCCTCTGCCCAGATGTGCCTAGTGTACTCAAACCTCCTACAGGCCCTGTTTTGGGTGCCTTCAACTAAGTGAAGTGCAGCGGCTGTTGGGTAGAGGAGAAAAAGTATTTTTCATTGGTGGCACCTTTTCCCTAGCTGTTCAGCCCTCACCCCGAGAAATTTGTTTGAGGTCTTTGCGTTTCCGGATAGTTTTATTTTCATAGATGGCAGCTTATACAGGTTTAGATGGAAAAAAGGCCTGCAATGTGCTGGGAGTTGCAAGCCTTTTTTCCTGTCTAAAACTGCATAGGGTAACACATTTAAACTCCAACTTTTAGATCCTAAAATCTGTTTATTTTGTACCTTGTTTGTATTTAAACCTTGCAAGTTAGTGTTTTTCTTGTTTCCTTAAGTTGCCTAGAGAGGTTTGTCCAGGGAGAGCACATAAATATCATTAAAATAATTAATGTGGGAGCAGGCTGCGCCTCCACTGTTTGGACTGGGAAGCGCAAAACGGACAATAACACTGGTAAGCGCCTCTCCTTGTAATCAATGAACAAACGTGACTAGGGCCGCACTGACATGCAAGAAGCCAGTTACTTATTCTAAATAGGTTCACATTCATGGAAGGCGTTCTCGTATTTCTCTTTTAAGCAGTGGCCGGCTCATTGCTAACTCAAGTGCTGCAGTCTCTCCCTTCCTTATAGAAGCCTTTTCTCTTTATACAGCTGCAGTGTAAGGAGGAATTCAACAGGAACCTCCCCTCACTTTGGAAGAGGTGCAGTAATGTCAGAGGAAACTTCTCCTCTACATATGATAAAGGCGTAAAGCACCCCTAGCAAAATACCGGCCGTGCGGCTGGGAAAGGAGGATAATAGCTTCGCAGCGCTTCTTCCTACAGCTCCCAGCTGGTTCTACAGTGCAGCAAGCTGAAAATAAATCGGGATTGAAAATAAATCCTCCGGTATCAACATAATACGTAGACTTGAGGGAGGGGCTAACTTTACCCCGCCCTCCCAATGCTTCCCAAGGGCGGAGACCGAAGCTGAGCGCTTGGTGCCGCCTCTTTCTTCCTTGCTTTCCTCCGGCGTCCAACTCAGCTTGAGAGCCCGCCTATAACGGCCGCGGAAGAAGCAACGCTTGGCTGATGCAGAGAGAAAAGGTTCCGGTACGTATTAAATGGACAGTGGCTGGTAAATTACTTGTGCGGCCCTGATACGCGAAGGTGGAAGGCGCGCGCGCGTGTGGAAGGCGAACGCGGGGCAGCGTGGAGCCAGGGCTGTGCGCGTGGAACTTCCAAAGCGTCCGCCTTCGCCCTGTGGGAGTCGGGCGTGCTGGGGACCTTTAGGTATTTCGGCCTGTTCCCCCCGACAGCGTTTACCGGAGAACCTCTTGGTATTCCGGCTGCTTTCTGCCTGCATTGGTTTTGTTCATTTCAGAGCTAAGAACGTTTATTCGGATTTGAACTGCGTGCTGGGTTCCCACATAACCTGCACCTTCAGAGGATGACAGTAGAAAAACAATCTGAAAGTGAGAGTAAACTAACTCGCTAATCAGTTGGAGAACGTTTAAAACCTCTTTAAACTCAAGTGCGTGCTTGTAAAAGGCAACACTTCCAGTCGTCTACTGAAGTGGTCCAGTTACTCGAAATCTTGCATGCACTCTTATTAATAGAAATGCACTTTGCTTGCAAACACTTGCTGTATTGCATGATTCATCATGGTCCTATGTATGTTCACCACAATGTTCATTAAGATTTAGCAGTGAGTGTGCATAGGATTAGCTGCATTTTCACATGAAACAGGCACAGGCTGATTCTGTGTATTGATTTGGCAGTGAGCCTTAGCAAATCCAGTGCTATTTATTTAAAGGTTCATGTAGAGATGCATTTTAGTCTCAGAGGATTTGTGTCATGCCTGATAACATGGAAGAGAATGTGTGAAAGCACACACATTCTAATCACGAAGTTTTATAGTTTCCTTATTGCACAGCTGCAGAGTTGTTAACCCTCCAGGTCAAACCCTTGTGTGCTGTCACCTGTCAGGTTAGCAGCTAACTTGTTTTCATGGTACTAGGCTGCTAGCAAAAAGTAGAGTCATACTGGGATTGATGGGTTACATTTTTCTGGTTAGTCAGTCATCGCTTGTAGTTCTGTGATGCTCTGACACTCTTTGGAAAGAGGAAATGATTTTAGCTTGTTTGTTTTAAAGCACAGTATTACATTGGAAGATGGAAACATATGTATTTATTGTCTGATTCTATGGATTTTACTGTTACAGGAAGCCAGATTTCAGCTGAACATCAGGAAGAATTTCCTAATTGTTAGAGCAATATGGACCAATTTCCTAGAGAGGTTGTGGGCTCCACACTAGAGACATTCATGATGCAGCTAGACAGCCATCTCAGAGGGATGGTTTAACTGAGAGTCTTGCATTGAGCAGTGAGGTGGACACAATGGCTTCTTCCAACTCTACTGTTCTATGGTTTTGTTATTTTGAGTACAACAGGGAAAAAAAACCTTTGACTGTATGAACCTTTTTCAGGGAGACGGGTGCAGATGGTTGCAGAAAAATAAACTAAAGGAGCTAAAGATTATTGCATATCAATTATTTATTTGCATATTTGACCCGTTGGAGAAATCAAGAACATATAATTATTCCTCTGTGTTAAAAAAACTGATCATATTTATTCTCCTTTAAACATTTTTTCTATTGTATGTTTCATTTTCAGATTTCAGCAAAGACTGATGCACTGACTACCAGTCAGCTGGAACAAAGACAACCAAATGTTTTATTATGGCAGAGGTATATATGCTGAACTCCTATATCCTATGAGTGCAGATGTTAACAACATAATAATTTGTATATATTTAACAACAGTACAAAATTCTGAAACACAGCATTTAAACTAAGCACCCATTCTTAAAAAGTAAAGCTGCAATCCTATATCCAGTTTCCTGTGAGTAAGCTCAATAGGATTCTGACTATACATGTATAGGATTGTGCTGTCAGGGTGTTTAACATAATGGCTTGGAGCCTAACAAGTGGTCTATCCCTGAATAGAATGGCTGTTTCCATTCATAGATGGAACAATGACCCAGCAGAAAATCCAGTTGGTCGAAGCATTTCGTTAGGACTTTCTATAGCTCCATGTCTGCTATTCTTGAGGGTTCCCTAGCCTACTGGAACGGATTTCCAGAGGTGTAAGAGATGGGGTGGGGGCTTCCCTCCTCCTCCTTGCCACTGGCATTAGCAAAGATGAAAGCTATCATCATAATTCTTTGCTTTTCAGAGCTCCCAAGGTTGTAGCTTGCCCACAGAGGGTATGTCAAGTTCTATGATGGTGAGTTCTTACTCCGAAATGATGGCCAGTGATCCTTGAAAAAAAGATGATGTAGCAAGTCAGGTAGCTTACTCTCCTCTGTGAACTGTGCAATGCAGGGTTTCCCAGGTGGCATTCTGTGGAACTCTGATGTTCTGTGTGATATAAACAGAAGTTCTGTGAGAAGTTCAATGCTGGCAGTATTTCCTCTATGAAATGTATGGAACTGATACTTAATTGAATAATATTCAACTTATGATGTGGTTGTCACAAAGCTCAGTGGCTCCTGAAGCAGTGCTCACCTCTCAGGCCTTTATGGGCTTGGATACTGCTTTAGGCTCTGTAAATTGATGTTCGAAAATACAAAATACATAACTAACTTTTAACAGGTCAAAATTGTTCACCTTTTAAAAATTGTATATGGCTATTTTTTGGTATGAAAACAAGCCCACCCATTCCACCCTTACTGCTTGGAGACTTCCAAGCTTATAGGCTTCCAGTATTCCTATGCTGTGCAAAGGTGAAGCTAGCAGGGCAGGAAGAGGAACAGAAATAAATCCTCACACATACACACCCTCTGTCTTTGGCAATTTGGAGAGGGAGGGCTCAGAATATATCACCTGGCCTCTCCTCTCCAACTCTGTCTTCTGGGGGGTTTTCTGAGCAAGCCTGTGAACCCTGGTCTCCCTTCCAGGGACCGTAGGACTATTACTTAATTTCTTCTAACATAATGTCCTCAGCCATTATTGCATACCACTTCCTAGACCAGCATGTATAGAGTCCATCAATATATTTCAAGTCGCAAAGTATTCAGTGGTTCAGTGGTTAAATTCATTTGGAAAACACTGGGGTGGAAGTGAATACAGTGGGATGCTGTAGAATGGCTTGAGATAGTGAATTGTGATTGATACCTGTGGAAGAAATGAGAAATAGTCCTCAGTTTTGCCCATAGTGATTCCCCACCTGGTGGATGTTTGGTTTCCCTTTCTGTCTTGTGCTTCCCATTCATCTTTTCTTCCCCCTCATTTTATTTTTCTTTTTTTTTAATGAGTATGAAAGTATAAATCAGTCTCAGTGTGGCTGAATACATGGAAGGCTCATAACAAGATCCAAAAACTTGAATTGAGAAGAACTTTAGTGGAAGTTCTAAATTGAAAAGACAGTGTTGGAGAGAACGGAGGAGCTTGGAATTAAATAGGAATTAAAAAAAATCCTCTCTTGATAACTTGTCTAATTGACAGGCTTGTATTCTATTAATATGAATTCTAGAATGTATCTTTAAATCTTCTAAGTTTACTCCTCTTACAATACAGCCAGCTTTTTTGTGACATTGGTAAGTGAAGGAATTTGTTATCAAAAATTGAGACAGTCTAGTGATTGTAATGATCCTATCTGACACATTTTAATTTTGAAGTTTTGCCACCAACATATTTATTGCCTTGTGAATTTTGAGAATGTGTCATTGGGGAAATGTTTAATGAGTAATGAGGAGGAATTCCACAGGCACAGATTTAGTTACAACCTGTAAGTACCATATATTGATAAAACTTGCTGTCTCTTCCATTTTTTCCAACTGTAGCAAGAGCAAGAAGAATGGAGAATCATAAACAAGTTATTAAGACAACATGGCTTAAGATCTGTGTGTTTTGATAAATCTGAAGCT